GGTCCTGGCCACTTCCGGCTGGTAAAAGTAACCCCCAGATGGGCTAAGGGTTCATTCATAAACCCACCCCAAAAAAAAACCCCGAAGGATAGGCTCGAGACAGGGATAAAGAACCAGGACCAAAGCGAGGTGATAAGATTGACATAAATTTCACATTATCCTTGCCGAACCAGCCAAAAAAACTGTCCTTTTTTTCATGAATGAAGTAGAAGTAGAAAAAGTCGGCTAGCGTGTCTGAAATTTTATTTTTGTCAAAGGTATTTTGACGCCACCTCCGATCGCAGCTGAATTTGGGCCTCATAAAGATTAGCCATCTTTCCACATTTAACTTGCTTTTTTCTTGCCTCCTCCTCGTTTTCGTTCTCATTTTCGTTTTCTTAATGGGTTCGGTTTTTCTTTTAGGAGCGGGGACACAAAAATAAGTGTCGCAGTTTTGCCGCTGCATCCCAGATGACTCATTCATTATAAATCAATTTGTCTTATCTCATTCCCTGGCGCTAGAAACTGGAGGAAAAATCTTTTCCGCTGCCGTTTTTACTTTGTACTTGAAAGGATGTGAAATTTATATGGCCTCTTTAAACTGTTTTCGAGCTATAAACTCCTTTAAAAGCTCCTTAATACTCCATTAATTAATAAATTAATATTTATTGGTCTTTAGCGGCTGATCTATAAACTTGAACCGTCTGCTTTTTATGGCCCTATATGGCTTGTCTATTTAGCTTAATGAACTTGTGTGAGAAAACGTTAAAAACTTTTATGATCTTGTCTTTTTATACAAAGTTGAAATGATAGATAGGCTTATAGAGATCTCGTAAATTGAGCCTCAAAAAGGTATTTAAGTGTGTTTAAAGCAGTTCACATTTAGTTGCTTAATTTTTTGTAAATGAGCCAGTTTATATTCGAATTTTTACCTTAGCTGGGATCATAAAAAAATACAAAATAGAGCCGACACTTAATTAAAATCAATATGATATTTTTCACATTTTTTTAAAAAATTTAAAAAATTGTTATTAATTTTTCACATATTTTTTTGAATATTTCGATGGATTCTAATGTTATAGATTTTTTAGTTACCCACCTTCAGCTGCATTTTTACACTCGTTGAGATAGTTTTGCAGACCATCAAATAGAGTTACCCTCGGCGCTTCTTTGGGTTTCTTCCAGCTTTTTATCTAAGTTTTTATCACTTGATTTCAGTTCTGTTGTGTTTTTAGAAAGTTATCACATTGGGGCAGCACTTCTTCTGCCGACAATCTTTGGCGCGCAAAATTTTAGGGATATGGGTAAGAGGAACTTTGTAATCCGTGGATCGATTTCGGTTGAGGCCCGCGCGCAACCTTTAGCGGTAAGTAGTGATACGAAGTGCTATTTTTTCGAGACCAACTCGACTCTGGCAATGGTTCTGGGTTCTGGGCTCTGGTCTCTGGTTTCTGGGCTCTCGAACACCGAACACTGAACAGCGAACAGCGAGCAGCTCACTTGCGATGATGACAACAACGACGGCGACGCAATGCGGTCGCGTTTACCGCGCGTTTGCCGCCCAATTAGCTAACCCACACCGATGCACACACAGAACCTCTGCGGTTGGGCGGACCCACACCTGTGTGGGTGCGCGGTCCTGTGCGTGTGACAGCGGTTATGATTTATTCCGTACAGCCCGGCCTGGTATTGGTTATCTTATCGCTTTATATGCGATAAGGAAGCAGCGGAGTGTGGGTCTTACCGATGCGATAAGTATCCGTGAGATACAAATTGCGCCTGCGTGCTCGGCTCCGAAGCTATAATGTTCCCGAAGAGACCCAACAGCCGGCACAGCTACACATTTGATTCCGATTCCATTTCTGCCTCTGCTCTTTTCATCAACCTCCCCTCGTTACCCCTCCAAGCTATTTGTCAATTGTGCAATTTAGTCTAGCGCATTTTCTAATTGCACTCATAAAACACTTTTCTGGCAAACTAATAAACACTGCCAACGTTAGTCAACGTCAACAGAATATCATCGGATCGGGCTTGGGCATGGGTATGGGTATGGGTCTGGAAAGTGGGTCTGCACCTTTGCCTGGAGACGGAGACTTATATGACCCCACGAGAAATACACAACGCTCGAATGTGGGCCGCTTTGACAACCACTTCCCCACTTCACAGTCGCCTCTCGAGAATGTTGTAACTAATGAATACCGGGACACACGTGGTCGAGGATCAGGTGCTACCAATATATATATTGCAATATGGCAAAGCCCCTGAAATGTCAAACGCCAGGAAAAGATTGGGCTTGAAGTGGCCAGGTGATTGGAGTGCTCGATCAGAGATCTGATACATTTTTTAGCCTAAGCATTAAAGATACTTTGTGGAAGAAAAAAATTAAAAAATTTAAAAATTGAAAATTTTAAAAAAAAAAAAATATAAATATAATAATACTTTGTTTTGTTTTCAAAACATTCTCCTTTACTTTCCTTACGGAATAAAAATTTAAATAATTCAGTTAGTAGGATAAAAACAAACATAACATCTGCGAAAGAAATATAATAATTTAATTTATTCAAGCCAGCTTCTCCTTTATTTCTTCATTTTCACTTAAGTAAGTGATTTAAAATATCTGTAAATAATCCAATAAAAGAGCAGTTTTAAAATATAAAAATCTATTTAATTTTTTAACTTTCTCCTTTGATTTGCTGTTCATAAATCCTTTTTAATTCCTTAAGTAACTCTGATAATTTGGTTGGGCTTGCCACTTATAGCTAAACATTTGTGCAACTTTCCCTCCTTTGAAGCGCTACAATCTGAGAAAGTTAACCACACATATCTTGGCCACCCAGCCAAGCTGGCCCAGCAAATCATAAATTGTTTATAGTTAAAGTCATAAAGCAAGCAGATATATGATGGCCATTAGCAGGCACAATCCCAAACCCCATTCGGAGTTACTTATAAATGCCATGGAATTGCGGGCAACTTGCCGCTCCTCCCATGAATGGAAATCGCTCGGTGGCGATAATTTTAATTGTTGCAACTCATGTGGTGCATAAATCCTGGGCAAATCTTAAGAGCAAAACCGGCAGACAAAAAGTATCTAATAGTGGCTGCTGCTGCGTGTCGCGAAATATCGTTTTGGTGATTAATCACTCAAAAACTGACAGCAATGCCAGTTTCGATACAAATGGCGCTACACGAATTCAACATTACAAGCGGGGAGATTAATGTGAGATGATGAGGACTCGGACTTGGACTTGGACTCCATAGGAAACTGGAACTGACTCATCGGGTTTCGTAGAGCCGGGCAATTAATACCCTAATTGATGGCACCGCCGCACCTAGCTTTAGGCGCTTTGCCGGCGAATTTACGACCCTAAGACACAAGACTTAGGGGCGGCGAAACAGACAGAGTCTTAAGATTGCTGACCGCTGGCATATCGCCCCGAGAATCGCATATATACGTACACCCTTCAACTTGTCCGCACATCCGTGCAGTTTCAAGTGGCCCAAAGAGCTGGAAAAAAGCCCAAAACAAACCCAAGGAACCAAGAAACCCAAGCCACAAAGTTATCTTTTCTAGCCACAAGTGTGTTCTCGGCCCCATTGACAGTATCGCCGATCTTTGGCCGGAATGACGCTATGGAATTTAATTTATATTGTATATACATATATATATTGTACCATTCTTATTCTGTCATAATAATAATATTATTTCTTTACAATTTTGTTTTTCCCCTTTTGTTTTGGGTTGTTCTGATAAGGGAAAGAAGAACGCTTCGGAAATTAAACGCCACAGCGCCAACAAAGGCGTGCGCCATAGTTTTAATTATAGCCGATCCGATCCGATCCCACCCCGAATGGTTGCCCAATCCCTGCCAGCTCGCAATGGCGTGGCTCAATGGAATAAAAATGGAATTGAAATGGAAGTTCTGTAATAATAATGGCCCTCCCTGTACCGGCTGCACTTTTCTGCGCTTTTCTCGACCGCCGCCAGCAAATTGGGTTCAAGTAAATTCTATTAACCCAAAGGGGTCATAAATCATCCGGCGAAGGCACGCTACCGACATTTCGGACATGAGTTATGAAAATGAAACTGCGCACTCCAAATGGCCGAAAGCCAAAGGGTCGGAGGCACTCGGAACAGGAGGCTTCCGCAGAAATTCCCCAGAAGGAGCCTGGTGAAAGAGTTAAGCTTTCTTTGTTTACGCTCCGCGGAGTTGTCACTTGGCTAAAGAATGTTCATTCGGATATTTATGGATTGGGCACGCGGACAGTGATGTATCTTTCCAGTGAGTCAGGGGAAAGTTTCGATATCAGAAAAGAAAGAAGGGTTATAAAGAAAAAGCTCCACATATCGCATATAATATATTTTGAATTTAAAATATATATTTGATTAAAAACAGATTATTTTCTTATGAAACTCAGATTTATTATATTTGATTAGAAGCACTTTTTAAACCATTTATTTTATAAACATTCAAAAATCATAGCTCCAATATCATACTTCAAAATGCCTTAGGGCCGTTTTCTCGTCGGCATGTTAAAATTAAAGTAGGCTTTAAATCTGAAAAATATATGGCATTTCCGTGCTTAAAGCATACTTTAAATTTAACAAGAAGATGAGAAAAAGGACCATACCTTTTTTGAAAAATTAAATTTACTTTGAATTTGAAGTCTGCACAAGTTGAACTAGTTTTATGTTAAACTTTAAGTACAAATACTGAAAAAAATTATTCCATATATCCCAGTCCCCCATAACTTAGTTTGTTTTGGTGAAAGACTTTGGTTTTTTAGAATTTAGCCAGAACCTAATAGATGTCGGGGTCTTTCTGATAGAAAAACCGTACACACTGACGTATGATTCCTGTTTTGAAGATGAGGTATATACGACAATGACAAATTAACATAATGTTTGCTATCAAAATATATGCCATACAGGTTCCCTGCAGTGCACAATCACTTGCGATTGGCAGTAGCGTCTTCGTTGCGAGGCTCCCTCGCTTGCTTGCCGAGTTATAAAGTATACGCACCTTTGTTTGCCAATGGGGCCAGGCCAGGCCGTGACTCATCATTATAGCTGGCAATCCATAATAATCCGCGAGAGAATTGTTTTGGCATGGCCAACGTGGGACGGGGGCAGTCACAAAACAGCAACGACATCGACGCCATTAACGTTAACAATCATGGCTACTGGGGTTGATTGGAATCGCACCCACTTGGAGTGGGTATTGGGTTTTCGGTTTTCGGTTTTCCGTTTTGGGTAGGTAGCTGGTTAACTGACGACTCCAGCGACCCCAAAACGCATACAAACATTATTTATTACTTATGAGCGCTGACATTTTGTTGTTCGCTTTTTGGTGCCATGACTTGGCCATGAGAAATTTATGGCTAGAGATTTTGGATCGAAAAAAAGGAAGGAGCTGCGAGTTGCGATGTCACTTTTCCGCGGCTGCCTGATTCTACGGAATGAAAACTCCGTTGGGTGTTGCACACCCGCTGATTGCTCCAATCAACCAAAGCGATTTTTCCTATCGCCACCGCCTCTAATACCTATAGAGAGGGAAACGGAACATATCGAATATCTGAGAATAGATAGTGGCCTTAGATAAGTTAACGTATCTTAACAGAGATTTCGGCTCCCAGAGATATAGATATCCCAACTGGCGGGGCGGCAGGCCCCCAACAGACCGGCGAAATCGCAAGTCAATCGGTGGCGGCTACTTAACCCACAATCACACAGCTCCGACTGCTCCTCTTTGGCAGAGAGACCAAACATCCGAGTACCAAGAATTTGCTTAACCGATAATGGGGGGACTCTATCTGTGACGTAGCCAATTCCTTGAGCGGACTCGTATTGGGGGATGGGGACGAGGTTGACCCAGCTAGATAAAAGTATCTAATCTTGGCTTTTTAGCGATACACGACCACCAATGCAGCCGTATTTATAAGATAATGAAGATTTGCTATCAATTGGAGGCAGTTGTTGTTGCCTTCGGTAGGATATCGGTATCAGTTTGGGGTATCTGCAGCCAGTTAAGGTTCGGGGTTCTGTTTCTGGGCTCCGTTTCTGGTTCTGGGCATGGCTCTCTCTCGCGTTCTGTATCAGTATATCAGTGTTTGAACTGATAATGTCCCAAGATAATAAGCGATAATAATTTGAATTTTTCAGTAATTCCTTAAGTTTGGACGCCCAGCGGCATGGAATCTAATCACAGTTGGTGAGTGTAACTGGGATTTTCAACATGGAAACATTGCCTTTGCGCGTTCGTCCCGAAAAAAGAGAAATAAGAGTGATGGGCGGCGTTCTTTAAGGATATTAATCTGTGAAAAAGTGATGTGATATTCAAGAGAAATAATATCATTTATGGACTGTCGGTTATCCAACGAATCAGCCGTTTATATAAGAGCTTCGAGTGAGACTGAGTGCCGCGTTTTGGCCGTTTTGGGAATTGAAAATTTGATCTTTGGCTCATCGATAAGATATACCACCCGTGGGCCCTGCGGTGTATAAATTCCAACTGCCAAAGCAGCGCTCAAGTAACACTTGAGAAAGCGAAAGTCAACTTTGGAAGTTAATTAACGATCCGCTGATTAGATTAGAATATGCTTATTAACTACTGGGCGCTGATACCGCAAAAGTACCTCAAGAAATGATTTCCAAGAAATGGCCAATGGCGATGAGGTGCAGTTTTTCCTTCGATCTTATCCAGAGTCAGGAGATCTGAGGCTATGGAGGTTTTTTTGTTATATTCTAAAAGTTCAAATCGTATAAACGGTGACATTCTTTTGCTGCTGATGTGTGTTCGTGTCGTTTCGAGGCCCTGCTGCTGCTTCTTGCTCAATTTCATTATCTTAAGTACACATTCTGAGGTACAAACGTCAGTTGGCGATAAGGCCAGGGAAAAACAGCAACAACAGCGACGTAACCACCCGAAGAAGACATCAAAAAGCAGTCAAGTCAACAACAAACAGAAAAGAACAGAGGAGCGTAGGGTGGAAATGCTCTAAATGCAATCTGTTTGCACAACTCCGACCTGAACTGAACTGAACCCCATATAAGGTGGGTATACCTATACCTACACGACCTGAAATCGGGGAATTTTCAGCATTTTCACGCTAAATAAATCAGGCAGATGTCAAACATTTAATTAGGTGCACCGCAGCAAAAGAAAAACGCGTGCATTTCTTGTAGAGAACATATATACTATATATAAGCGACTTACACCAGCCAGTTGAGCTGCCTTGCGGCTTCGGTTTCTGCATATGGTAAATACCATTATCAAATCATATTATCTTATTTATAAGCATTATCGTGCCACAGATACAGATTGCCTATCTATGGAATGGGCATGTAAAAAAATCATATATACTCAGATATCTTACCGAGTGTGGTTATTTCGTTGCTGGCACAGTAAGTTTTGCACTTTCCATTAAAACGCGCTCCGTTCCCAGCCGATCCGTGGGGCAATTATAAAATAATATACATATAATAATTACAATGCATTATAACATTGGTCGAGAAGAGATGTGGCGATCGTAAAGTGACAGACCAGAAAAGTGCGAAAATAAAAATGAGTAACAAAACGCGTCTAATAAAAAAATGGAGCCATAAAATGTCGAGCGTCAGGCCGAACATGAACTCATCGTAAATTACGGACTACAAGTGTGTGTACTAAAAACGCAAAAGCAACCTGAGGATATGTATATACTATATGCACCAGATATAATCAAACAAAAGGACTGCATTGTGAATTGTGACCATTCTGTATAGTAATCATTTCTACCAAAGTGACCTTAGTGCCTTCCGTAAAAAGAATCATGGGATAAAACCCATGAAATTTCGAAATATGATTAATTATTTTATTCCACTTCCGATTTCCGAACATATCTTCTTCGTGTCACTTGGTACCAGTCTCCGAAAAAAATATTCGGTGATAAAAAACCTAAATAGCAGGACATTACTCAACGTACTTATTTCTTGCAGCGCTGTTTAGAATTTTATCATTTCCGTGGAATTCAATTTTTTTTAGATTGTGGGTTAAGTGTTGTTCTAAAACTGGAATCCGGTCTTATAACCCGATTTTTACGATCATGATTTATAGAGTATTTATTTGTATACAAAACAAATGGTTTTAGGCCCGATATCTATTCATATATTTATTTTATACCCACCGTATATATCTAGCCTAGTTCGTGCGCAAATAACTGACTTATTTACTAGCAGCAAACATTAAAACCTAAGCTCTTATAAAATGAGAGTCAACAAATTCAGCCTAATGATTACCAAACAATGATTCAAAGTTGCCGTGGCTTAGCAAATTAGGGTTACACAAATACAATGTACGAATATTTATTTAGTTGGCACCATTTCACGTGGCTGCTTTTAAATTGTAGAAAAGCCTCAAATCATTTCCACAACTTTTACTTAAATGTATTCCATAATATTCAAAAAGAAAAACAACACGTACAAATTACAATTTTTTTCGGAACCCAATAAAGCTCCAAAAAGATTCAAAATAAAAACATAGAAATACTTTATCTTATCGTGCATTATTTGATATCGTGCAAGACAAGGCTATGAGTTTGGTATTATTATCATTGCCATATTTGCCCAATGCCTTGATAGTGGAACCCTGACCCGGCGCCAAAAAACTAGCAATCTCTTGAGTGAAAGTTTTGCAAATAGACCTGAGCAACGACCGATTAGACCTCAAAATGCAGATAGTATCCCTGTATAAAAAATAGGGGCATAAAATAAATGGGTTTAAAATGAATTTGAAAGCCCAAAAATGTTTATCAACGGGAATCTTTTCATATGAGGGATTGGAATGGACTTCATTTCGCGGCTAATCAACAGCGGTATCAATCAAATTACTGGACGGAGCCTCCTCAGCCGCCACTTGAGCGGTGCACACGAGCGATTTCAGCGACATGCGGCACTTTTGTACAGTCACGTAGCCAGGCGGGGCTGCCTCCCCATCCACCACCCACCCAGCAGACCCTCCCTGGTGGATCCCCACCCTCGGCGAGCAAACAACCCTAGCAATAAACAAAAACTGTTTTGCCACATGAAATGACTTTCAGATTTTGTTGCTGTTGTCGTTTTGTAACGCGTGACTCCCATAAAAAAACAACAACGAACGTACTGAAAGTTTATTAAAAAAAAACTAGAGCGAAAAATATAAATAGAGTAAGAGGAAGAGGGAAAGGTAGAGGGAGATGGAGAAGGAGCAGGAGGGCCAGGGAGTGACAGAGACAGAGCGGAGGGAACTCAGCAATGCGACGTTATCTTATCACTGAAAATGTCGCTTTCGTAAATGGCGGCGCACAAAATAATATAATACACATCCACACACACTCATCCCCATCCCCCACGTATGTACGTGTACATCCCCCGCCCCAAAGCAGATACACACACTCTCGACTATACAATTCTAGAGTGGCACTGAGTTCTTTCGTTTTGCCGCCGAATTACCCCCTTTGAATGCTTTAATAAAATCTGTAAAAACAATAAAATAATTATAAGGTATATACCTAAATAAATATAAGGAATAAATGTAAGGTAACCACGCCATCGATATATGTGTGTGCTTCATTTTATTTAATAGGCATTAAATATTCGTAAGTAAAAACAAAAAATTCTTTATATCTATGCAAAACAAAATATTCTTCGATCTTTCTACTGTTGAGTTTCCTTAAAAAAATAATTTGTCCCAAAAGAAGTTAATTTTGTATCATTTACTGATTCTAAGAATCATACCAACCTTTATAAACTCATCAGTGATGCTTATCTGGCTTAAAAAATTGACTGATTTAATATGCCCATCCGAATTATTACGCTAGTTTGTGAAGCAATTAGGGTAGAATAATCTATTGCTGTAATGCTTTTCTTATAAAAACAAAAAAAGTAATAAATATATATAAGTGAATTAGTTTTAAAGGACAATTGAATTTGTGTACATATCGGGATGTAGATAATTGGAGAACTGCATAAACAGGCTTACTTTACATGTAAAGTAGAAAACATATGGAGTCTACATAAATTCACCGACAATTTGCGTAGAATACTAAAAAAAGTATACTTTTAGGCTGAATTTGAAGCAAATCTGGTCACCCTAAAATTCAAATTTAAGTTTCAAAATTAGGAAGTAGAAAATTTTGAGACCTCTTTAGAAGTCTGGTAACGCGAACTATTTTGGGTTTATTGCATTTCCAAACAGGCCGCTTGCTCAATATTATAAAGGCTGGGGCGACTGGAAGCTTTGGCGATACTAATTAGGCGCGGGGACGGTGTTGTTAACATATTATAGAGCTAAATTTGTATTTCACGCCTCGCCAGTATTTTTCTTCTTTTCTAGTATTTTCACCGCAAAAAAAAATATATAAAAAATCCCTGCAAAAACTCAAAAACTCCTAGAATTTCGATTACTTACTTTACCCTTATTTATCGAAAGTGTTATCGATAGTATAGCTACATATGTTATTATTATGTTATTGCGCATTTTACACAGGTAATGAAATTTATTATTACACCCAGAAAAAAAAGACCGAAAAAATCCAAGACCGAATTTTTTACATTACTACAACTACTTAAATAAGAACATAATTTTTTTAAGATGGTGCGTAAACGTATTATCGCGTACGTCCCATCAGTGCAGCGGCACCAATATAAAAAATATGACAGCGCACTTGGCCGAGTGCGATCCGGTAAAGAACCAATTCTATTGTCCTGACTGTCCCATCACAGGGCCAGTTCCGGTACCGAGACACAAGTGCACAAAATTTTTTAAAAAAAAGTTCTTTAAATAAACCCGTGACGCATAAAAGAGACCAGACAACAGACCTATAAGGTGTCGGAATTTGCCGATGGGACGGTATTGTGGAAGAACCCAAACTTGCCGCCTAGGCGACCAATTGGGCAACACGATTGCACTCGTCTTTTTACAAAGTCCGCAGAATGGGCTCGCCCAAAATCTTTCATGTTAAAAAAGTTAGAGTGTTAGAGAGATGGGACCTCCTACCCCCAGTTGAGAACTCCCACTACGTTTATGGGCACCTTATTGGCGGGCACTTTGGAGTCGGGTCTGGTGTAAACCCCTCCCTATTCCCAACCAAATCACACAGCACAGCTTTTTTAGCAGCTGGAAGGAAATCTGCTAGTGTTGTAAAGTAAACTATCCAAAAATAAGCAATTATGCAATGTTCTCCGTCATTAGCTACTAGTTGTGGTATTAATCCTTTAAAGGTATACTCATAACGCGCTATTTAATTGTTTAAAAAGTTAATCTTCCTGTTTTCAGAAGTAGGAGAGGTCAACATGGAGGATCTCGAATTGATCGACCCTGGAAGGACTACAAAGATGGATTTGGGAATTTAAGAGCAGAGTTCTTTACTTTTGAAGCAATGCTAATGTACATATAAACAGATCAGCTACAACTTGAATCTTTTCTAGTATATGTGGGCACCAAATTCATATTGCCTTGCCTGGTCTCCCGCTGCAAGGAGTTTATGAGAAATGGACGTGGCCAGGAATATCAACGCGGCCGCTGCCATCAGCCTTATGATAGACGCAGAAGATAATTTAATTGTCTACATTTTTTTAAGTACATTTTCTAAATTTTAGTATAATTTTTCAAAGATTTTCAGCAGTAGGAGAGGTCAACATGGAGGATCTCGAATCGATCGACCCTGGAAGGACTACAAAGATAGAGTTGGGAATTTAAGAGCAGAGTTCTTTATCGGGTTCCAACAACTCAACATTGTGGCTAACAGCGGATCATATGAACTTTATATTAAACTTGGAAGAGAGGATGGATCCACCTATTAGTCTTTGTCGAAATGATGATTAGAACAAAAACTCTGTATCCGGATGACGTTTTAATCAATGTGTATGTTTGGCGCCGAAAAATAAATTATTTCCAATTGTCAAAGTGAACTGTCTGGAATCCTCTTTTGGTTAAATATGCAAAGGAATCGATATGAATTGACATGTTCCGAGTTATCCATTTTAATTACCGAAGCGAGTACCGATTGCGGCAAGAGTTCATATCAAAATGCCTCAGCAACGAGAACGCGTCTCCTCCCTAGCTCATCTTAACTAGGGATGTCAATATCAATATATCGATTTTTTTGCGTATTAATAAGTATTTTTATCGTGATATTTTTGTTGCCATTTTCAAAAGGTCTGGCAACACCGTCTCGCTAATATTGCGCTCTCGCTCTCATGGTTCCCACTTCAAAAATTTTTTATGAGCCAAAAAAAGATTAAAAATCAGCCAATTAGAATAAAAAAGATACAAATTTTTACCATATACCAAATTACCATACCAGCGGAACAATTTAGTTTCGATCTGGCACTTTTTGGTTTCAGCCTTTAATCACTTTTAAAATTGCAAAAAAATATGCATTAATACAAAAATGAAATCGTTTTTTTCAAGTTTAAAATATTGTTATCGCTGTTAGCAAAAAAAGAGCCAAATTCAATAGAAATGAGCCAAAGAGCCAGCGTGAAAAAAAGAGCCAGATTTGGCTCTTTTGAGCCATTTTTTGCACTTTTTCGAAAAAGGTGCCATCCGTCTTTATATCCGTTACTCGTAGAGTAAAAGGGTATATTAGATTCGTGCAAAAGTATGTAACAGGTAGAAGGAAGCGTTTCCGACCCTATAAACTATATATATTCTTGATCAGGATCACTAGCCGAGTCGATCTAGCCATGTCCGTCTGTCCGTCCGTCTGTCCGTCTGTCTGTCCGTCTGTCTGTCTGTTGACGTCTGAGATCTGGAACTATCTGTCCGTTTGTCCGTCTGTCTGTCCAGTCTGTCTGTCCGTCTGTCTGCCCGTCAATCTGCTTATGTCTTTTAAATGTCTGTCTGTCGGAAATGAACAATGAGTTTTCTCGTGTTTATCAATACCTATAAAAGAACTTTTAGAAGATTCGTACATTTACGGCGATGCAGATTTTATCTCCAAGTTCTTCGCACTCCCTTTAGCTGAGTAAGGGTTCTGATATTCGGGGCAACCGATATAGGGTGCTCACTTGTTTTTGTACACTTTCATAACGGTTAAAGATACCTTTATAAGTTTTATTAATCGATCAATTATTGTATTCGATTTTCAGAAAAAAATTTGAAATGTACAATTTAGTTTTTCGGAAAAAAGTAAAAAATGCAGTTTTTTTTTGTGTTATTTATCAGATACTGAGCTAAAATCGAAATGTATTTGATTAGAAATTTAAATCGGACCATTCGTTAAAAAGTTTCTTCTACATTTCGATAGGTATTGATAAACACAATAAAACTGCATTTTTACTTTTCCGAAATATTGAAATTTTTAAAATCGTATATAAGCGATTGTGGGCGTTAGGAGGGGCGTGGCACCCTTTTGAAACAAACTTGCGCTGCGTAGGAACTCCTAGAATCTGCATGCAAAATGTCAATCTTCTAGCTTTTATAGTTTCCGAGATCTCAGCGTTCATACAGACAGACAGACGGACAGACAGACGGACAGACGGACATGGCTAGATCGACTCGGCTAGTGATCCTGATCAAGAATATATATAGTTTATAGGGTCGGAAACGCTTCCTTCTACCTGTTACATACTTTTGCACAAATCTAATATACCCTTTTACTCTACGAGTAACGGGTATAAAAAGGTTTTTCGCAATACCTATTTTTTGGTGGGCGCACAGCAGTTTCCCATAAAAGTCCTTCATTGACAGCTGCAGTCTGCTGACAGTCGTCTAGCTAAAAACCTTTGGCCGCCAAACTCGGCCAGCTGGTAAAGAACACTGAAAGCCAAATAAAGTTACTCATACGCCGCGTTGGCCAATAACTTTGCTTTTACTCTAATTTTTAAACGAAACAAACGCATTTTTGGGACATTTCAAGGACAATTGTCTTTTATTTGCTCAAAAGAAATAAAATTAATATTGCAAAGATGATGTAAAAAGTTGTACGAGTCTAAAACTTAAATTGCTTTAAATATTTATCGATAATATTATAAGAAATATATAAATTACTAACTAAATTGCATGAGATTATTGGTTACTTTGATTGTTTTTCTTTTTGTTTTTCGCTTTCTTTTCTTTTGGGTTTTTTCTTTTTTTCGTCATTGTTTGCTGGCTTAACTTAAAAATTAGTGGCTAATATCTAGGTGGAATTTGATTGTAGGAAATCTCAAAAGGTATTCGATTTGATAACAAATTTAAATGAATAGTCTTAGCCTAGGGATCTGAATCGATTTTATGCTTTAGGCATTTTGCTAAGAATTAAACTAGATTTCAGTAACAACAAAATTTCGAGTAGTGGGGCCATCAAAATTCGGCGTTTAAAATAAAAATGGAAATGTCAATCGACGACTTAAACTTAAACCATATGTACAGCTAATGATTCGTTTTCGAGTTTTTAGTTTTTAGTTTTTAGATAAGCGAGAACGTTCTTTGAGAACGACTCTTGGTATACAGGCTATAAATTCTTTGGAGCTATGAGATTTATGTAACAACAGAATCTTTGGTCATGGCTACAGCTACTTGCTACTCTACTTAGCTCTACTCCATCTTCACCACCGTTTCCCGCTCCACGCCGAACTTGTGCATGGCATAGTTGGTCACATGCTGCTCATGTTGCTGTTGGCCCAAAAGCTGTTGCTGCTGCAGATGTTGCTGCTGCTGCTGCTGCTGCTGCTGCTGCTGCTGATGTCTTTGGAATTCGGCCAGTTCGTAGTGCTCGTCCAGCGAGGCCGATCGGCTGAGCATTATCTCTCCATGTGCCTGCTGCTGCTGAGGATGCCCCTGCTGATCCATCTGCTCCAGCTTGATGAGCGCCGGCTGCTCATCCTCCTCGGGCGTCAGGTAGTAGGGTGGTGAGGCCCTCCCTCCCATCACCGCCTGTCGCAGGCTCAGCTGATGGTAGGGATTCTGCAGGCTAATAAGGTTGCTGTGGCCCAGCGACGATAATGTGCTCGATGCCGTGGTCGGTGTTGTGGGGCTGATCGTAAGTCCCCCCGCCGCCGACGATCCCGTGGAGCAGTTGGCCTGGGAGGTGAGGGACAGGGCCTCCGTCTTGATCACCGCCGATGCTGCTGCCGCCGCCGCCGCCGCTGCTGCTGCTGCCGCCGTAATTGAGTTCGGCAGGAGGTGGGCCAATAGCTGATGGTCGCTGGTGGAGCCGCTGCTGCTGTTGCTGCTGTTGTTGTTGTTGTTGTTCTTGTTGTTGCTGCTGCTGCTCAGTTGCTGAGCTTGTAGATATTTCTGTATAAGTTTGCTGTTATTCTCATTGCTACTGTTATTGTTGTTGTTGAATAGCGTGCTATTATTGTTGTTGTTGTTATTGTGGAGCTGGTGAGTAGGCGATGGAGTATTGTAGATGGATGTGGGCGTGGTGGGTGAATGCTGCATGCTGCACGATTGCTGCTGCTGCTGCTGATGTTGCTGCTGCTGCTGCTGTTGCATATTGAGTGGCGACATTTGGTAGTTGGAGCTGGGCGACATATCGAGTCCAGAGCAGAGTTGCTGCTGCTGCTGATGAGGATGCGACTGATGCTGATGCTGATGTGAGGTGGCTGAGGGCGACAATGAGGAGGAACCCATGCTATGTGGCGAGCTGGCCGCCGATGAGTGCTGGTCAGCCATTAGCAGCTGCTGCTGCTGCTGCGAGTACTGCGGATGCGACTGCTGCTGCGGCTGCGATGAGTATGAGTTGTATGGTTTCATATCGATCTGTGGTTTCATATCTAACCAGGTGAAGCGGCGGGGAACAAGAAGAAAGCAAACGTCACTAATTAGGCATGCAAATGGAATGAGTAATAGCCGCTTTAACTCACCATCATTCACGTCCATGTGGCTGCTGTCCAGGCCCAGGCCCACATTTTGGCAATTGGCCGCCAGGGAGCCGCTCTCCATGGTGGCATTCAACGCGTTCTTCAACTTGGACTTGGACTTTTCGCTCTTCGAACCCTTCGGCTTGCGCTTGCGTTTCTGTAAGGAAAGAAAATAATAAGTGGAATAATTAGTAACTATATTTTAATTTATCAAAATATGTATTCATCTTTATTATTTGTCAAATCAATTTAAAAAATTTAATTTAAACTTTTAATTTAATTAAATAAATACACTTAGGTCGGACATGTAAATATTTTATATTAAAGCAATTTTTAGATGTCAAAATAATCATGTCATACCCTTTTCCAAATAAAACTAATTAACATTAAAGACAAGTTACGAGTTGAATATGATAAGGTTTATATTGTTTAATCAGTTTGACTTTGAAATTATCAAATTTTTTAACATATTATGATTTATCATTGATTTAGAATGATTAAAAATTATATTTCTCTTATTTTTACGTTTTTTTTCGCAACAAAACATATTATGGTATTTCAAAATATTATATTTATAATTTGTATGAAATAACTGATATGATAAAACATCAAATTGATATATTTAAATGTGACATTAATAATAATAACTATTTTACTGATCTGATACATGATAGAAAAACCCATATAGCATATCAAATTTTTGTTCTGTGGAGATTCCTCTCAGTAAACTCACCTGAATGGTGTCCTTTTTCATGGTCAGCGGTCGGTTGACATTGTGGAGCTTAAAGTACAGTCCGCAGGCATTGCAGACGGGCTCTCCGGCGGGATTGCGACGCCACAGCGAAGTGTGGGTGGTATGGCAATTGGAGCAGGATAGTCCGGCTCTCTTGGAGGCGCTCTAGATGTGGCAAGAATCGATTGGGATTAGTTAGTAAGAAGTAAGATCACTCAATTAGCAATAGCTTTTCGTGTGGAACAACGTTTTCTATGGCAACTCTGTGGCCAAGGGGGGCTTACTTGGGGTTCGGATTTATGGAACTACAGATTTACGGGCTTGCTTAGTTAGTTTTGGGATTAGTTAGCATCGATTCTGGGCTAGGTTAGTGGCTCTACTCGGTCTACTCGCTCTCCTTTGTTAGTTTTTTGTGGGGGTTTCGGTTTGGTTGGTTGGGTTTTTTTTGGTTTGGTTTCGGTATCGGTAATTAATGGGCGACCTACCAAGCGTCTCGAATTGGCGCGACTAACGTGCTCGTCGAGCGTCGTCGCTGCAGTGGCTCCCGTTGCCGACGCCACCGCCGAAGTCGCCGCGGCTGCATTCGAGCCTGGACAGGAGGAGGAGGCGGGGGAGTAGGTGGGGCCACCACTCGTGTTGGCCTTACTACGGCCACCGCCGCCCACATTAAATGAGTTGGCCTTATAGAAATCCCCGCCTGATTCAGCGGCCACTGGAATTGAGCAATCAGAATGTTGTTGGTTGTAATATCACAGGCAGTCACTTTACGTTTTTTTGTTTGTCTTTTGGTTTTCGCATATTAAACTAATTGGCATTTTGTCGTAATAAATAATAAATTCAATTAATTTCAATTCACTCTCTTGGAGTTTTCATATTTCAGATTTCAGTTGGGAAAGCTGGGAGGTTGGGGGCGGTGGTGCTGAGGCTGGCGGATGCGGATTTCTATAAGTTTCGTTTTTTTTTTGTGTTTCAAAAAATACCCACTAAACACTGAGTTGGCACACAGAAAATTTTGTTCCACACAAAAGCTTTTGGTTGTTCGTTTTTTGGATCGGTTGGTTAGTAGTAATAATTGCTGGTGGTTTTTTGTGATTGTGTGTTTAATTTTTGTTTTAGACATTTACCAATCTTCTAGGCTGTTTAATTAGGGGTCGATTCATGCCGTTCATTTTCATGTACAAGCCGCAGGCATTGCACAAATAGTGTCCCGTGTTATCGCGTCGCCATAATGGGGTTGAAATCGCACCACAATTGACACATTCTCGCCCCTCAGTGAAATAATCGGCATCGAATAATGCTTCAAAGATTGACATAGAAATATCGGGATAAGTCATAAGGTATTTGGATAGTTTAGCTGTTTTGCGTTTTTTTTTTTGTTTTGTGTGTGTTTTTATAATTTAGTTTTTTTGTATTTCTATGGGTTTTTTGCTTTTGTGGTGTTTTTTGTTTTGATTTTATCTCAAGAGTTGAAATAAAATTAATTGAATTTATTATAGAGACGTAGGCTTAAAACTAGAATTATAATAAATATATGATATTAATAATATATTAAAATGTATGATCATGGCAACAGCTGCTTGCAGTTGGTTAACATTTCCTGACACAGTTTACTCAGGTTAGGCAAATAACTGGCCATCGATGGGTTTCCTTTTTTCTCTAGTGAGAGTGTGTGAAGTTCTACCTAAAACCCTCTCCAAACAAAAATGGAAAGGATCTTGGTTGTGTGTGTATTTGAGTTTGCTTATGTCCTAGTCTGGCCTAATATTCTTTTTTTATCTTATAATCCCAATGGGAACTTACTTGCTGACAGCGATGCCGAGGCGGATAGAAAGGCTGTGGGATCGACGCGACCAGTGGTTCCATCCACAGCCGCTGCGGCTGCTGCATTGGCCGCCGAGATGGCCCTGCCATTCCGTATCACATTGGTCACCACTCCGGGTCCAACTCCGACGCCCAGTTGCGTCTGTCCAGCGGCGGCCGAGGAGTAGCCCATTTGATCGAACCAGGCTTCGTTCTGTAAAATATCAGGGGTTATTTAAGAGTTCAGAGGGGGTTCTTAGGGGGCAATCCTCACCTGGCCGCGGTAATTGCTCATCGGAGCGTAGCGTTCGGCGCCACTGACCGAGCCATTGGCCACGCCACTCACATAGCCGCTGCTCACGAACTTCTGAAAGCCTGGAAGGGCTCCACCACCGCCGCCACCGCCGCCGCCGCCGCCACTGTGGCTGCTCCTGGGCGATCCGTAGCCGTCCTCCAAGGAGCTGTTGTGTCCATTGACCGCCGCCGTGGCCGCCGCCACCGCCGCCGCTGTGGCCGCCGAGGAGCTCGAGTGGTGCAGACCCACTGGCCCCGGACTGCTGCTGCTGGAGTTGTGGTGGTGCTGCTGGTGGTGATGGTGTTGCTGCTGCAGCTGCTGCTGCTGGTGTTGCTGCAACTGCTGCTGTTGCTGCTGGAGGTGCTGCTGCTGGAGGTGGGCGTGCGTCTGGTTGGGCGACTGCATGCCGTACTGAATGCCATTGACCGTCTGGGTGAGCAAGGATCCAGCATAAGCAGAGCTAAAAAGAATACAAAAATTAAAAAAAAAATTATAATAATCAATGCTGTTTAAATTTAACTATACTTAAAGCGTTTTTAAAATAAATTAATTGTTGTTAATATAGCCCAGAAAAAATTGTATCAAAAATAACTTTAAGAAAAGACCATAAAATCAAAAAAAAGCTACACAAAATATTTTTGATAGCTAGTTTGTGAATTTTTCAACTATAAATGAGATTTTTATAAGAGCTCTAAATATATTATTCTGGCTTATTTCTTAGCAGATCTTAAAAAAATAAAGTTTGGATTCTATTACTTAAGTAATTTAATTATAAAAATTTTGCAAAGAATTTTTAAATTTATTGGTAGTAATATATCCATTTCCTTGATTGCTTTACCTATAGCAATAGTTCTTCAAATACATATTATTGTAGTTTGAAAAGAACATTTTGTAATCTCTTTTATTTTTGGTCGAAAATAAATGAAATCTTTTTACGCGTGCTTAAAAACGCTAGGCGCACATTTGCGCGCGTTTCGGGGGCGTTTTTAGTCGCTGTCGCTCTGTTGACTCCGCTGCAAAAACCGCACTGTCACTGTTGGGAATACGAGACGCTATTAACATTTCCTGGCCATTGTTTACTTTACAAGAATGAGTTGTTTTTGCCATCAACGACGGACCACCAGCGTCCAGTTTTTGGCATACTTGCAGTTGAGCCTGTGCGGCAGAGGCCATAAAACTTTTAATTAAAGAATAAAAGTGTTTGCAGCTTTGTTTACTCCAAAAAAAAGAACATACGTAATCGTTTGTTTGTTAGCCTCAGTTAACAGTAGCCTGTGCAAATATTTTTGCCAAGACTCGGAAATACTTCAAGTAAACAATTTGAAGGGGGAAAACAAATTGCCGCGTAGACAAAAGTTCTCGAAGAGAAGGGAAGATCAAGGATTGAAGTTTTTGGGCTTTCGTTTTCACAGGTGCACACTCTAAACATCCGTCTACACACTCTATTATTTTTCTTGCGACAGGAAAACAATCGAAATCAATCAATTAATATTCTCCATTGTCTAGTACAACCATTTTTATTTTTGTTTTTCGCAAAAATACAATTCTCTATTTATGTGTAAGCAGCAACACAGGAAACACGCGGAAGTGATCAGTTCAACTTTAGCTCTAGCTTTTGCTTTGGCGTTTTCGTTTTCGTTTTGATTTATTTTTATTTCAGTTTTCAGTTTTAGCTCGGGCTGAGTTCTCTGGACGAAGTGGAGATGGAGATTTAGACCCGAGACCGAGAAGAAAGCACAACCGAATCGGGGCACGCGCGTTTGCATAATGACTTGAGTCGGGTTTAGTTTTATGCCAATGCAGTTGCAGTTGCAGTTGTCGCCGCCGCTGCTGCTGCTGTTGCACTTGCAATTGTTGCAGTAAGTCTTGGCCCAAAGAAATCGCCACTCATTACACACACAATGTGATTAAGTGACGAAATAAACTCAACCGAAAAAATTCATATCTTTATAAGTACTACATATTCAATTATCAAACAAACGGCTTGCAAATAATATTTACTCTTTGTGGCCAGAATTTATATGACCAAGTCTTTCAGCTAGATGCTCACGCTCTCTGATAACAGCACCATTTCATTGCAGTTCGAGATGCCCTATAGCTTTGGCTATAATATAATGTATAGCCGCATATATAGGAAGTCTGAGTGACAACAAAAAATGCACGACAACGATATAATTTTATCACCGCTTCGGTTTATTTCTCTTGTTTTTGCTGCTGTTGTTGTTGTTTTCTCTGTTGTTTGTTGCAGGTGAGTATTTTGCGTCGACTTCTTGTTTTTCACATATATGTGAGTATAGGTATGTGTGGCGAAAAATGGCATGTGAGCTGGCCAGCAGCGTGATATCTTCTTCTGGTTTCTTGCCGCCACAGAAGCGAAACTGGCCAAAAAGTCACATACGAAATGCGGAGCAGAATCATCCGCCAGCAGATGATCTCAACATCGAGTTACCGAGATATATAAGTGAAAAGGTCTATGAAAACTTTGTGTAAAATGTAAATATAAATCCATGATATGGATAAACTTTTAGTCATTTAAAACCTTAAATTTTTTTTATAAAAATCTCGCATCTAACAAAATATGATTAATAAAATTTGTACTGCTTTTGTTTCCCTTTTGAAATCTTACATTTTTGACTGTTCCTCACATGACTTCATATATTTCAACTAAATGTGCATTCATGCCTGTTTTCATATGCATATGCAAAACACGTTTTCAATTTAAATAACAACATAGGAAAAACAAATAGAAAAGCTCAAAATGTAAATGAAAAGCGAATTGGCAACAGAGAGAGTAGAGTAAAATGAGAACTATAATGTGCGGGTGCGTTGGGTCCGCTAGAATTAACCCATTACACCCATGGTACCGCTTTCCTCTTAACCCTTACCCCCTTCAAGGTGTACCTAAATATTTTAGCTCGGGGGTTGCTGAGTCAGCTGAGGCTACCCTGAGCACAGAAAAAATAGAGTAGAGTAGAGTCTTGCGAGGCATTTGAAGCTGTTTGGGTTTCGTTTGACGGCTTTTATGTCACTGAATTCGGGATTGGGTTACAGCGACTCTCAAACAGTCGCACACTCGAAAGGTATCCTCTCATAAAAAACAATAGAGCTTGCAACTTGAATACCCAAAACAAGCTAGAAAAATGCGCTGCAATTTGCATTTTATTTTTTTTTTTGGCTCCTAAAAAGTCACCAAGTTTCGACTGTTCGATCAAATGCGGGTCACGCCCCCTTTTCCTATTTTTTTGGTAGTTAACTTGCCTCGCTTTGTGGCACGTGCTTGGGACCAGGCCAAATGTGGCCACAACATGGACACGTGCAGTATTAGCCAGCTCATGCTGGTCGAAATAATAGAAGGAAAACCCAACTAGAAACTTAGTCAACCATTTAGAATTCCTACATCTCGCGGGGCAAGTTGGTTCTGCTTGGACTAAGATCCCTAAGCGGGAAAACTCCTGAGTCAGAGAAACCATGCGTCAATAATTAAGACATTGCATATTCTTGTTTACGAAATATGAGCGGCAATTTGGTTATTTTTTTGCTGAGTTTCGAGCTTGCCGCAGATTTCTTTGGGGGAAGACGCTCCAGGCGACGCTAAAAATGCCAAGTGCAAAACCCTTATTTATTCTCGTGCATTGTTTATTTTGATCTCGAACATAGGTTAGTTTTACTAATAGTCATCTCTTCAAAGAAGATATCAAAAACCAGTGTATAATAATCGGAAAGATGGAAAGATAGAAGTTGTAAAGAGATAAGGAAGCGAAGAATCATCTTTAAAATAATAAACATTGAGAAGAAATCTTAAAGTTCAATTTAGAGATGAAATATAATTTAAATTAATAGAAGTTTGTATTAAAGAATATAATATAAAAATGAATAATATTATAAAAAATATTCTAGTAATTTATTTTAAGTAATTAAATATTTTTTATAATTAATGAATAATATTATAAAAAATTCGTAATTTATTTTAAGACGTAGAATTTTTTTCTTTCTATGAGACATCTGCTCTGTCTTCACATCTGTGTTTTGTTTATGTTTTTTGTTGTCCCACTGGAAACACATTCTTCGAGCCCAACTAACTAGCCAGCTAGTTGAAAGTGGAACAGATTTTTGCATTCCACATATTGAGTAAACCACCTGAGAATGCCATAATGCCATAACCATAACCGACTGTATTTGGGATTTTCTAAGAGAGGAGAAGGCGGAGGAGAATAGGAGACCTAAGCCTGAGCTTTGGAACAATGAGCCACCAGTGTCGATGGCTTCGATGGCTTCGTCACTCCCCACGAGAAACCGCGCCAAGGCGGGAGAAATATGAATCAGCCGGCGCGGTTCTGGAACTCTGGCACTTGTTAGGTGATCGCTGCTGATCGCTGATCGCGGATCGGTGCTCCGATCATGACTTTTAACGGTGTCGCCAAGCGGGCGAAAGGCACGTGCGCTCGAGCGCTTCGTGATAGTGAGCTCATTAGCTCACTACTCCGATGGAAGACTCACCTGTTCTGCAAGCTGCTGGCGACCCCAAAGTAGGTGTCGTTCTCCGGCGAGAGGCTCTCCCGCTGGGTGGCGCTGGTCAGCTGGGTAAAGCTCTGCAGGGTGGACAGGGCGTGCGAGGATGAGGGTGAATCCCCGCCCGCCGAACTGGTGGAGTTGTTGTGATGATGGTGATGTTGCTGCTGCTGCTGCTGCTGTTGCTGTTGCTGGTGGTAGAGTTGCTGCTGCTGTTGCTGATGATGCAGCTGCTGCTGGTGGAGTTGCTCGTGGGTTAAAGCATACGGACTCGGCTCCTTTAGGGTATGCAAATCCGAAACGGAGGTCAGCACATGATAGTTGCTGCTGTGCCCATCCTCGAAGCACTCATCCTTCAGGGTGTCCTGGATGACCTCATCGATATTGGGACCCTGTGCTGCTGCTGCTGCCGCCGCTGCCGCTGCCAAATGTTCGGCTGTGGGCATGCCCACGCCCACTCCACCGCCTCCGGCGTAAACGCTATACAGAGGCAAAGTTGTTCCGCATTATGGGATCCGTGCTGGCGTAGTGCTCGTACAGCTGGGCGGGTGGATGACTGGTGGGATAGGGAAAGTGGTGGTGGCCAAAGAGATGGTGGGGCAAGGCTACCGCTGCTGCCGCCGCTGCTGCTGAGCCGCTGGTCAGGTCATAGGCCAGCCAATTGGCTTGGTGTTGCTCCTGCACCGCCTGCTGATGTTGCTGATGGTGTTGCTCCTGTTGCTGATGTTGCTGCTGTTGCTGGTGGCTTATAAACTGTTGCTGCTGCTGCTCGTAGATCTGATGGACACTTTCGGGCAGACACTTGATGGTGGACACTTTCTGGTGGACACTTTCACTCGCGTTGTTCTCGGCCGGCTGATTATTATTATTTTGATTATGATTTATCGCACTGGGCTGATCGTCGTCATTGATCGATGTTGCTGCTGTGTCGCTTGCTGTTGCTGTTGCTGTTGCTGTTGCTATTACTGTTGCTGTTGCCGACGCGTTTGGTGTGGTAACCGCTTGGCTTGCTGTTTCGCTGACAACTGAAGTGTGAGCCTGCGAGCGCGCGGACTCAAGTGTCGATAAATTCGCTGCGGCGGGCGTCGCTGCCTCCGTTGGCTGCGCCGTTGGCGTCGCTGCTTCTCCCTCTGCTGGCTCCGTTTCGATCGCCGTTATTGCCGTCTCTTTCGTGGCTGCATTTGATCCTGTTGCTGTTGCTGTTGCTGCTGCCGATCGTCCTGACTGCCGCTTGTTGTTGTTGGACTTGGCCGTACGGATCTTGCTGTCCGCCGCATTCGTCAGCAGACTACCGCCCGCTTTGGCCCCCAATCCCGTTCCCGATCCCGATCCCCCCGCCGCCGCCTTTTCCTTGGGCTTAGTAGTTTTCGTCATTTTTTTACCCGGCGCTCCACTCCACACACTCGATTATCCGGATTCTCCGCCGTGTCCGTACGTACGTGTCCGTATCCGGCGCGATTTTCACACAAACTGATTCGATTTGAGCGGCGGCCTGCGCTTCGAAATTCGAAATACGGAACAGCAAAACACAAAAAAATACAAAAAAATAAAGCTCATTAAAATTGTTTTTATTCTTTTTAGAAAATCAAATCGAGAACAAATCGCTGCCAGCATCCTCTCTCCCTCTCGCCATCTCATCTCTGCCCATTGATTACAGTTGTGTTTGGTTTGCTCTGCGCCTTGCTCCACATGCCGTTACTCGAGCACCACTCCAAACCGTAATCTTTAAAGTACGCCGAAAAAATTTAGTCATTATAAAATTCGATCTTTTAAGGATCAGCATTTAAAACGCTAAACTTTCATGTCATAGATGTTTGCTTACTTTTTTGCAAAGAATATTTCAATTATATATTGTCAAGTCTTTACTCTGACTTTAAAATCTTAATCCTAATCGTTAACCATGAGGATCAGAAAACGGCTAATAGTCCTTAGTTAGTTAAAATAATTAGCCATTATTGTTCACACCGTTTTTTGTTTTTAATTAGAAATCAACACATCAATTTTCTTTTACAGTGTACAGCTTTGAATATTTCGAAATGTTCGATTCGAGCTCCACGCTCTCCCATTCTCCCACTCTCTTTTTGGGGAGCCCTCTCTTCGGTCCTCTCTTTCTGTTCCTGCGTCGATGGCTTTGCATTTGTTGTATGTTATGTGCTGGTTGTAATGCCTGCCTTATCGCACTCATTGCCGCCGCCTGTTGTTGCTCGCTCGCTGCCTCTCGCTCTCGCCAATGCCCCTAAATACGGGTTCCCTGCTTTTAGCTACGCCTCTCACTGCAGCAACAGCAAAAACAACAGGCGTAGAAAGTGGGCGACGGGGTGGGGTGGGGCAGGCCGAGGCAGAGGCCATGCCGGATTGTTGCTATTGTTGTTGTTGCCGCGACCTCAACTGTTCCTCGATTGGTGTTGTTGTGGTTGGCCGACTGGCGGCTGCCAGCAACCGCAAAAACAAAGTACACACTAAATCTGGGAAATATAAAGAAAAAAACAAACAATTTAAAATAAGTAACGTTTAAAATATAACTTTGGTGCTAAGCCAATTAAAAAAGAATTCAGAAAATCCGCTTTTTTCTTGCTTGAAATTCTTTAGAATTTACACTTAGAACGTAACAATCAAAATAAATAATTAAAGTATTGAACTCGTATGGAAACAATAAAACATAAACAGTCTAAGTAATTCCATCAAAGGAAAGTATTTTTTAAGCGATTAATATAAAAATAAATAAAGAAAATGTTTCTATAAGATAAGAATATAAAAATTCAATAATTATAATCTTCTTACTATTACAGTAGAACAGCATTTAATTTTAATTTAAAACACAGATAACAAACTAAAAGAATAAATTTCAATGGGTTTCAAATCTTTAAAAATAAAGTCCAAATTTTTGAAATTAGGCACGAATTGTAAAATAATTATGAAAGATTTATAAGAAGGGATTTAAATATAAGATTTAATGACATCCATTTAATAAAATGAATTATACATTTTAGATTAACAATGACTATTTAGTTATTTATTTAATTTAAATTTTATTGCTCTTGATTAAATCGTACCCCAGTTAGCCCATTACTATCGCTGTGGATAATATTCTCAATACCCTTCATGGTTTTTTCTACAAATCAAACGTAAAATTTACTCATAAATTAGAACAAAGTAAATCGAGGGCGAGGAACAAATTTGAAATTGTTCTAAAATTTCAAAATATCATGCGTATTAGGAAGGGGTCCCCGTCCTCCAGAGCCCAGACACACTTTCATGCCTATCGCGAGGACGCGAACATTAAAATCCAGCCGAGACGCGTGTAGAATTTCAGGATCGGGCCAAAGGACATAATATCTCGCGGCGCGACAAGTGAACGAACGCTGGAGCCGAGCCGTGAGAAAAATGTAAGGGAAAGACTTTCCCCTGGACTTCGTTTTGGATCTCCGTTGCCCCTTGCAAATTCCCGAGACGTCGCGCCAAAATATATAATTTCAAAAACGATCGTAAAAATATGTACTCGAACTGCCCCTTCTTAATGGCTGATTAAAAAATTGTTACATTTGAACCAGGACGAGTCGTAAAACGACTTTCGAGTGGGATCTTGGGAGGCTCGGTCGGTGTTTTTATGGCCTTTTTATCGTCATTTGAATAGGCGGCACCAACGATCTGTTTGGACATTTTGAGAACATTTTAACGATCGTCGATCAATTGGAAAAGTGGGCGACACTCAAGTGGTTCGGCTCGAAAAACCAAATCCGAATTCGAATTTAAATGGTTCTGAATACAGCGAGACACGAGTACTCATACTCTCGTACATAGACATAAATCGCCTAACCTTTGTGGGCATTAAAACCAAATAAGTGTATGTTATTAAATATACGAAAAATCGAAGCTGATAAGGTGCTCTTGGGATCGCTTTGAAGCCGGACTGAAGTGGGGAATCAGACCGGACCTTTCCCTAGACACATGGGGACTGAGGTTGACGCCTCTCCGCTCGTTCGCCTCATTTATTATATATTTTTTTTATTTATTTATTCATAATTTTTTGTGTTCGCCTTCGGTCGACGCAACACTGTCGATCGGGAACGAAACCAAATTTCAATTTTTCAACCAGAAAGCAAAAACAAGTATTTCGAAATGTTCGAATTCGAGCTCATTTGCCTGCATGTGCCTGGGATCCATAATGGAACTTTAACCTTGAAATTATTAATTGCCAAGTTTGAAAAACTGGCACAGACGTCACAAGGGTGATCGGCTCAATAGAACACGCGATTCGCGCATGTCGAGAACCCAAATAATATACAAAGTATAACCTTTCAATTAAATTGTAGTCATTATAAAAATGCTGAGAAAACTATTGTAGAAAAATATCTAGAATTTTTCCAACGTTTCCAAATTCAATTTAACTCAATCGGCTAAACTTTATTAAAGGTAAAAAATGCTGAGAAAAATGTCTACTGATATTGGAAAAATTTTCGAATTTTAGAATTTTTCCAACGTTTCCAAATTCAATTAAACTCAATCAGCTAAACTTTATTAAAGCTAAAAAATGCTGAGAAAAATGTCTACTGATATTGGAGAAAAGTTTTTGAATTTTCCCAACATTTCCATACCCCATTAAACTCAATCAGCTAAATATTGTTAAATAAATCCAACTCTATTTATTTATTTATCTGGCAATCATTTATATTGTTAGAAAATGTTTCGTATTTAAAACTTTCTCACACTTGACTTCTGAATTTACCTTCTCGTACTCCCCATTTGAGTTCACCCTAGGTTCCTGTGACCCCAAGCTGGCATGTTATGCCTAGTTAGGTCCGATAAGTCGGGGCTCTATAAACGAAATGCATTGAGTACAAATGCAAATAACGGTGTAAGCGGCCTCAAAAACCCTCGACTTCAATAGCGGAATACGCTTTATAATGTGAGTCAGGGCTGAGTGCCTCGACTGGCTGAAAGTTCTGAAGATTGGGGCGGAGTTTCCGAGGAGCGGAGTGTCAACAAACACGAAGATTTCGCTCCAGAGGCATCTCCCGAATCCATAAATCACCCAACGAGCCGTGGCGATGCTATGCTAATGATGTGATTTATTACAGGTCCTTAAGGAAAGGATAATCTTGTGGGTCTGCGGGCTAGGAGGTGCCCTGTTTCACACTCGATCTCCGAATTTCAATGGGCCGTGGCACAGTTCTCCGGTTTTTGTGTGAGGCGAACATATCGAATGCCCATTGTTTATGGCGAAAAGTCGTTTAATAAGTTTTATACGCATTAGTTAAAACCACTGAGGGCCAATTCAAACAGAAATATTCCTATTTGTATATCCCACGAGACCCAAACACGTACACACAAATTATAGGGTTTTTGTGGAACCAAGTTTTTTGGCTTAATACTATTTTGACATATTTATGGTGCCCGTGCCCGAAAATGGGTTTCTCAAACAAGTGTCAACTGCGGCGAGTGTCTCACATATCAGGACGATCATCATTTCGGTGCCGATGTATTTATGCATTTTTAATATTTTCCTGTACATCGCGGCCATAAATATTGCACTGGTAATCCAATACGCCACGGCTCCATTTCATCCCTAAGTCCCGATCTCGAGTTGAGTGCGTATTCCCCTATCTTTGGATACAAGCCGTTTGACTCCTTAAGCGCCAATTATCAGCATCGTTATGTGGTAGGCATTCGAATAAAAATTCTACAATAAACCGAAGAGATCCCTTTCAATTCAAGTGGCCTGCGGTCTGTCTCAAAAGTTGTGCCCTTATCAAAACCCATTAAATGACCATTGAGAACATGTCTTTAACACTCTTTTAATGCAACAATAACCCACTCAATTGTTTCTGCTTATCTTCAGATGCTGTAAGTAGATTGGAAAGTGGAAAGACTCAAGATTTTGCCAAATATAAAGTGGATTTATTCGACGTTGACAAACTTTGTTACTTAGAATTAAAACGGAGTTTGGAGGACAATCTTCTATACCTTATGTTGCTCATATGCGGCCTAAGTATTTTTCCAATTTTATGCAAATACAATTTACATGATTTACTTATCCAATTTGTAGAGTCAACATCGGCACACGTGTCGTTGAATTAAATAAGTAAACACTTCATTAAGTAATATGGTCAAAAGGATTTGATGCAATAATACCCGACTGAACATATTTCCCGCACATTGGCGGCGGCTGTGAAAAGTTTTTCCCACAGCAGGACAAACAAAAAACAGCAATTGAACCTATTTAAATAGACTTTGTATTGGGAAACTGTCAAGAAGCCACGATTAAGCCGCACTGATCAGTGCTAATCGGCCGGCCAAGCCGCAGACGGCTGCCATTTGCTGGGATCGGTTCAGGTAGGATTCCCCATACCATTTCCAGTCCCATCTTACCTTCCCAAAGGAAACCAGGTAAGAAGATGGTAAGGTAAACAGGACAAAATGGCAACACGCGCCGACACGATACAAATTGATCGTGGCAAGGAAAGAAAAGGGAAGGGAAAGGACTCTGGACATCCTGGGGATGCGGTTGTTATTGTTATTGCCGCATCTCCTAGTCCTTTCGAGGTCCTTTCACTCTCTCTTTCTCTCTGTCTCTCTTGACCCAAGCAAATAAACAACATTATGAATTTGTTTTCGCTGACAACGTCAGGGAAAATATTGTCCCTTCCTTTGTTGGGTTATATAATTTCGGAAAATATGTTTTTACTTTTCGTCGTTAGCCACGTACCTCGGCGCTGGCGCTTTATAATTAGGGCGTCCACTTGAGGAATGATGATTTTTTAATGGTCCGCCTGAGTGACACTCACGGTGGGTGATCGACTAATGCGGAGACAACTTGAAAGGGGCTAGCAATTATACCTAATAATCAATCTCAAAATCACTGTATTCGAAATATTAAGAAATATGGTTCAATTTAGGAAGGATTGAATATTTAATGTAGGATTTTTAAATTCTATAATTTAACATTTCTTTTAATATGCTCAATAAAAATTTAATTAATCTTAAGTTTTAATATTATTATTACATTTATTTTTATTTTCATAAGAAATAATAAAATACAATATTAACTGTAATTTAATGTGCTTGTCACGTTGTGTTATGGCATGGTATTTCAATTTTAATTTTATAAAAGAAATTAGGGTTCATAAAAAAAAAAAAAGGTCAGAAATTAGATATTTTGTAAAATTTGTAACTCTAAAATTGAAGATTTGTTATTAGAAAACTTCAAATATCATTAAGAAATACATAAAGTTCTATGTTTCTTATTAAGAATATATTATTTGGTATGTAAATATTTTAGATATAGGGTTACTATAAGGGTCTAATTACCTGGGAATTTCTCAATCAGATAATTGGAATTCCCCCATTAAAAACCAATCTTAAATAGACTTGGAAATAGAGCATTCCCATTCATAAAAGGAAGCGGTGAGTGAATCAGCACACCGGAATTTCCCAGTCCAGAGCCGAAATTTATGAATGGAAGACGGACACTTTGCCCAGGTCCTAAACTCATTAATTTTTATGCGGCAAACAAATGCGGAGAGTGAAAGTAAGGTTGGGTAATTAAAGTTCTGGCAGCGAAGAACAATGCAAGTCGGAACGATGACGGGGCATAGGGATTGGGATTGGGATTGGGTCTGGCACTGGGCATATCCTGTCAAACACACATCACATTACGAGGAAGAGGATGAGGAAGGTGGACAGGTAACCGACCGGCAACAGGTACTCATCGAAGACCCAGTTAAGAGACACGCGCGGACACTCATCCTCCCATCCGCTGCGCTGTGCACATATAGCATTTAGATAGCCCTATGTTTATATGGAGTAGGTGCGGTTTTTCCTAGACTTTGGCGCACAGACCGCAGGGAACTGGAACTGAAACTGGAACTCGAACTGAAAGGTATAGAGGACGTGGTTGCCAGAGCAATTAACAATTAAGACAAACACGAGTGTCTTGTATCTTGTATCTTGTCTTTGGCCGATTGTTGTTTGCCCTGCATTTCTGTTTGCCTTTCGGAATTTCACAAAAATTCCTTTTATACTACAATTTTTACTTGGCTCTCTGCTGTTTTCTTAATGTTAATCGTTAATGTTTAATGTATGTGACTGTCCGTCATTGTGGCTTGTTTGTCCTCGGTTTGGTTTGGGTTTTTGCGGTGTTTGTTGTCGCGGTTTCCTCCACCATGGTACCCAAAAGTAAACCCCGACTGTTTGCGGATGCATTTCGCTAAAGAGATGCACGTGTCAGCGGAATTGGAATTGGGATCGGGATCCCTTCGGGGTTTCCTTGGAAAATCACTGGGCTGAACAACAAAAGGCAATTGTCGGTTAAGTACGACTATTTTTTTTCTTTATTTTTTGTATAATTAATTTTCAATATGGCTGACCTATGGCAGGAAGTCATATGTGTGTATAATATATTACATATATTATAAAGCCTCCACTACATTTATTTCTTTTGTTTTGGAATTCTTTTCACAATTGCTTATTTTTCTTGAATAAGTATTTCTTTTTATTTTTCCCCACATTTGTAATTATATATATACATATAGCATTGTTGTTGTAGTTGCTGTAGGGGCCTGTTGATAAGAACGTCGTCGTCGCCGCAACTCAACGACCGCAGAGGCACCAAGTGCCAGTACCAGGGAACGGGCCCCAGCATTTGACTCGCATTTTGTTTTTCTGTCGCTTGGAAAGCTATATATATACAGTACTACTTATATACATGGGCACAATTTAAATTGTACGAGTGCAAGTACATACATATTATAAGTACATATATATGGCCACTTGTTGGGTGACACTGCCTGGAGCTCGAAAGGCAATGCCCCACCCTTCGGATGGACGGAACCCAGAGTTTTGTGCTTTTCGGGTTCGTTGATCGTCATGCTGGTTTCATGTAATCGTCATAATTTTCCCAACTTTTCCTTTTTCAGCCGTGGCTACTTTTTCTTTATCTTTTTGCGCTACGTTGCGGCATAAATTCCTTGTAAGTTGGGGATCTATGGGGTTTTTTTACATTTTGTTTATAAATTACAAAAATCTATCCATAAATTTCTTTAAATTCCCAATAATAAAATACAATTATATAACTATGAACACATTATACAATCTAAGGCCCACTTGTTTTAATTTAGTGCTTATAAAAATACTTATTTATTGCATATATCAAAAGCCATTTTTAACGCGCAACTCATAACAAAAATGACTGTACAAAAAGCTATGACTAACAATGATATTTCTGCTTAAAAATAGTGATTAACATTACGAGTATGTGACCTACAGTAGTAGTTTTCCATAAAATTAAGTAGTTATTTATTAAAAATAAAAACTAAATAGTTATGTCATAGCTAAACCAAGGACAACCCAATTCGACTCTGGGGAACTTACAAAGTGGTCCAGACGGAGCAGCCAGCATTCCCATGAACATTCCCGACGTTGTAGGTTAGGTCCAGAGTTGTGGGTGTTCAAATCCGTTGCGCTCATTATGAGGGGCGTTCGGCATTCGGCACATGTGGTTTACATCGATGATGATGACCGGGCAACGGGCATCTGGCGATCTGGCGATCTCACGAGCTAAGCAAGCGTTAAATTTCGGATTTCAATACTGGCCAGATTCCGAGGGGGCGTTAACCCGGCAAATGAAAGTGTCACACAGGTCACGCCGACGGATCACAACTCTTTCGGGGAAGCGGATGGCTTTCCCGGGCGCCCCTTCGACTGGCGATTATGTTTGGTTAAACTCACGTCGCTTTTGTGGTTAAACACACATTTAAAGGATTTCCCTTGCGCCGGCGCAACTTTCCTTTCTTCGGGTTTTCTTCGGTTTCACGCCTCCGACGAAGAAGATCACTGTGATAATCGCCGGGCACGACCCACGAATTCTACTCACTGTTACCGGTTAGGAGATAGGATGGGATGGGAGTACCGAACCGAACGACCACCGGACCCGCATCCGCATCCGAGCTCCGACCTACTACTACAACTTTTCAAATGCTACTCGGCCCGGAGCCACCCAAAGCAATGCGAGTAAAATATTCTTGATTAAAACTTATCAGAGCACAATTCATATCACCTTTTCAAAAACGCAACAACAGCAAAGTAACGATTGTACTTTATTATCGGCGACGCAACCGTCGAACTCATTGCGCCGTGTACTCGGTACTTTTACTTTGGCGTAGTTTGGTTGTCGCCGGTTCCGCTGATTGGACGCAGCCAAGATATGGCTATCTGGTCCGGGCCCGATTCCGATTCCCGATTCTACGACCAGCCCCACAGACGCCAAAACACACTGGAGCGAGCAGGACGACGACGGCTGAGACAGAGAGGGCGATACCAAAACACGATTTGATTAAGTTGCATCACGCGCCGGTCGCGCGACTATCCTTATCGGGGCAACTCTCCGACTTGGCGAACATATGTACATGTACTACACACGCATATGAGAAAGCCGAGTGAGTCCTTATCATCACTGGTTTGGCCAGATTTCGATTTGGTGACGACAACAACGAGAATACCAACCGATAGCCACTATCGCGGGCAGTAAGCTCCTCGTCAAAAAGAGGTAATGAGCGGCCCGGGAGTGTCATAAAAAAAGTAATGGATAAGCTCATTACAAGTGTAAAGGATCGTAAAATAAATGTACTTAATTTTGAAACCTGAGAATATATATTTATTGAAACTAAACAGATTTAAACAAATTTATCTGATTTATAACATTAATGGAAAACTCTTTAGATTGAACAACAATTGTTGCGAACTCAATGGGAAGTAGGTTTTTTAAATTTTTAAATCGAAAGGAAAACAACTTGTTTGACATTCTAAAAACAACATTATTGGAATCTCTTTAGATTGAACAAAATTAAAACTCTTAAGATCTATTTAATCTCAAATTCTTAAAATCGAAAGGAAATATTCTTGGTTTGACATTCTAAAAATCAAACTACTTTCATCTATATTTTCAGGAATGTCCTCATGGCAAACTAGATGTAGGATCTTATTCTAGAAATCGTAATGAAAACGTTGAGCATAAAACTAACTTTAAACTTAACAAGAGAATAAGAAAATCATTGCTGAATTGGTCCATGTTTGTTTAATTTCCATATATGTTTAATTACTTTAATTGAATTTAATATATGTGCAAAGTGGTCTTAATTACACCCCCTTTAAAGAACTGATATCGAGGCCCCAGCAAACGACCTTGCCTATCTGCCATACCCTTTTTTCTGGCTCACTCCCCTGACGATAAAGTTTAACAACGTGCCTAAAACACAAAAATGTAAACAACGATACGGGGAAATGCCAAAGAGTCTGGTTTGTTTAATAAAAAATACAGAGCCTGCTAGTTTACCAAAAAAAAATAAAAAACCGATAAAAAAGTGTCAAGGAATTCCTATCAAATAACAAAATGCCGGTTCTTATGACGTCATGCGGATTGATAAGAGCCAGAGTAATCAAGAAAGAAAACACAAAAGGGCAGAAAACAAACATATTGCAAACAGAAACATTGATAAAACCAGACGAATCAGAAGCGAGGAGCGGGTGACGACGCGAAAACAATGCTGGCGAGATAAGGAGGTAAATAACCTGGCGGAAAACTTTAAGTCGGCGCCTCGACGGCCGGAGAAAGATCCTAACCTGCGACTAGGAGGAGGAGGAGGAGGAGGATCTGGCGACGGGGTGCGGGTCATCCATGCGGGGAGCAGCAGAAGGAGGAGGAGTACAGCGATAAGGACGCAAGGGTGCGGGTGCGGCTTACCAGCTATCAGCAGCAGTAGCAACGGCAAAGTCCGGAAGATGCCTTTGGTCAAAAGATAAAAGGCCAGAGTGGGTTGGCGAGAAGAATGTGAATATACTGAGAAAAATACATTGATCATCTCAACTTAAAAACCAGAAGACTGAGAAATATATTTCAAAGTAATGGCAACAAAAAGTCGTCCAAACCAAAAAACTTCTTATGAAAAAAACGCCAAGAAATTTTATTTCATATGAAGTTTTTTGTTTTGGACGAAAAAACGTAAAGAAATTTTATTTCATATGAAGTTTTTTGTTTTGGACGACTTTTTGTTGGGTTGGATACTAGCCCTAAAAGAAAAAAATTAATAGCAAATATAATATTAATAAATATTTGATTGTAATATCCTTATTACCCAGAATTAGAATTAAAAGAGGACGAATGAAAACTACTTATAAGGTATCGTAAAATAATAATATACGATTGTAAGTCCTGAAAATATACATTTTTTTTTAAATTTATTTATTTAAAAGTTAAGGAATCGCAATTAAAGATTTCTTTCTAAACCTATTTCTTATTTTCTTACAGTGTGTTGTAGTAAGAGGAATATTATGGCTTATCTGAACTCGACTTCAGCTCGGCTTTGCTTTTGTTTTGTTTGAGCTGGGTCTTTTAATACAATATAATAATGACCGTTTAAATGGGATTTTTATTATAAAAAAAAAGGGAAGACGGGCATTTCTACAAGCCAGAGATAAGGCCATCCTGTACCACGCACCGAATCCCTCTTATTCTTGCAGGAATTATTGTTTTTGAATATTGAAACACAGCCTCCATTACGAGAGGGTCGCATTTAGCGCCCCGCCTAGACATAAATAATATATGTGCTATATGCCATATAATCCGTAGCCATTTCATCGTGACGGAGCTCAGAGATAAGCCGGGATTTGTATGGAACAAAACCGAATAAAATTGAAAAATAAATCGACTATGCTGTGGGGTAAGAGGTCGACTAACTATATTTACCAGCTCTTAATGGGCTGGCACGACTGATAGCCTCATCAAAATTCAAGGTACTTGGGGTCACAACCGATCAGATTCAAAAATATTCCTCGCTAGTCTACCGAAGTATTCCTGTGATATATGAAACACAAAATCGATTTCAACCGATCAGATAAGTTGTGACAGCATTAACACATTAGTCAATAAAATGAGCTCAGAGGGGAGAGAAGAAGCAAACAATTGATAAAAGCGAAATTAGGTGTCTTATTGTGAGAGACAGGAGTCAATATTTACTAACCAAATGATGCACTCAAACAATAATTCTGTTTGGCAAACATTTGTATTTGACCATTGCCGATAAGAATCACTCCGAACAATGTGCGACTATTTAGGATCGATTGAATTTTGAATTAGGGTCCTTAGTACTTATTCGTCTTAGGATTAAAGTAAAGGAATAAAGTACAGTCATTAAACAAAAATTGGTTTAATGTTTTATATTTAAGAACGACTAGTCCTTATTTCAAGAACGAATGTTTTAAAAATTTCAAGTACTATTCGGTATTGTTTTTAAGAACGTTCGTTCTCAAATTATTCGTACTTATTTTTTCTGGGTGTAAGTGTAAAAGATTTTATGTTACGGTTTCAAAGAAACCAACGAAATTCTATTTATGCTTCTATTACTTTTTTGATCAAAATTTATTGATATTGTTATTAGCTAAATCAAAGCCATTTTCTTTCTGCTTGTCCGATTTGTTCACAAATGTCGTGAGTTATAAATTGGTTACGGGAAAACGCGATATTGATTAATATTAAAGCATAAATGTTGAAGAAAAATATAAAATAAATTATTGCTCGAATATAGAGTGGATATACAGCCAACCATTTGCTGACCTCCATGGACTATGTCCTGCCAAAAAGGTCCGGCCGATTTAACCCATTTCCACCTTTAATTTGAATTTAAATAAATGGCAGTTCGGCGCCAATATCGATTGATGATTGCTTATCGAATTTAATTTTTTTGAATTTTTGAATTTACCCGAATTTACCAAGGATGCCAAATCTCACAATTTTCTTCTTCTTCCTCATTTTCAAACTTAAACTTGCATTTTCAGAGTGACCAAATTTTTCATTTCTCCAAATTTGGAGAATTGCGGCAAATTTGTGGCAAAAAAATAAATAAATTATATTTCAAAATATATTTTCCTATTGCTGAGCGCCTTGTATTCTTCACATTTTATTACTCCAGATTAATTTTAAATCCTACATCAAACAGATCTTGAAACATATCGAGCTTTTTAAATAAATTTATCTGCTTTAAAAAAAAAACAAATTATAAATACACATTTTAAGTAATTTCCAACGTTTTTTATTAGTTTTTACAATTCTACTTTTGCGAATATAAAGGAACAGAGGGCAATTTAAATTTTCATTTTAGCCTAAAACTGGAAGTCTTGGAGTGGGAAGCAGTAGTCTACTTTTTCAGTGCCTGCACAAAGTTGCCCAGATCGTATTCCTCCTCGTACTGATGCTCGGACCAGAGTTCCGGCAGGTTCTCGATAATGGTGTTCATGGACATGCCGCCGGAGGCCGATCCTGCTGCTGCCGCCGCTGATCCAGAAACTGCTCCCTGGTCCTTGCCGCCGTTGAAGAGGTCAAATATCTGCGAGGTGCCCATCGTCTGGAGCGAGGCATTCTCCGCACTCACCACCGTGTTGGCGGTGAGTATCTTGAACTTCTGCAGCCCCATGATCTTTTCCTCCAGCGAGTTGCGCGTGATCAGCCGGTAAACATTCACCACCTTCTTCTGACCGATTCGGTGGGCTCGGTCCATGGCCTGCAGATCCTTCATGGGGTTCCAGTCGTGCTCCACAAAGATGACCGTATCGGCACCGGTAAGATTGAGACCCAGACCACCAACCTACAAATATATTTACAATTGTTATTGTGTGTTTGATATTTAAGGGGTAATCCAATTACCAGAGTGGTCAGGAGCAAAACATCGATGCTGGGATCGCTGTTAAAGTTGTTGACTATGTCCTGGCGCTGCGAGGCGGGCACACTGCCGTCCAGCCGCAGATAGGTGACGCTGGGCAGATGCCGGCGCAGCAAGTCGTGCTCCACAATGTCCAGCATAGCCTTCAGCTGGCAGAAGATCAGCGCCCGATGCTGGCTCACCGACTCGGTCTGCACACCAATGCCGCAGTCTAAGAGGAGTTGCCTGGAGGAAAGACAAATCCAAAAGTTAGTCATAAATAAACAGTAAAAATATTAAAATTAAAGAACATTTCAAGTAAAATAAAAACAAATCGTAAAATTAATGTAGTCAAAATAATAATAATTATCATAAAATATTAATCAATCCCAACGTAATAATATATGAAAATAATAAAAGTAACATATGTCTATTTTAAAATGGTTAGTAATGAGTAGACATCGGACCAATCAAATGTGGCTTTAAATCATTTAAAAAAAAAAACGATTTCACCTAAAATCCGATGTCTATTAATAAGTAGTAGTTTTAAGTATTTTTTGTTTAAATTCAATGTGGCTAGTGCTACAAATATAAGTGTAAACTTGCTGTGCTAGGATAATAATAATAAATAAATAAATAAATAGTAAATTGTAGAATCCCAAATCACTTACTTCAAAGCCGGCAGCTTGGCCGAGTGCTCGATGTCGTCCAACGAGCTGTTCGAGAGCGCCAACTGGCTGGCCACCTGGCTGAGCTCCTCGGACTGGCGCAGCACCAGCTTGGGATGGTTGCACACGTTCTGCAGGTAGCGCAGCGCCTGGAAAATGTGCGTCTTGGCGCTGAGATTCTCCGTCACGATGGCCGCCGCCGCCGACGACGAGTCGCCCAGCTTGTCCAAACAGTCTTTCAGATGCTTATTGCTAAAGTCTTCGTACAGGCGCAGCTGGAGCGGACTCAGTTCGCAGAGCAGATCCTGGGTGATCTTGGGCGGCAGGTCCTTCAGTACGTCCTCCTTGACGCGGCGCAGCAGGAAGGGCAGGACTTGGCGGTGCAGCGCCTCCATGGCCAGCACTCCGGCCTCCTGCTCCTTGGCCGAGCTCTTGGCGTCCCGTGAGGCCAGAATGGGACGCGAGAAAGCGTTGCACAAACTGCTTCTCGGTGCCCAGGAAGCCCGGCATGAGGAAGTCGAACAGGGACCACAGCTCCAGTACATTGTTCTGAATGGGCGTGCCGGACAAGATCAGTCTGTGGTTGGCCTTCAGTCGTTTGATGGCCTTCGAGCTCTTCGTCTTGCCGTTCTTGATGATGTGTCCCTCGTCCAGGACGACATAGTTGAAGTGTATGCCGCTGAAGAAGTCAATGTCCTTGCGCACAGTGTCGTAGGAAGCCACCACCAGGTTGCAGCTCGTTCCGATCTCACTCCTCAGCTTCTCCCTGCCCACGGGGAATCCATAGTAGTGCAGCGGGCGCAGAACGGATCCCTGATCCAGGAACTTCTCCACCTCGTACACCCAATGACCGGTCAACGTGGGCGGGCAGATGACCAAGCTGGGCAGATTGGCCGCAGTGGGCTTCCTGGCGATGCAAATGATCGCCGGCCAGAATGCAGATGGTCTGCAGCGTCTTGCCCAATCCCATGTCGTCGCACAGGATGCCGTGCAGATTGTACTTGTTGAGGAACCACAGCCAGTTGATGCCGGCCTGCTGGTAGCAACGCAGCTCCACACTTATGGGCACCGGAACCTGGTAATCGGGAATGCTCTTTGGATTGAACAGGTAGTCGAGGAACTCACGGTCGCGCGTCTTGCGCGCCTGCAGTGGCTCGCTCTTCAGTTGCTCCGCCTTTCCGCCGTCCAGCGGCATCAGCTGGACGAGATTGGCAAAGCAGTGGGTGGACAGTAGTCGCACAGATTCATCCGGATCGCTCATGGCTCCCAGCAGCGGCACCACCAGCAGCACGATGTAGGGCACCACTTTGATCTGCAGTCGGCTGACCACCCGTTCAATGGCCTCCACGGCGCCCTGACGCTCGATTAGCTGCTCAATCTTTCCCAGCAGCGGCAGCAGATCGTGCACCACAAACTGCATGGTCTGGCAGGCGTCGATCTCGGCCAGCACTGCGATGCAGCGGGCGGCCATGTGTCGGATCGCCTTCAGAGGATGACAGACAATAAACCCAAGTGGCGGCAGCAAGGCGAACATCTGGGGATGCAGTGCAGCATGCAGATGCGGGGCTGCTGTCTCGATTAGCTGCAGGGAGCTGACTAGCTCATTGCACATTGTCAAATCGGGCAGAATGCTGGGCAATCGCCAGTCGTAGGCCTGCTTTACAAACTGCTCCACCTTTGCCAAACATCAGCTGTTGAAAAACAGCCACCTTGTCCACAATGTGCTCTCCGAAAGTCCGGCACAGCTTCTCTATGGCACAGGCCGCTCCCAGCCGCTGAATGCGGCACTGCTTCGCTTCCGCCTCCTTCGCTTGCTGTGCTTTTATCTCTACGTGGGTGGCGACTGCGGTTGCGGCTGCCAAGATCTCGCCAGCGGGCGGCCGTCCAGGGCCACGACTAGCGGTGGTAGTAGTGGGAGTTGTGACTCCTCCTCCTCCCGCGGATCGGCTGTTGGTGACTGTGACTGCCTGTTGAAGTGCCAGCGTGAGAATGCCGTAGTAAACACAACTGTTTGTGACCCCAGCTGCAGGTGGCGTCTGCTTGAGGGTCTGGAGTGGCATTACCTGCAAGGGATTGGGTTAAATGATTAGTAAGATACATTATTAGTAGACCTCGGATTTTGCACATTTGCATATTTTTATAGGATAAAGATAGATCTATTCCGAAAACACCAGAGTTCGTTTCAATAAAAATATAGTTTAAAATTATTGGCATACTTTATTTTTTGTCATATTTGCATAAAATGCATATGCATAAAAAATATATGTAAAATATGCAAAATATAAAATAAACTCAACTGTTCAAGTTTGACCATTTCATAGCCAACCTAATTTTGTTTGTACCTTTTCGTCACTTCTGAGATATCTAATTTTTTCCCAAATTTAAGGAAACCCTATTTATATTTCCAACGAGTAGGCGAGAAGGGGGCAAAAATAGTAAGAGGGGCAGAATAGTTTTTAGCCCTATCGAACAAACTGCTCGTTTAAATTGCTCGCCGTGTTTACTGAAGGTTCCTTAGAATACCAGAGGGCTGCATCAAAAATTTGAGCCTCCAGTTGTTATATTTTTGGCATATTTTTTCATATTTCCGATATCTATCCGAATTTATTTCATTTGAAAAATTTGACACCTACCTAGAAATTTAGGTAAAAATCTGACCAAAAATGGACAAATATGCAAAATTCGAGGTCTATATATTATTAATTATAAAGTTTCCTTAAACTAACCAGTTTGGGCGTGTACTCGGCATCGCTCCGCAGCAGCGTGCACAGATTTTTCAGTATCTTGCTATTTGGACTAGGGTTTCTATCACAGACCTGGTCCATCAGGTGGACCAGGAACTCGGCGGATAGCTGCTGCAGCTGGAGGCACTGCTCCCGCTTGATGGACTCCATCAGCGGCTTCACCACCGGATTCAGCTTCTCGGGCAGGCAGTGCAGGGCGCAGATGGCGCCGGCGAGGGCTGCCTGGGCACTGACATGGTAGGCGCTCTGCTCACTGGTCGTCTGCAGGTAGGAGGCCTGCAGGCTGCGCCTCCGCTCCTCCAGCATGTCCAACAGCTTCGGCTTGAGCGGATAAACACGCAGATTTTCGCTCAACGTTGTGGCCACCGCCTCGATTTGCTCCAGGGTGAGAATCTTGGCATTGTTAAAATCGTTGATTGGGATTTTGTTCTGCTTCAGCGTGGCTATAAAGTCTTGGGCCTCCTGCAGCAGTCGCGTCAGTGAGATGGCCACCTCATCGTAGTAGACGTACTCGCTGACGCACTGGTGCAACTTTTCCTGCAGATTCGGCGGTCCCGGACGCACTGGTTCGTCTTCCAGAGCCCAGAAGGCAATGATCAGTCCGCAGACGATGCGCTGCACGGCGGAATGGGCATTAAGATGACCCAGCAGCACCTTGGTGTAACAATCCGTGGGGCTCTCCGTTTGCGGGGTGTACACTACTCCAGGGGCTGGTTGCACCAGGTAATGCGAGAGGGCGCCCAGTGCGCGCGATGAGGAGATCCTAGCGCGCATAAAGTTGGCTTCCCGCAGCTCCAAAGGCGTCGCCTCGCTGCCACCCAAAAATAACTTCAGCGAGGCATTCGAGTGCGCCAGAATGGCTCCTCCCAGATCATCTCCTATGCGAGGAGGTCGTTTTCTTGAGGTGCTCCCTTGCGTGTTTGAATCTCCACCAGCTCGGATCAGCACTGCGGCATCAAAAGCGAGTCTGGGCGGCTGCATGGAAAGGCAGATCCAAGAGGAGACGTAGGGACAGGCGGCGTGCAGCAAAGCACCCAAATCCGCATGCTCAATGAGATTGGACCACACCTGACGGGCCAGAGCCTGGATATCCGCCTGCGGCTCGACCAGGATGCGCTGATATATGTGACGCAAAGCCTGCTGCAGCAATTGCCACTTCCAGTCGCTGACTCCAAAGTTTAGTTTCATCTTGTGCTCCTCATCTTCAGGCTCCTTCTTCACCTTATCCCCGCTAGTCAGTGTGATCAGGGTCTTCAGCGTGGATCTGCGCACCGAACTGGTGCTGTGGGAAAGGAAGGGCCACAGTCGCGGCACCAGAATGGCCATGGGCTCCATCTCCACCCAGCTGGCTGCCTTGGGCAGGCATAAAATGGCCGCCAGCAGTCCCATGAAACTATTGCAAGCGGATGTGAGTTCATCCTGATCCAAAAGCAAATCCCACAGCATCTTAACGATGGAGGAAACTTGCGCCGGCTTCAGTAGCTTCGGAAGACAGGAGGAAACCGGAATCAGAGTAGCTGCAGCCACTGCTCCTACATCATCCACAGAGTCCAGCAGACCGGTGAGAATACTCGAGATTGACTGCGGCAGGTAGATGGGCAGCAGCTCCTCGCGCACCACAAACACATACTTCAGGCCGAGCAGTCCTCCGTGCCGCACTTCCCACTCGTTCTTGTGCTGAATCAGCTGCAGAAGAATGTCCACGATCCGTTGAACCTTGGACGCCTGGATCTCCTTCACCAGGGTGCCCAGCACTTGGGCGCAGGTCTCGCGCACTGGAGCCACCACCTGATCGGAGACAAAGTCCCCGAAGCGGTCGAGGCAAAGCACGCAGAGCAGACGCAGTGCGGCATCCTCTAGCCACCGGCTATGTGCTTCGTCCATCTGTTCGCGACTCTGTTGCGCTGCTTTGCCCGCTCCTTGGGCATGCTGGTTGATCAGCTCCCTCAGTGCTGTGGCCGCTCCATGGCGCACCTCCCATTTGGCGTGAAAGAGATCAATGAAGAGGCGCGAGCAGAAGTTCTCCAGTGGCCAGGAGACGGCATCCACCCAAGTGCCCGTGGCATCCGGCACAGCGGCTGTAAAATAGGTTAAGAAATTTTAATTTAATAAGGTTTTTAAAAGTTCCATAGAAACAGGCAAGTTTTTGCTTATATTTCGTCATACAAAAATTCATTTTATATCAATTTGTTATATATAATGGAGGTCCCATGACGAAACTGTTTAGGAGCCAACAAGAATTATGTATAGAACGTTCTACTATTTTTTTATAAAGATTAAAAATGCCGATTTGCAGAAAACCGCGAATTTATTATTTTTTTTTAAGATTGGACTATATTTTGCACTGGAACCATAATGGGTGTTATTTTTATCTGAAAGCTTGGCAAAAATAATAATTTTTGGGTACTTTTATTTATTTTTTACCACACGTATTTTAAAATTATAAATTAATTAAACAAAAAAATAGCATCGTTTCTTTTCTTCTTCGTTTCTTTTTTAAAAATCCTTTTTAAATGGTGTGATATTGTCATTAAAATTAGATATCCTTTTCAAAACCATGAAGAAAATCTCGAAACGTTTCACAAAGAATCACTAATATGCTTTCTGGACATTATGCCTTGTAGTACATTAGTATAACCTATTATATTCACACTCACCATTTAAACTGTAGAATATTTCCTGTCGCTCCGTTGCCTTCAGCTTCTTCTTTTCCGGCTCCTCCAATGAAGAGTTCCCATTGTTGCTGTGGTTGCTGCCCGTACTGTGATTGCTATTGGAGTTCCTTCGGCTGCAAGTGGGCGTCACCACGGTGGCAGAGGCTCCTGTGTTCTGGCGTGCCTTGCGCTTGGCCCGGTTCATCTCGCGGCAGCTTAGCGGAGCCTGCCCAGAACCGTTTGCCGCTGGCTTTATGTTGAGTATATGCTCCACGGGCAGCTTCTCGGCGTTCACGTTGTAGGTGCTGCCGCTCCTGGCGAGCGCCACGTCCTCGTCGGTGATCATGTCGGTAAGATTTACGCCCAGCTTGGCGGCGGTGGTCAGACCCAGTTTGTCATTGAGCACTGCCCGCTGGCGACTCAGGCGACTGGCGAGACTGCGCTCCTCCTCGCCGCCGCCACTGGCCGGCTGCTCCTCCTGCACATCGAACTCGTTGCCCTCGGAGCCGATGAGACGGGCGCCCTTGTGCAGGATCTGCTGCAGATCGAACTCATCGAAGCTAAGTAGTCGCTCGCTGGCGGTTGTCGAGTTGGAACCACTCGACTGGCAGCTGTCCTCTTCGGCAGCAGCTGCAGCTGTGTTGGTAGCATCACTGCTGGAGCGCTCCTTCTTGGTCACCACCGCCTGGAGTTCCGGCTGCCAAGGAGGCACCTGCTTTAGGATGGCCTCAACGGTTTGGGCCGCCGCTATCCGCGTCTCCCAGGACGAACTGTGCAGGTAGCCCACCAGACGGTTGAGCAGCGCATGCAGCTCGTGTGGATAAAGCTTCTGGACCTCGCCGATCTGCTTGGCGGCCGCCTGGCGAGTGGCCGCTGTGGATCCGGTCTCGAGTAGGATGAACAGTCGATCAAGTCTGCAAAGGATAGGGTTGTATTAAATGAGCAAATAAGGTTTTTAAATGATCAACATACCTAGATGTCATTATACAATGGTAATTTGTGATACTCTTTGTGATCCGTCGATCTAATAAATCGATCTACTCTAAGTTACTAATCTGGAATACAAAATAAAGAGATATTATTAGTTGTTAGGTAAAATGGTATATTATAAATATAAATTAAGGTATAATTTAAAATGATTATAAAAATGTTAATCCAATTGAAATAAGATTTTCCCCACTCAGGCATGTAACATCTATTATTTAATCGGTAGGCTTTTAAGACATTCCATTCCGCAGCCAATTGATTTGCGGGAATGCTTTTATCATAACCTTAACTAAACGGAAATGTTAATAGCCGTAATAAAAAATGTATTACTATTACTTTGAGACGAAAACAAAATATAAAACTCTCGATAACTCAATAACCTTCTATATTTTAGGTTTTAAACGCGATAACAATAGCTTAGACTGAAACACATTTGTTTAATATTGTAAAGAAACTTCACTATAGAGCAAATACCATGACAACAGCACAAACGTTTTCCATTTTATAAGCATAGTAAAGCTCATGTTACTTAATACTCTCGGTGAACTTGGATTATTCAATTAGATAGGGTTAATTGTACACACAACTACAGCTTGAGAGCTGATCTAAATTTCTGGGAAGCCTATTATCAAGATTCCGTCCGACTATTATTAGTTGTGTGACGCACTGTACTTGTAAAGTGACCACATGGCTCGGCTCAGCTGTCGCAATCTCGAAATTCAGCCTTTCTCAGCACAACCCAATAAATACGACCAATAAACACTGGACACGTGGTCGAGGAGGGCGCAAAGACAGGGATCCGATGGCCTGGGTGGGATTTCCTGGGGAGCATTATTAGGTGGGTAGGTTGGGCTGTGTAAATTGAGTCACTCAACGTGAATGGCGAATAATGAGTTCTCGTTGTGGCCATCGCGAGGCGTTCTTAACAGCTTGTGCTCCAAACGTGACAATTTAGCAAATTGCGGCATTTCCATTTTCATATTCCTACTATTCATACTAGTGCAACCGTATTACGTAGGGATTTAGGAGCTTCACAGCTCGTTTACCTCTATTAATTATGATGCGATTACAGATGACACACACTTTTACTCTCGAAGCTTTTTTCAATTTTAGGCTCCTTATCAATGCAGCGATAAGAAATTGCAAAAATCACGGTTCACTGAACCAAGGTGAATAATTACGATTTAAGAATAATATATTTAAACGATGAGTCTTTGAGGCACGTGCAAATTTATTATCGACCATGTTTATCCATAAGCAATCAAAGCCAATAAAACGAACAAACTTACATGAATAACAAAGAAATATTATAAACAACGAGCGACGACGACGCAAAAGTCATAATGAAATCGTTTGTACATATGGCATGTCGCATGGATTTGTCCGACCGACCATAAAGTCAATTTATCGGCGACAAATCTGCTGTACTTCGATTTGTCGGCGACCTTGTCGATAGAAGCCACCCACCGAAGGGGGGGGGCGGTATTGGGTTCTGATTCAATGGAGGAAAATGCCCCGCTGGCTGGGTAATTAAATTTCCATTAGATGAACATCGACAGAGGCAATCGCAATCATTGATTTGTGCCCAGTGTTGTGTGTCGCCCATTTATTTATACATTTTCACCGAACGATAAGCCACTTTTTCATTATCACCATTGGTACCACTCGTAAAATGACGATTAGGTTGTTTCCCATTTTTCTTTTTTTTTTTGTGGCAAGTTCTGCGAGCTTTTTGTATTTATAGATTAAAACAACAGGCGGACTGACGGAAATGCTGGGTCATTTGTTTACACCAAAGATAAGGCGGGGGACTATTATTATTTCGCTAGCCATATTGCTTGAATATTGAATATATGACAAGCTAATGTGGGTTTCTGAATTTCCTTGACACATTACAACGTCTTAAAAACGCAGGATCGGCTATGTATTCGGTTTTCATTATCAATAGGGGTTTTATAATTTAATTGGTGGGTGGATTAGCCCATGAACCATCACTATTTCTAGATTAGCGATTAATTTTTGCTTTTGGAATTGCTTATACTGAAATGTTTTTAGTTCAATGGAATAATATGTTTTCTAGAATTAAGGGGTCATCTATTCAAATGGTTTTTTTTTTCGGGGAAATTGACACATTTCGGCATTGATCGCGCCATATGCGAGGAGTTCAATATTTGCACCCCATTTGGCCAATATTTGATGTTGAGACAGCTGTCGCTGCAAATTCGGAAATATCGCACAATGCAGGCGGTATTCGATCGGGATCGAATTAATGGAGCCCCGCGAATAATAAACAACAAAGTGTTTGGCGTTAAATTTAAACAGCAGTCAGCAGAGCAGCATCAAGTCAAGTTCGGCAAGTAAACTTTGAATATATTCAAATGTTCTCAAACGAAACTGTGACAAATGTCGCTGATGTCGCGAAGTGCGGGAAAATGGCAAATGCGAAAAAAAGAGCAAAAGAGCGAAAGAGCTGGGGAAACTGAAAAGGCCGCTTGGTTTTGAAACTAGTTCAGGTGCCCTACCCCAAAGTTGTTGGTGGCGAAAGAGAGAAAGAGAGAGGGAGGCGGCAGCGTCGACTGCAGTCGATTACGGCAGCGGACCATAAATAAACACAGGTGCTTGTACCGCCTGGCATGGTAGTACACAGAGAGAAATGGAAGGGGAGTTTACAATTTACAAATTCATTCGATATTAATTGTAGCCGTTTTAGTTACGTTAGATTGTAGAAAAGACCGGGTTCAACACCATTAGACATACCAATTTTTTTTTACTTTTTTTTAATTTACGAGTAATACAATTCTTTTCTTGACTTTATATAACTGTAATATTTAAGCTTAAATTTTTCAAAATATTGATTTCTTTTTTTATAAATATAAAATGGAAATATATTAGATCCAAATATATTTATTTTATTTAAGGGTAGGCATGATAAAACGATCGTCTTCGCTTGAAATTAAATTAGCAAAATAATTAAACTCTCTGAATTTTTCTCTCTGTGCACTAAACGTACGGTAATGTGGACGTGGACAACGCATGGAGGGAGGGATTATTGTTAAATGCCACCCACTGAAATTGGAAAAAGAGCCCGATGAATGAACAAATGGACGGCACAAATACAAAACGGCGGCTGGCGAATTGAGCAATGTGCTGCGACTAAAAATACGCGCACTAGAATGGGATGCCAAGAAGAGAGAATATAATATAGTGGAAGCTATAATAGAGACAAAGAGCTAGTAATTAGAATTAGCAAAGTTTTTGTTTAAGGATTTCCGCTGTTTTGCTGCGTTGGCGCTGCCCGCTCTCCCGCGCTCTCTTGCTCTCCTCTCTTATCAACAAACAGCGTGCCCCCTTGGCCCCACTCTCTCTCTTACACACACACGCAAGCGGAAGCGATAAGTGCCTGCCATATAAATACTATTGCAATTGAGTATAAGACTTGGTCCCTTCCGATCCCCTTCCCCTTCGCCGAATATTATATCACCTACCTTTGGCAATGCGTTGCTCTCTCTCTCTCTCTTCGCTCCCTTTGCGATGCGGCAGCAGTCAGCTTTTGTGGGGCGCCCACTCACAATTCAACTCATGCGCTCTGCATTTTCTAATTGAATTGTTTGCTCTAAAACTGTACAATCGATGCTGCGTTACTAAGGCCGTGCGTATGCGTGTGTGTGTGTTGGCCGCGGGGGGTGGCTTTTCTACAGCAGCGTCACAAATCAATCCAATATCCAAAGCCAAATCCAATCGCCTCTTCCCACTCACTCGCACTCACGCACCATTGATTTTTCTCACGCACACACTGGCACACGCGGCGGTCGCACACACACGGACGGGGGGACTCCGCTTTCAGCGTGGCGAATTACGGTAATTCTACAATTGTCGTTGTGGGCGTGGGCAGTCAATGTTTTAACTTAACACTGGGCTTCACGCTGATGCAAACACACTCCGAACGCACGATTTTCCTAAGTTTTCGGTTCCCAGCAGCCATGTTAGCCCGATGGAGTCGCATTTATATGTGGGCCTGAGTATCATGGTGCGCCACGGTTTTTAGGCGGCGCGAGCGGGACGGCGATATGGTTTGGTTCAGTGTGACCAGGCAGAGCTGGCAAAAATCCTTCTATTTTCCATTGATGTTTCTATCGACTTTTGACCACCTCTAGTGTTTAGTTCCGATAGTTTATCTGCACAGCGTTTATTGGCTTTTTTCGCGTGGAAAACTGAAAATATAAGTGACGAAAAGCCCGTAAACGTGCCGCACCATGAACTCACTGGGTCCTAAGAAGGACGGAAGTCCGAATATAGACTTTTTCCAGTCCCCGGAGACGCTGCAGGGCTTCGAATCGATTCGCCAGTGGCTGCAGAAGAACTGCAAGAAGGTGCGTACCCCCAACAACAATGCCGCCGCAAACAAAAATGGCGCTGGCTGGCGGTGAAAAAAAAAGCAGATTGTAATAAAATCCATATTCCCTGCAGTTCCTGGCCCACAGCTCGGAGCCCATCACGAAGGAGTCGCTGGCCCAGCTGCTCATCCATTTCCTGCAATATGTGGAGGCGAAACTGGGCAAGAATTCAGCGGAGCCGCCGGCGACCAGAATTCCGGTTAGTATTGGTGCGCGCGGCACAGGGTGCCCCGTGTGTTGCGTGTGTACACGTAAATATTAACCCTTCAGTGGCCAAGGGGGTCTTATGGGGCTAGAATTGTAGGTTTGATGTAAGATTATTGGCTTTTTTCTCAATTTAATACATATTTAAGAAGAATTTTAAAATATATTTTAGAATTCTAGAATTGTAGGTTTGATGTAAGATTATTGGCTTTTTTTTTTGAATTTAATAAATATTTTAAAAAATTTTTAAATATATTTTAGAATTGTGAATTGTGTTTCTGTAAGATTTAATCATTTAATAATTATTGCTTTATTCTCAATTTAATACATATTTAAGAAGAATTTTAAAATATATTTTAGAATTGTAGAATTGTAGGTTTGATGTAAGAATATTGACTTTTTTTCTCCATTTAATACATATTTATGAAGAATTCAAAAATATTTTTTAGAATTTAGGTTTGATGTAAAGTAATTGGATTTATTTTTTTACTTACCACTTATTTAAGTAGAATTCTAAAATATATACATGTAAGATAATTGTCCTAATAATTTAATTAATTATCTTTAAATATTACACAAGAAATTTACCTAAAAACTTATTTTTCCCCCTCCAGATGCGCTGCTTCCTGGATTTCAAGAGCGGCGGAGGTCTGTGCATCATCTTCTCCACCATGTTCCGCTTCCGGGCCGAGCAGCGCGGCAAGAAGTTCGACTTTTCCATCGGCAAGAATCCCACGCGCAAGGACCCCAACATCCAGCTCCTAATCGAGATTGAGCAGGCGCTGGTGGAGGCGGATTTGTACCGCATTCCCTACATCTACATTCGCCCAGAGATCGAGAAGAGTTTTGAGGGCAAACTGCGCGAGATCCTCGATAACCGGCGGGTGGAAATCGTCTCCGACGAGGAGGACGCCACCCACATTGTCTATCCCGTCGTGGATCCGCATCCCGACGAGTACGCCCGGCCCATTTTCAAGCGTGGCGGCCATGTGATGCTGCACTGGTACTACTTCCCCGAGTCCTACGATTCGTGGGCCGTGAACAACTTCGACCTGCCGGATCACATTCCGGATAATCCCGAGTCGCCGGCAGAACGCTGGCGAGTCTCGGCCTCGTGGATCGTCGACCTGGAGCAGTACAACGAGTGGATGGCCGAGGAGGACTACGAGGTGGACGAGCAGGGCAAGAAGAAGACGCACAAGCAGCGCATGTCCATCGACGACATCATGTCCTTTGGCGACGAGAAGAAGAAGCCGGCCGCCAGCTCCGGCGGAGGCAAGCAGAAGAGGCGTCGCTCGCCATCGCCGGCCACCTCGGCGTCCACCTCGAAGCCGGGCAAGCGCAAGCGATCCCCGGCAGTGGTGCACAAGAAGTCGCGCAACGACGATGACGACGAGGATCTTACCCGCGATCTGGATGATCCGCCGGCCGAGCCCAACGTTCAGGAGGTGCACAAGGCCAACGCTGCCCTGCAATCGACCGCCAGTCCGGCTCCAGGCGGAAAAGTCCCGTGGCGACAACGATATGATGCCCATTAAGGGTAAGAAATAATTAGAATTTTGAGTTTAATAGAATTATATAAATATGAATTTTGAGTTCAATAGAATTGAATGAATGAATGGCATGAATTCCGAAATAATGCAAACGACAATTTCTTTTGAAGAAGAAAGGGCCATAATTTTGTGATTAAATCTGCCTGAATTTCAAAAGAAAGCACAAAAAAATCTGGCAAATACAAAAAAATCATCAAAAATATATATTCATTCAATTCGAAATGAATTAGAAAAACATTCCATTTATTTCACATAGAATATGGTAAAACAAAAATTTTATGATTCACTTCAGAACTTATGAGCATTTGCTTCTGTATATATACCATAAACTAATATATACCCCTACTTTTAGGAGGCACCATGACCGATCTGGATGACGAGATGACTGGCGGCAGTGCTGCTCAGGCCATGTCCACCGGAGATGGAGACAACTCGCAGACGGGCAAGACCAGCGATAACAGCAACACGCAGGAGTTCTCTTCGTCGGCCAAGGAGGACATGGAGGACAATGTAACCGAGCAGACGCACCACATCATTGTGCCCTCGTACTCGGCCTGGTTCGACTACAACTCCATCCATGTGATCGAGAAGCGGGCCATGCCGGAGTTCTTCAACAGCAAGAACAAGTCCAAGACGCCGGAGATTTACATGGCCTACAGGAACTTTATGATCGACACCTACAGGTAGGAACTAAACTATTTCAACCATAAAACAGTTTTGTAAATGGTTTACCATATAATTTTAGGCTCAATCCCACGGAGTATTTGACCAGCACCGCCTGCAGGCGCAATTTGGCCGGAGATGTGTGCGCCATCATGCGGGTGCACGCCTTTTTGGAGCAATGGGGTCTGATTAACTACCAGATCGATGCGGATTTGCGACCCACACCCATGGGTCCTCCGCCCACCTCGCACTTCCACATTCTGTCGGACACGCCGTCCGGTTTGCAGGCCATCAATCCGCAAAAGACGCAGCAGCCGTCGGCGGCCAAGACCCTGCTGGATCTGGACAAGAAGCCGCTGGGCAAGGAGCTTCAAGGTGGCCTGGAGCTGGGCGACAAGGGTGGTCTGGCCGGCATCAAAACAGAGGCTCTGGAGAATGGCGGTGCGGCGGGAGGATTAAGTTCGGGAGTTAGCCAGTTTGGCCTGAAGCTGGATCAGTATGCCAAGAAGCCGGCGGCCATGAGGAATCGCACGGCGGCCAGCATGGCGCGGGAGTGGACCGATCAGGAGACACTGCTGCTGCTGGAGGGCCTGGAGATGCACAAGGACGACTGGAACAAGGTGTGCGAGCATGTGGGCTCCCGCACCCAGGACGAGTGCATTCTGCACTTCCTGCGACTGCCCATCGAGGATCCGTATCTCGAGGACGATGGCGGCTTCCTGGGCCCCTTGGGCTGCCAGCCCATTCCGTTCAGCAAGAGCGGCAATCCCATTATGTCCACCGTGGCCTTCCTGGCCTCTGTCGTCGATCCTCGAGTGGCTGCAGCTGCAGCCAAGGCGGCCATGGAGGAGTTTGCTGCTATTAAGGTATTTTAAATTGAAAAAGCTCTACTATTTTTTATAAACTAATATAAAAATCTGCTTTCTTCAGGATGAGGTGCCTGCCACCATAATGGACAACCACATGAAGAACGTGGAGAAGGCCTCCGCCGGTGGCAAGTTCAATCCGAACTTTGGCCTGGCCAACAGTGGAATCGCCGGAACAGGAAACGACAAGGAGGATGAGGAGGGCAAGGAGGGCGGCACCTCTGCATCCGCCGGCGGCTCTGATGAGGAAATGAAGGATCTAAGCAAAAAAGACGGTAAGGGGGAAAAGCCAGGGGAAATCGCTTATCGGTTATACTTATTATTATTTTGCTGTAAATTCAAGGGATTTTCGGAAAATTGACACACAAGTTAAAAACATGAGAAATCTTAATTAACAGTTTGAGCCAAATTGTTGACATGTGTGTTAAATACAAAAGGGTTAAAATGTGTTTTTTACACAATGTGCTATTAACACGACGTGTTTTTTACACACTGTGTAACACAAACGAAAATTACATTTCACTGACATTAACGAATATGGACCTTATATGTTAGTTTGAACCATTTCAAAGAATTCATATATTCTTATACTCTAGAAAACATACAATTCTGACACTTTATGTCAAAAACTCATTGTGTTAAAAACAGGCTGTGTAAAAAACTAGTCGTGTTAATAGCACGTCGTGTAAATAACACAAATGAAATGTGTGTGTTATTTATTTTTCGTAACACATGTAGGATACAATTTTTTACACGCAAGTCTATAACTTTTTTTGAACTTAACTCTTTGACATTTAACATGTTAATAACACAAGTGTGTGTTATTTTCCGAACCCTGGATAACATTTACTCATTGGTTGGTTCTACATTTATTTGTTTTTATTGTTTTTACTCAAAATTCGCAATATGTTCTCCATTTGGCACTGTATTCGTCTATTGTTTCGTTTTTGTGTTGCGCCCAATCTACCAAACTCACATCAACACCACAACTCACAAAACAAACAACAACCACAGACGAGGCCAAGTCCAAAGACAAAACGAAATCGGATAAGACCAACACGAACACAGACTCCAGTTCCACATCATCAACATCAGCGACAACCAACAACACCGACAAGAAACCAAAGGAGTCGTCCGACAAGTCAGACAAATCAAACAAATCCTCACCCACAGAAACCGCAGCATCCGCCAGTGGAGCAGGAGGCGATGTGGACATCAAGACGGAGGACAGCAGCGGCGATGGCGAGACCAAGGACGGCACCGAGGCCAAGGAGGGATCGGGATCTGGAGCAGCGGGATCGGTGGTGGCCAAGGATGGAACCTTCAGCGAGAACAACATGCAGTCTGCGGCGGCGGCCGCTTTGGCATCGGCAGCCGTCAAGGCCAAACATTTGGCCGCCCTGGAGGAGCGCAAGATCAAGTCGCTGGTGGCGCTGCTCGTCGAGACGCAGATGAAGAAGCTGGAGATCAAGCTGCGTCACTTCGAGGAGCTGGAGGCCACCATGGAGCGGGAGCGCGAGGGCCTGGAGTACCAGCGTCAGCAGCTGATCACCGAGCGCCAGCAGTTCCACCTGGAGCAGCTGAAGGCGGCCGAGTTCCGGGCGCGCCAGCAGGCGCATCACCGCCTGCAGCAGGAGCTCCAGGGTCAGGCGGCCGCAGGATCCATGATCTTGCAGCAGCAGCAGCAACAGCAGCTGCCGCAGCCACAGCAACAGCAGGCGCAGCAGCAGCAACAGCAATCACTGCCGCCACATCCGCATCTGCCGCAGCAGCAGCAGCAACTGCCGCCACATCCGCACCAGTTGCCACCGCAGTCGCAACCACTGGCCGGTCCCAGCGCCCAGCACCAGCCGCTGCCACCGCATTTGGTGGGATCCGTGGCTCCACCGCCCAACGGCGCTCCCTTTGCAGCGCCACCCATTGCACTCGCCGGCGGACCACCGCCCGGAGCCCCCACGGCCATCGTCTCCAATCCGAGCGATCAGGCCGGACCAGCAGCAGCGGGAGCAGCGCAATCCCAGGCCCCCACGCCCATGGGTAAGATAGCTATGGATAGGAGTTAGAGCCCTGCATAGGGTATTATGAATTAATACGAATTTTGAGTGTAATAGAATTGAATGAATTTGAATTTTGAGTTTAATAGAATGAATTTTATAAATTATTTTGTAATGTTTTTGTTTTTAAGCTATATGATAAATTAATTAGAATTTTGAGTTTAATAGAATTGAATGAATGAAAGGCATGAATTTACGAAATAATCCAAATGACAATTGTTTTTTGAAGAAGAAAGGGCCATAATATTTTTTGATTAAGTCTGCATTTGAATTAATTATTTATAAAAGCAGTTATACATTGATTTGCTTGTAACGATCGGAAGATTAAAAAGAATTCATAGAAAATGCACTTCATAAAAATTTATAAATTTATCTCTAGGATATTCTCAATTCAAAATTTTGAATTTAGAAAAATATGTAATTTATTTCACATAGGATAATTGGAAAATTAATGAGCAATCAAGGAAATTGCATAGTATACGATATGATAAAACAAAAATTGAATGATATATGCAAGGGCTCTACTACGTATAATACTTCTTTCAACATTGTTATTAACGCTTTGTAAACCTCTTTGTAGACACCACACCGCCCAGCAGCGTTCCAGTCGCAGATGGCGGCCCGCCGGGATCCGCGATGGCACCCACAGGCAGCATTCCTCCACCGAGCTCTGCTCCCGTCGCCGGCGTAGCACCGCCTCCTTCTTAACTCCTACTCATAAGCCAGAAAACGTTTAAGTAACTAGCTCTAAGTCGTACGCTCTCAGTATGTTTTATGTATACTCCACTCTAAGCCCAACTATTGTGTGTAATATGAAGGGGCACCAACCACATCGTCTCCCGTTTTCGTGTCCGAAAGAGATTGCACAAATATTTTGAACCAAGTTTCAAAGCCAAACAAAATGGCATTCAATAAAAATCTATTTAAATATACTAAATGAGGAAATGGATCTTTTAGTTCAGTTCAGTTGATATTTCCTTTTTATTTGCGTTTGAAGTTCACTTGAGCAGTTCATTTACAGGAGGCAAAGGGAAATTCAGGGAAATCTTCAAAGCCAAACAAAATGACATTCAATAAAAAACTATTTAAATATTATTAAATGAGGAAGGTTGATATTTTATTGTATATTTTTTAAAAACCTATTTTTAATACAATTCTTGAGCCGTCTTTAAAAAATATTCCAGTTCACTTGATAATTCGGTTTTATTCATTTACAAGGGGCAAGGGGAAATTAAGGGAAATCTTATATGTATAATCTAAGGGTGGCTGCCTAAAATGTAGCCAAGTTTTAGTCAATTGCTTAGATCACTGAAAGCTGGTGCGGCGCAGGATGTTGGGACGCTTGACCTCTCTCAGTTCGCTGCTCGAAGCGGCGCGCTTCATGCTGGGCGAGATTTGCGTGGGCGGGGGGGATGCTTGGGGCGGCGGAAGACTGGAGCAGGAGCCATTTTTGCACACCTTTGGCGGGGGTGTCGCGGATATAATTATATTTGATCCCAAGGAGCGCTCGCTAAGTGGCGTTTCCTTTAAAATACCCAGTGGTTTTTGTGACTTCCGCGATTGCTCGCAGTCCAGATGACGCCCGTAGTTGCCCATGCTCTTCACATACACGCTGTTGTAGAAACGGATGATATCCGCCGACTGGCCATTGCCCAGATCGACCTCTCGGTAGACGTTTCTCTGGAAGAAGGGCTGCCGGCGATAGTGCTGGATAATCAGGCTAAAGGTGAGGCGTAGCTTCTCCAGCCGCACATGCAGATGGATGGCACACAGGAGCAACTGATCTAAATGACGATTACGCAACATTCGGCCACCATCCAGGGTGAAGGAGTGCTCTGCTAAGTGCCAGATGTTCGGGAAGGCATCCACCAGGCAGAGGCTTTGGCACAGGAGTAGCAATCTCCTGTTGGCCAAACCGTAGAACTTTCGCAGGCAGATGCCCGCTCCCGTCGAGGAGTTCTCCTTGCCCTCCGCCTCCGACATCTGCACATCCTGGTAGGCGGGCATCCTCTGCTTCAGGTTCCACCACAACTGCGAGGTCTTGCGGAAAATCAGCGACTCCAGGCACTTGTCCTCCACGAGATGAAGGTGTTTGATAAGCTCTCTACCCAAAAAACCATTATCGTGGCGCACCATCAGCTCCAGGATCTTCTGAAAGTCGTAGGCGTCCAGCGAGTAGCAGTCCAGCACAAAGGGAAACCTTAAGTTATCCACTTGCTCGTCGTGAACGTGGAGAGAGACTTCCAAGCAGCAGGCCAAAAGGCTTTGGGTTAGCGTACGCTGCTTCAGTAACTGACCAATTTTAAGCTGGGGTTTCTTAACCATCTCCGAGGAAAGAAACTTGAGCAGAAATTTGTAGTAGAGACCCCTGGCCAGATGGAAACGCTTAGCGGCCGCCTTGGCATCCAAGTTTTTAGCGGCACTCGCACTGGTGAAAGTCTTCTCCATCTTTTGCAAGGTTTCATTTACATGTTTAATAGCCTTCTCCCCATTTTCCTCCTTCTGCAGGCCTTTTACTATGCAGGCAGCGAGGCTTTGGGGAAGATCTTGGGCCAGAAGTTTCCTGTGTGAAGGGGAAGAGGAGCACAAGGCGGGCAGTGGGCTGGGATGCGACTCCTTTTTGCGATCTTTGGCCAGCGGACAGCAGAGCAGCACCCGCTCGTCCATCTCACTGATGTCGGCTATGTGATTGGTGTACTTGCGATTCAGGTTGGCCATGTTTATGTCCAGCATTCCCTCCTTGATGATCTCCCGCATGTTGGTGTCGTCTCCGACTAGACTTTGGTCCAAGAACAGCAGCATGAGGGCCTTGTGGAAGAAGGCGTTCTTCATCTGCAGCACTCCTTTCATCGGGAGTTCGGGGATCAGGGCGCCTAAAGCCTCAAGGGCACTGTATTTGTGTAGGGAGGCATCATTGAAATCCTCTTCTGCCCACTTTTCAGGTACTCCCGGGAACTCTCTACGGATCACCTCGGATTGGGACACCTCCAGGGCGTTCACAAAGAGCAGATCCATGCTGCAGACCAGCACTTGGCAGCCATGGACCAGGCTAGAGGTTGCAAACCCGGGCAACTCATTGCGGATGACCAGGAACAGGAGCCAGCCGAACTCGTAGAGCGATTGGTAGTGGGCCAGGTCATCGGAGTCACCACCCTCACTCGGCTGGATGAACAAGCTCTGGAAGATGTGCTTGTAGTGCCGCAGCAGGGTCAATGTGATGCCCAGCCGGCGGCGCAGCTCCTCCACCTCCAGCTGGAAGGTGTTCTCGTTCTGGGCCAGCCAGTTCCAGTGCTCCATGCGGCGCAGGAACTGGGATACGTTCACCTTGAAGCTGCGCAGCAGGCGGGTCAGCGAGAGGTTCCAGCAGCTGTTCTTGGCCAGCAATTCGTTGGTGGCCTCGTTGGAGGTGGCATTCTGCGACGACTCCTCCCGGATGTCCCGCATCTTCATCCGCTGCAGTTCGCCGTAGACGGCGCAGCACAGCCACTCCTGGACATCTCCCTCGCCGGTGGACAGCCCGCCGTCGGCATCGAAGCGCCGGAAAGTGGCCAGGGCGCTCTGCTGGATCCGCGTATCCAGATCCAACTGCTCGCAGCTGGCGGAGAAGCGCTTCACCAGCGTCTCCGCCTCTCCCTCCACTTCGCAGGTGTTCATTGGCGTGGGATTTTGTGTATTTACTTATTTGGCCCCCTTGTTTGTTTATATTTCGGCTGAGCAAATGCGAATTCCCTTTTTGACTGTACAAAATGCAAATTTCCGAAAGGCGCGAACGATTTCGATTGCCGCATTCTTCACCGCCATTGTTATCGAATCGTGGGCAGCAGGGCTGCATTAGTGGGGTGCTATCGAGCGATTGGTGATACTTAACCCTTTGGTGACGGTCCTTAATTAAATTGTTTTACCAATTATTTTTTAAAAAACATAAAAAACTTACCTTACAAATGTTATTTAAACTAAAAATTACATTTCAGCATTTTACATATATGCATATTAAATGGGATTCTTGATACAAATATTAAAGGATATTATTCAATAAATTAATTATAATTTATCTTTAACTTACTGATTTTAAATTATATGATCTCAATTAATTTTAATAATATTGTAAATTTTAAAAATGTTAAGGGGTACTCAAGCGATAACTCGATACCCTGCGGTCATCGGTGGGTTAATTGTTTATTGTTTGTTTTCAAAATGCTGCAATCAAATCGTGTCCTGCAAAAAGAACAGGCTGAGCTGTTTTCCATTCAAAAGAAACTGGAGCGAGTCCTGCCCGTCATCCAGGAGGCCTTAAATTCACTAAAGGTAATAAAGATTCCTCTTTTCTTAATAAACCTACTACAATTTAGTGCTTCACAGGTGGAGGAACTGCATCTCAAGTCGCAGGTGGTGGGCCTGCAGAAGACCACTACGGGATGCACTCCACCCATAGATCCCCTCCTTATAGAGCAGCCCCAGGCCACGAACTCATCTGCCCTGGACACTCAAGAGATTAATAGCCAGCAAATAGATCTAGAACTGTTTAGCCAACTGAGGCAATTTGACGAGGAAATCGATTCGGACTAAAACTTTTATTGGGGACACATCATCTAGGCCGGATCTTCGCCAGACCACGTACATTCAGGGGACTTAAATAATAAATACAGTACAGTACAAATAGCAAGTTCATATTCGGTTTAAAAATCCACATCTTGGGCGATGGTGGAGGGGGAAAACTAAACTACTAAAGCTATGCGCCAGGAATCTGGTCCTCCGATCACTCCTGATCGTCGGAGGATTCCGCTGAGCTCTCTGCCCGCTTTTTCTTCTCTCTGGGGCGCTCCCTGCTTCTGATCCTCGCTGCTGTCGGAGGAGGAGGAGGAGCCACTGCCGCTGGAGCCCGAGGAGCTGCCCTCCTCGTCGTCCGAGTCTGAACTAGAGCTGCTGGAGTCCGAACCGGATGAGGAATCCGATTCACTGCTACTGTCCGAGCTGTCCGACGACGAGGAGGAGGAGGAGGAGCTCCTGCTGGGCTTCCGCTTGCGACGCCCCCTCTTGCCGCCCGCTGGCGCCGCCTCCAGCTGCTCCGCCACCTCGTTCTTGGGCGCCTCCGCCTCCTTTTGGGCCAAATGCTTGCTCAGCTGCTTGGTGCGCGAGCTGCGGTGGACGAACTTCCGCTTCTCCTTGCACTCGTAGCTCCAGTGGCCGATCTGCAGGCACTTCTGGCACCGGATGCCGTTGGGAAAGTCGGCTGCCAGCTTCGCCGATCTGCGGGCGTCGAAATAAAAGCAGGGTTAGCACAAAAAGCCGGCAAGGATTCCAGTTCTCACCTCTTCTTCTGCGCCAATTTGCGGGCTGCTAGGCCCACCAAAGTCATCCTGAAGCACTCGAGCAGACGCTGTTGGGAGGAAATCTTGATGGGTGGGTGGAAAATCAACGTGGCCGGGCGGAAAAGCTGGGAAAATTCAGTATCAAAAATGTATGTTTTTTTGTGTAATTTTTTTTTGTCAAATTAGTGATGGAACCTGTGGTTCCACCAATCGGCTGGGAATGGTCACCCTAATCGGTTATCGTCTATCGACACCTAGCAGCTGCTGACCAAATTTTTGTCTACCTGGTTTTTGTTTAAATGTGAATTTCGCAGCTATTTAAGCCAAAAAGGCCGTGAAAAATGCAGGGTTTTTAAAAAATAATTAATTATAAAGATTATTTCACCCCAAATTAACTGGCACACATTGCCCCAGGCAAACAATAACAAAAACAAAGCACGGCTGACTAAGCGGCGAAAGTGGTTGCAGCAAAGTCCAATCACTATCACTCGGTAAGGCCAACTGCAGGCTAATTGCTGGTCAGTAATTCAAGGTTTCATCAGCAGCTTGCCATGGACTCCAGTGCGGTGGTGCCACAGGCTCAGGGACGCCCCATGCCGCCCGAGGAACTGGCCATGCAGGCGCTCACCAAGCAGCTATACAAATCCCGCCTCTTCCGCGGTCACTACCTGGAGCGGTGCTTCGTGGAGCAGGTGGGCGGCTACCGGGACGTGGTGGTCCTCCAGCGCAGCGAGCGGGAGCTGGAGAAGCTCCTCCACGCGAGTGCCGGCCAGCTGCAGCGATTCTATCAACGCTTCGTGCCCAACATGTGGGTGGGCATCACCTGCGGCAGTTTCGGCAGCTACCAGCACTCACCGCATCCTGGCCAGCTGGAGACCTGCCTCTGGACGGAGACCAGTGACCTGGCCTTCGGGGAGTACTGGTTCAGCATCAAGACGCTGCGCTTCCGGGACCAGGAAGTCCAGTTCAAGCTGAAGATGGTGCGACCCGTGGAACCAGAGGCTTTAGTGACTCCAAGGAGGTCGGTTTCCCTCAACCGGAGTAGCCCCGCGGGCGATGGCGTCTCCTCCAAGACGGACGACCTGGCGGAGCAGGTGCAGCTGGGCCTCAACGATTTCCTGCTCGTGCTGCAGCAGTGGGGCGATGGAATCAAGCGGACGGTGTACGATTTCATGGCCAACGATGTGAACAAGCGGAACATATGGGGCACCATTCGATTTCTGGGCCTGCTCATCTTCTCCGCCCTGGGTGGAGCCGTGCTAGCCCTGCGATTCCTGGGCGTCTTCGCTGTGCGCTTCCTGTTCGAGCTGAGCCGTTTCACCCACACCGCCACGCCGATAGTCTTCAAGCTAATTGAGTTTCTGAACAAGATTGTGGGCGCCTTCTTCATACTGTTGACCATGATTTGGAAGGACATTGTTAATCGAGGCCAGCCGTTGGCGCTACCGAAGCAACAGCCGCAGCTGGAGGCAAGCAGCCGCTTTAGAAGCATCCAGTACGAACGTTCCGAACCGCACCGACGAACCCCACGCTTTTGACCCACCGCCAGGGGCAAATATGTCTAGCGAATGGTGCGTAATTAGTCCAGGGTGGAAGGTGAACGATAAATCATTGAAATTGTGTTACTAGCCGTAAGCCAATCCCAAAACTCGCTATTTGCAACGCAAATACGGAGGCACCTATGAGATTTTCCGATTTTAGCCAAATGCAATATTGTAAATTATTTAATTGGCCTGCCAGCCGGCACTCAATCGCATGCTTATTAACTCGCCCTGTTAATTCATTGTGTATTGTCCCGAAATTTGTGTTTTAGTGTAAGGTCCTGTAATTTATGTATCGAAAATTATTGTGAATAAATTGAATGCAATATGCGAGAGTCGAGAGTCGAATGTCGAATCGAAATGAAAGAGCCGGGGGTTTCGTTTAGTTTTAATAGTTATACACTTTCCCTTTATTACTTTAGTTGATTTTAATCTCGTTAAATTGTTCTCATATATATTTATTATGTATATACTCGTATGTGTTCATGCTGTTGTCTTCGGTCTGTCATCGAACTTTACACAAAATGTTTTATTTATTTTCCGTTTGCTGTGCCTAGAAACACTCCGCGTTCTGCGCTTGGTTTTACATTGAGTGGAAAATGTTCTGTGGCATTTCAAGGAGTGTCTCTGCCCTTGCCGACTGTTTTTGCATCCGGAGAGTGCTACGGATCTAAGTATTATCAATCATTAAACAACTAAATTATACTTCTTGTTTTCCGTTTCGGGGGTGATATACTTTAATTAGTACATATACATATATTTTATTTCTTCTTGCAATGTTATATTAATGGAATGCTGCTCAACAAACTTGCTCATAAACATTAATTTAATTCTTTGCTTTCTGTTCGGTTTGATAATAAACTGTTTTGCAGACAATAAAAAATGTGTGTGAGAGTCAATGCAGGGGGCTTGATATATCTGTTTGGGATTCGGTGAGGATCGGGTTCTGGGGGCCGGGTTGTTCTGCCTTGTAAAATACATATGTTGTCAACATCATTACATTATTTATCATTAATTGTTAATATTTATTGTTATTATTAGTTCGGTTTATGCACTAATTTGCTTGTCATTGTGTCGCCAACATGTTTAAAAACGCACAAAGTAAATATAAATTTTAAAATTTCATTAGTTTATCATATTCCATGCCGTTTCGTTTTCGTGTAAATACATTTCATTTGTTTAAAAGTAAATGTACAATATACAGTTTAATGTCATAACTTTTACTTTTTCCGCTTTTGCCTCCCTTTTGTTTCATCCGCTTGATTTTAATATATTTCGTCGCTGCTAACAAATAATTACACATTCATAGCATTCTCATATAACGTTTTGTCTGCAGAAAATAATTTTATTTTGGTTTTATTAACAATTAGTTAGACATTTAGAGCAAAAACATTGATAATATAGAATTTGTTTGGTTTTTAGTTTATGCATAAAAATTTGTCTAGTGAAATATATAAATATATATGTGTATATATTTGTTTCAAAGGTTTTGAACTGCTTATTGTTTATAATTGCATTTACTTTTCATTTGTTATTTGTAAGTTATTAATTGCGTTTTTAGTTTCTTGATCTTTCAAGTCCAATTCAGAATATTATTGTTTTGGCATTTTGTTTTTAGTTTCGTTCAAGGAAGTTTCGTGTCTCGTTAGTGGAACAGCAAGGTGAGAGTTGTTTAGAAAAAGTCCTAAAGAAGTTTGATTCGAACCAAAAATGTTCGGAAAAGAAAACTTGTTGGCGCGCCTTAAATTGAGCTAAACAATTGGTATTTTATTTATATGCATTGTTACTTTTATTTATTCTTCAACGTGTTGTTTAAGCATCAATTAATGATAATTTATTCAATGTTTAATATTTTTGTTTGACTAAAAACTATCGAGGGAGAAATAATACATCTGTTTTTTATTTGCTCTCAACTAATGAATTACTAGGGTTTATTTTGCAAATTTCTAAAAAAAAGAGCGTTTTTGAGGATTTTTCAACTCAAAGGTTTCAACTTTTATTTTCGGGTGTCTCGTATCTTTACATATTTTATATCTATACTTTTATTATAATAATTTTTACACATTAAATTCAAATGCATTAATTTATCTGTATCTGTATATATATATGTGTATATATATTTATATATAATTTATTTATAAATATAAATAACAAAATTTCCCTTTGAAGCTTGTTTGTTTACTCAATTATTAGTCACTATATTGAAATATGATCTCTGCATCTATAGCATTAGCCAGTTTCTCGATTAGCCTGCCTTCATAGTTGTGTGTCTATATAAGTACTTATTGATAGGTTACTGACTGCCAGATTTGGGATATCGAATTTCGGATTACGGATTGCAGATTACAGATTTCGTGTGCTGAACAATTGGCAAGTAATACCGACGACTCCCTTTAACTCTACCGCTGCCACTCGGCGTGTCAACCAAATAAAAGAGAATATAGTATAGATCATACCATAGTAAAATACCAGATTGGGCTTGGTTTGATTCTTGATTTTTCGGTTAAAACGTTAAGGTTGAATAAAATCGTTTTCTTTTGCTTTAGTGTCTTATATCATGTCTGAAGGAAACTGAATAGAACGCATTGCACTGGGGCCAATGGTGTGTGGGGTATCTCAATATCTCAACCAACTTTTCCAATAGGCTATGTCTGGGATTGCGGACCACCGGCAGCACTAGAAGAGCGCTGGGACTGCCTCGTCTCATGGATAGCCCAACATGGTGCGCTTTAGGCACTTCAAAGTTCTGTGGTTTCGATTGTTTGTTTTTGTATTTTAAGGTTTTGGGTTGGGGTAACAATATTGGGGGTAATCAATCAAGGAGGAAACAAGGTTAGAAAGGAATGGAAAGAAAGATAAAGTAAAGATAGTTATAAACTTAGAGCCAACTTAGAAGAAACTACGATATAAGCTCTTAATTACTTTAAATCATCGGTATCCTCAATTAAATCGGCGTACTCCTCCCAATCGTTGTTAGTCGAGCGTGTGCGCAAGTTTGATATTGTCGGTTCGTCCTCCTCCGCGTCCTCGTCGTCCTTCGCCTCCTTTTTGCCTCTCCTGCCTCCAGTGCCGCCAGTGCCGCCTTCGTCAACCACCTCGTAGTCCTTCAGTTCAGCTTCCAGATCCTTTTCCCATTGTTCCTCTGGCAAAAAGACGGAGCAACAAGCAGAATATCGATTAGAATTTGCGTGGCTTAGCAGGGCGGATATGTAAGGATATTTAATAGGTTTAGCATACATGGCTTACACATATCGTATATGGGTATATGGGTATATTTGGGTATATATAGGTTTAGTATCAAAGGTGTCTAGGCAAGCAATTGAATTGTGGTTAGGTGACCATCCCAAGCAAGTACATGGTTGTTGTTCTCAGTTCGATATCATCGCTTACGTTCGTTACCTTCGGCTAGTCTCTGGGGATATAGCTAAGACATAGATTTTCACACACTGTAATACGTTTGGGTATTCGCACCGTAACTGAATAATAGCCGTCTACAAATAGTGGGAAATTTTTCGTTGTTTATTTTTTCACTTCAATCAATTAACAAAAAGTCAGGCGACCAATTTATGGGTTAAGAGATAAGGGTAGGCTATACACCATTTTCGATCTAGCACTAATTAACGGATAGCGTGCACCCAAAAAGGTTTCCCAAAGTCCATGACTTGCTTGCAGTCCCGAAACACCAATTTGTGTTTGTTGTTTGTTCTTGTTTTACACTCCATCAATTAACGAAAATGTTTACAACGAAAATCATACATTTTGTGTGTATTTACAGCATTTACGCATAAAAAGCAAGCAAACTGAATATTCCAAATTATTCGTATTTACACACCTATTAATCGACGAAGCTTGCCAAATATAAGATATTCTATAAGCTGGCAAACAAAACGTTGTAATATCAATTAACTTAAAATGCCATTTAAAGATAGAGAGAAACAGGGGAAAGAAACTGAGTCATATATGTGGCTTCTTCGGGTTTTTATATTAAATTTATCGGCCAGAGAATTCCTTTTCCATTGATTTTGTGTGGTGAGTTGGTCCAAAATTCGACTTTATTGGTTTGGAAAGTGATCCCCAATTGGATTTATCTTTGTGCAGTATAAAAAGCATATTGTTTAAAAAAAAAATAAGCGCCCAATTTTCACAAAAGGTTTCTTTCTTCTTGCCCGCCCCTCCTCAGCAGGTTTTCCGCACCCCACGCACATCAATGAAAACTATAATGGAAATGCTAAACTAAAAATAAAGCTTTGTTTTTCTAGGACTACTAATTAATTTACACACACAGACTAAAACATACACAACGATTATATAGACACAGACAGGAGCGTAGGGGAAATGATTGAAATTGCAACTACTTTGGATTGTAGGATAATATTTACATACAATATTATATTGCTGAACAGAAACGTTATGCAATTGAAAACCAACATGGAAACGAAAATTATCACAACTAAAACTTGTTGCAAGTTGTATATATTTCACTTTTTTTTTTTTTTTGTTTTTTGCTTTTATTCAACCAACAATTTCTAACTTACCACACAAAATTTTGTTTTCGGTTTTTTTGTCTTTTTAGTAACATTTTTGGGGTTTTCTTTCTTCGGTTTATATAAATAATGCGTTTTCTGGGTTCAACTCAAATTTTCATTGTTGTCAAGTGAATATCTTTATAGGTATTTATATAATTTTGTTTGTTGTAGTACTTTCTTTTTGTTTCGCTTAACAATTTCTTTTCTTTCTTGTGGGCAATTTTGTAGTATTTTTTTTGTATAATTTTGTTCTTGTTTATTTTGTTAGTTGTATTTTTGTTTGCTTTTTGAAATTTAGATTTAGCATTTGGTTTTGTTTAATCCATTCAATCTTCTGCAAGATGATTCGTAAATAAATCAAGAAATACATGAAGAAAAATAAATGTTTTTGTTAAAAATGTTTTCCCATACAAATTCATCATCAAATATTCATGGTAAGATACTTTTGGAAAATTTTGTGTATTGCTAGGAGAGGAGGTTCATTTTTGTGTCGCGGCCAGTTAGAATATATATTTTTTAAGGTTTAAACATGTGGAGAAATGTGTAAAGTAAAGGGCAAAATAATAATCGGAACGGAGGAAGGGAGATAACAAAAAGTTACATCTAGCTAATTGGTTTTAAAATGAACTTGAATTGCAAATTGAATAAAAAGGAGCACGAAATTGCAAAGAGAGAGCGAAAGTTGTATCAATAGGATATATGTAGTATATAGGAATTTCTTGATCAGTTTGGTCATACTCAACTTGTTCGAAATTTGGTTTGTGGCTTTAACTCTTTCTCAAACCGCCATTAGATACTTGAAATCAAATCATATGCCATATGATACATATATATTTTTTTTTATATTTTTTAATTTGCTAAATGGCAAACGAAACTTTTGAGTCGAGTTCGATTTAATCCAGGATATATATTTCTTTGTGTTTATATAATTTATAATACTCATGTTATCCATTAGTTGCTTTACTTCTATATTCGTTTATTATGTGATTTCGTTTATTGGTTTAATAGTACTTTCAATTGATAGATTCGCTTTAGTAATTAAATGCCAGAGCTTGAGTTGGTCGTCGTAATAATATAAGTAAAAACGATTTTCATACAAAATGTAATTTACACAAAAGAAAGAAACAGAGCAGAGGAGAAAAAAGAGAATTGTTCGGTTTTTACACTTGATTTGTACACACATTTTTTGTTTGTTTGTCTTAGATTGTTTGTTCTGTTTTTGTTTTGTACACAAAAAAAAAGGTGTATATATTTGTGTTTGCAAAATAGAATATGAGATGTTGGGAAAACCAAATACGCGACTCCAGACAAGAGACATTTAAGTGTTCAAATGGCAATGGGAGAGTGCCTTGATAAGTCCCTAGGATCTCTAGATGGAAACAGAGCTGAAGCTCGCCGACTAACCAAGCCATATAACTAGGATACACGGATATGTTTTCGATATGTTTCTCATGTCTTTTCTATGTGGCATGTGTATGAATGAATGTTTCGTGTTGACCAGAACACCAATGAAATCAATTTCATGGGGCCAATGTATGTACAAAAAATGTTAGTCCCACAGAACAGAAGTAACTAATAAGTAATAAATAAAAATAAATTAAAATCTTACCATCGGTCGTGGCTAAGGCCTGTTGGGTCATGCTATCGATGCCCAGCTTGCGCATGCCGTCCTGGATCTCAGCCAAGTCCGATTCGCTGGAGGCCTGGAAGTCGTCCGAAACGAATTCCGATTCGGAGATCTTCTGGCCCAGCCCCTTGCCACCACGAGCCTTCGACTTGGCCTGGGCCACCTCGGACTCCTGGGCCTCCGGCTCTATCACGGCCTTCGGCTGCTCGGCAATGGCTTTCTGGGCCGAATCGCTCTTGGCTGGCGAACCAGCAGTCTTGGATACGCTCTCTTTGGCGGCCACCTCGTTGGCTGATCATTTTTCGATAGTCAAGTTCGTTTTCACAGTGTAATTTCGTGTTTGGAATTCATAAAAATAATAGTAAAACAAAAAATAAATGAATTAATAAACCGAAAAAGAGGAAAGATCGATTTGAGGTGAGGCGACGTTCTTCGAGATTCGCGATTGAGATGAGCGCTTTTGAGGGGATTCAGTGAGACAGAACCGAAAACCAGGACTCGAGTCCTCGGCGATACAAGCCAGTGCAGGTGGAGGGACGGATACAAATCAAAAGTCAAAGGGTTTTCAATACACAACTTAAGACTTTAGCATACTCGTAGGCGGTGTAGTACAGACGCTAGCCAAGTTAGTTTGGGAATCGAGAGATTAAGAGAGAGTTATATAGAGCGAGAGAACGGAAAACTTTGGATAGCTAGCGTGTGTGAAAAGGACTAAGAGGAAATCATAGGTTAAACAGGCGCGTGTGGCTAAAGTGAACCGAAAACCATAAAAATGAAAGACTTAGACTTAGAGAAGGATAGACAGATAGATATAGGTACAGATACAGGTATACAGAGTAGATAGATAGATAGATAGATAAAGAGAGCGCGCGAGTAACGAGTGTGAGTGTTTGGTGAGCGAGAGACAGTCTGTTTATCCTGCATTTATCTTTGCATTTCATAGGCATTTATGTATATTTTCCAGAGTTTTCTCTTGGGACGAGGAGAGAGGAGCTCCAGCCGACTTACCATCTTCGCCGCTGGAGGCTTGGCCCACGCCATCGGCGCCCAGGGTGCCCAACTCGGCGGCCTGGATGATCAGTGAGACGCGGTAGAAGTAATTCCGCCAGAAGTTCTCCTCAGTGATGCTGTAATAGGGGGAAATCGATTATAGATTGATCCTATTTATATATATTTATACTATTTGAACTCACATCTTGGGCACCAGCTCGAATCGCATCGTCTCGAGCGCCTTGTCCTCGGCCATAATGGCTATGGCCGTGGGATAGGCGGTGTCGTAGCTAAACTCAAAGTCCACGCCGGCGGGCGGGGCGCGCACGAAGTTGCGGCGATCCTGCGACAGTCCGAGGATCTCCTCCTTGATCTTGGCCTCGTTGGCATGACCGATCCAGGGAGCTGCCCCATTGCCCAGGCCGCCCTGGCCCTTGGCGAAGGCCTCCTGCTCCTTGTTGAACGAGTCGAGGATGGTCTGGAAATATTTAAGGTTAAATAAGAGTTTAAATCTTAAAAGCACTATTATAGCAACTCACATTATCCTTGACTGTTTCCTTGATTTTGCTGCCAGCCTTGCTGATGGCCGATGACAAGAAGGATCCAAAGTGCTTGGCCTGCTGTGTTACTTTTGTGGTAACTGTCGGATACATTCAAATCGGTAAGCCATAAGTTTCAGGTTGCTACTAAACTAGATAAAGCAAACTAAACTAGACTACAAAGCAAGCGTTTTTCTCTAGGGGACTGAGTAAAGGGGCGAGCGGGTATTAGAAAACACTACTAGTATCTCGGGGTTAGTAACCTGTCACCGCTTTCTCAATCTCAATCTTTTTGAATTGGCAATCTGAGTTGACATTGACTCGACATTTAGCACAGCACAATGTGTTTGAAGTTGTCTCTTGTAATTTGGTTACCAATCAAAGTGTGACACGTACTTTTGACTTCATCGCCCTTACCCTGTCCGATTTGACCCTCGTCGCCGGTGGGCGTGCCACCGCCCGATGCAGGATGCGAGTCGGCGCCCTCCGTGGCGCTGCAATTACGCAATTTGGGATGGAACGTGGCGGAAAGGGAGTAAACAGAAGGGGGAGAAAAGTTTTGTAATTTCCATTTCGTTTGGGTAATCATAGAGTTATTGTGTAAAGCTTCAAGAATAATTCATGCAGCAGGCAGCAAGCCGAAAGAACTTAGGAATATTTACACAAATACGGAGAATGCTTAAAACTAGCAATATAAACTAAAAAATTAATAAATTATACAAGTTAAGTTCAATAAACTAAGTAATCATGCATTAACAGCCATTAAAGCGTGCAACATTTTGTAGTACTTTCTTTTGGGGTTCTGTCTCTCTTATTCAAGGATCTAATTTTCATTTTGTAATCTTCTTAAAATTTACACATTAAATATTCTTCTTTAATTCATAATATCACATTTTTTTAGCACTTTATAATCTTTAAAATATTTAATAGTATTGAATTATTTCAAAACGCCTATGTATATTTACACGTATTCATGTTTTTGTATACAGCTATTCATTTAAATTGTATTCCTTCAGTTTGATTCGTGAATGCAAAATGGAATGACTGAATCGTATATGAATGCCGGGGTGAATGATGCCAAAAACGAATACTACGGGGGCACAAATGAAAGTGAGACAAACAAAAGGGAATACCAAATGGGGGAGCACACTAAGAAGTCATGCAAGGACTAATTAGCATCATCATGAATTCATACTTTTTTCACTTTTCGGGGACCTTAAGGACACAAAACAAGGCCGGGGAAAACAAAAATGGTACACTGACGGGAAAACTACACAGCGAAACAGCGAGATGACTTTGGAATCGGAGACAAGAAAATGAAAAACACAATGATATAATGATCGAAACAATGACAATGATACACATCTACCAACAACAATTAGGGTTTCATATCTACTGTGAGTAGCCAGTAAGGACTTGGTTCCAGATAGTTTTGTGGGTTTCAATTCGGTTTCCTTGACCTGGTTCGATGGGCCGCTCAATAATGATGGAATCTGATACTTTGGGCAATTATTAAAGTCGAGAAAATGAAGACTTAATATTCGCTTTGATTTCGACGCGTTTGAGAAATTTGTAAAATGAAATGTTTTCAAATAATAGTTTAGAAACAGATGGGATCACTAAATGTATGTTGTATGGTTTATGTGTTTTGTGTGGAAGGAGAGTACTTTTAAGTCGAACTAGGTCGAACTAGGTCGAACTAGCCAAATGAAAGTTTACTGGACCATGAGCTGAATGAAATGAGTTATGGAATTTTCAGTTTTTGATTCATATGTTTTTTTCCAAAATTGTGTCCATTTCTAAGGTTGGGATCGTGGAAAACTTACCGTTCCTTTTATTTCTCATCAGTCTAGACACTACATACTTAATAGGGCAACTAAGTATATATATATTTCAAGTATTTTTAAGTAAATAGTAAACTCATCTAAAGTTAGAAATTTAAAATGCTTTCCAACTCTTGTAAAGGGACAAAATTTTGTGTTATTATTTTAGCCAATTGCCAGTCGTTTTAAATACTTTGTTGTATATACAAAAACGTTGAAACGATTTATAAATGTTGTATTGTTTAACAGATGGGGAAGACAGATAGGGTTGTTGGGGAGATAAAGAGATTTATAGAGAGACAGAGATCATATTTTGATTTGTACAAAAAGTTATTAATATGTGAAAAAGTGAAACTTGAACCAGCACAAGAAAAATATCGTGTAGATTAAATAAATAGGTAAGTATAAATATAAATATATTTTGGTTAGGTGGAAATGCGCAACAGTATCTCAACAAAATGTATGAAAGAAAACGAGAATTCTTTGATATGGTGGAGTATATAGGCAAGTCGTAAATAGTTAGTTAATATAGTTCAAGAGAAACTCGTGTGTACATTTGGTTAGTATTTGGGTAAATTGTGTGAAAAAGGCTTCAACTTTCGGTTAGGCAAACTAATTGTGAATAAAACCAGGGAAAACTTAAGCCTCAACCCATATTCTTTGGGAAAACTTTTGGGCAACGACTTCAAACAAAAGGCACCCGAAAAAGTTGAAACAAAAGGCGCAAAAAACTTGGGTTGGCTTAAAGGAAGGGAAGGTTAACCAAACGAAGGAACTAAAACTAAAGTACAAACGCGCTTCTCATCTTCATTTCATAAATATTTTTTGGTTTTGGTTTAGTTTTTCTCAGCGGCTGCTTCGTATATAATTCCGTCATTGTCAAGCTGGCACCCATACCTAATATACCTCGACTTGTCGTCATCCTCGCCACCACTCACGGCTCCTCCGCTGGCGGCTGCCCCGCCCTCTCCGGCGGCAGCTCCCTCGGCGCCCTCGGCTCCCTCGGCTCCGCCCGCTTTGCGAAGTCCCGGGATCGATGGTATCGACGGCATCGCTGGCATGGCTGGCATCGATGGCATCGACGGCATGGCTGGCATCGACGGTATCGAGGCGTTTCCCAGCCAACCCTTGGCGCTGCCCAACCATCCGCTGAAAAGGAAGAACAAAAAACAGCAAAGCGTTAGTCAGGGGTCCTTAGTCCTGGGTCCTTGGCGATTGACTGGCTGAGTGACTGACTGACAAAATGACAATCAATCTTTGCCCTAATTTGACAATATTCAGTGTGCCGCCTGCATGTGGGTGGCTTTGGATAAGGGCCCGATAAAAATCTATAATGTACCATGTCGAACAATAAGCAGGCGCCTCCACTTGTCAGTCCCACTCGTGCCTATGCATACATATTATTACACATACAGGCTCGCATACAGGGTGACAACTAATTGATTTCTTTTCGATATTATATGTGTTTATTTATTCTGTTTGGCAACAGTTTTGTCAATATCCTACGCCTTATGAAGGAATATGGGTTTAACGGTTTTTGTGTATAATATTTTTCAGAGTTTCTTTAGGTTTGTGATTGTAGAAGAAGTTTATGGGGAATGTTTGTGATTTTCTTTGATCAAAGTTCCTAATTCAAATGAAATGTATAATCTATCATGGTTTTGGTATATAGCTTTAAAGAGTTTCTTAAGAGTTAAGATTAAAGATTCTATAATATTGTATTCTATAATATAAAATACATTTATGGGACATTTTTGTGGTTTATTTTTTATTAGATTTCCTATTTTGTATTATAATTTTATCGAGTCTATCATGCTTAAATGGTTTTGGTATATAGTTTTTGAGACTTTTGTAAGGGTTGAGATTATAAATTTCATAATATAAAATAAATTTATGGGACATTATTGGGATTTTCTTTCTTTTAGATTATATTTTCAATCTATCATGGTTTAATGGTTTTGGTATAATGTTTTTGAGAGTTTATCAAGGGTTCAGAATATAGATTCTATAATAGAAAACATTTTTGTTATTTCCTTTTTCAGATTTCCTATTTCGCATTAAATTTCTTAAATATCGAGAACCCTTTTTCAAATCCGCGCTATTCACTGAACCATTTTCGCAATGTCATAAATAAAATTCCGCTGACAAGCCCCTAGGATACGTGACAGTCCGTTATAACCGAGTGTGTGTGTGTGCTGGAGGCATTGTAACCAGGATGACAGTCGAGCAGGCTTCGCCAAACACTTTGCCCCGGGCAGTCGGTAAAACAACACAAAGATCACCTAGAAAAACTAAACGAAAATCGAGAAACAAGCGCGATGTATGACTGCTGCCCCGTTTGCCTGGGCAGGCTCCGTCGGCAGGTGAAGACCCCGTGCAAGCACACATTCTGCAAGAACTGTCTTTGCAAGGTCTACAGGCAGAGTCCCACCAAGGCCTGTCCCCTCTGTCGGGCGCCCCTGGAGTACTACATCGTAAGTTTGTTAGTTCCAAGTACAGTCTAGTCCTACATTTATCCTACAACATTTTCAGAGCAAGAGGAACAACACAATAAAACTAGTATTCTTCTCCTAAAGTCAGTCTGCAAATTGAAAAGTGTTCCACAGAGTTTAATTGTTTTTGTTTGTTATCTTATTGTTTAAATTTTTTTGATTTGTTTTTAATTTTGTTGTGTTTTTTAACACTAAGCCAAGTACATGGCTTGAAACTCCCAAGGTAAGTTCATTAGTAATTTTTATTCGTTTATGATATGATGTTATTTATCTTGCAGCAGTATCTAAAACTTGACTTGAGCCTTCAGGGTCTTAGGCAGCCAAGTACAACAATCGATTGGAGACTCGTCCTTCTTTTTCTTCCTTTTTTTTTTGCTTTTCTCGCTCAAATATTCCATGCACATATTGCAATATTGAATGCTCGGCCTGCGGCGGTACAAGGAGCAGGGAATCGAGGAAGGACACGCCCCCACTGAGCCTAGGATAACTGGGATATAGACGATGATGATGATGATGATGGTGGTGGTGGCAGCACATAGAAAATAAAAAGCGAGGGGGAATAGAATAAAACTCGCAATGACAAGCAAAAGATTTCAATCGCTATGCGGCTCCACTTATATGTATGTATATATATAAGTATATCTTCCGATCCATGTGCTTTATGCTTCATTATGACAGGGCAAGGCCAGCGGAATAGTGGACAGGCATTGCGCATACGCCGCGTTGTGCGAGTGCTCAGCGATGCGGAATCGGAGTAGCAGTAAAAAATCGCTGCCGTAAATCCAATAAAACTGCAGCAAAACCCATTAAATTTTTGTGCCGCTTCCTCTTCAACAAGAACTGCACTTAATTGTGGCGGCAAATTAAATGTTTTTTCCCCCAACTGGGTCAGCAGATTAAAGAAGCACATATGTTGGCCAGCAGCCCAATTAGGGAACTCGATGGACAGCAAGGCAAAGTTATTACTTTTACGGAACGAAAGTGACTATCGAGCTTATCATTAGCAATTGGCCAGGCTCCAAGTGAAGTATTTTCCTCTTTTTCCCGGCCATCGCATCCCTTTTGTGATTTATGTCTTCGTCATTGGTTAACAGGAAGCCGAGGAGGAGTTTCCGCTCTTATTTATGGCTCCAAGAATTCCCTTTTGGGCATTGCATAACTTAGAACGAGAGCAAACCGATAAGTGGTTGGACATTCACTTGAGAGATGGCTTCTTAAAGTGGCTCACTCACACTTCCTGCGGCATTTACCTATTTTTCTCGAGTCGAAATCATAAATTTCCATCTACTTTCATTACGTGTGTGTGGTACGCATTCATATCGACCTTCTGCTGCTTTTTTAACCAACTTTTTCTTGTCTTCCCGCCAGATTTTTCCCGTGAAAAGTTTTAATTATAAAAGTTCGGGGCAAACGCTGCGGCAAAAAGCACACATAGAACAAGAAATACGACATGCTGCAATGCCAGAAATCCAGCGAAATCAGCAGAAACAAAGGAGTGAAGAGTGACCTCAATTCCCCAGACATCTTCATCATAAGTCCGGCGGGTAAACAAGGCCAGTAAAAACTAATTAATTGGCTTTACTGGCGCCGGCAATCGATTTTGGTCCACCCCAGGTTGCCATTTCAAAACGGAGAATTTGATTTTTCATTTTCCTAGCATAAAAATGTTTAAATTTCCAGAGAAAACGCAGTAAAATGCCTTTCCTGAAGCTCCACAAATCTCTGCATCTACAAACATGAAATATGCAAACAATAAAATGTGCGATGTGTTGGGTGAAAATACAGAGAATACTTTTAGAAAAAGCCATTCTCACATTTTGTACTACTACAAAATTGTTGCATATTTTCCCCTCCAGAATTTTCACAATTTTCGCTCTTCAAATTTTTTTAGTGCAACAATGTCAGGGAGTCATGGTGTGATACCCTTCGGAAAAGCGAATGACAAAACAACGACCAACGCACATGGCACTTATGTAAATTGCAGTCTGCCGGGGAAGATGGGGAAAAACCATCCCGAGTTGCAACTGCAAATGGAGAAGTGCAAATGTGGCAAAAAGAGCAGGGAAGGTGGGTGGAAATGGGGGTGGGGATTGGGGTGTTTGTGCGACACTTTCGCCCCCTCGAGTCCCCGAATGCTGTGATGCGAAAATTGCATTGTCAGCTTAGAATGGCGTCAACTGTTGCAGTTGCTCCATTTGTTACCTCGTTGTGTTTTTCTTTGCTGGCGAATTGGCCATTTTAATTGTTGTAGCCGTTAATTGGAGTACTATGAAGTATACCCAACCCCTTTTGCGCTGGCTCGCCTAATTGGATTGAGATTTTGTTGGCGCCGAGCGGAGATTTATCCAGTTTCAAAGGGTCTAAATCGGAACCAGACACGCGAACGGCCAGAGCTGAAGGGCCAATAACTAAAGACCATGGCAACACAATCCGTTGTCATGTTGAGCCCTCCATCTTCCCATTTTCCCATCTTCCCATCTTGTTTTCCTTCCCCTTCGCCATCGCCTTCCTGTTACACAATGGGCCTGTATTTAAAGATAATGCTTATAGGAAATTTATTACATTTGCTGCGCAACGAAAGCGAATGAAAGTAAAGCTAAATGCGTGTATAAAGCAAAAATAAATGATACCCGGCTAAAGGCACCTGCTGAGCTTCTCGCTTCCATTCCATTCCCCTCTCCAAAGCGACGTCAAAGAATCTCCGCCATCATCATTTTCATCAGTAAACCCCCATACCAGGCTGGCATTTATTTTTGTGGGGCGATACATCAGTAGTAAAGTTAGCTTTTGCTTTACTAGCAATAATTATTTGAATGCTAGAATTAATACATAGTGAATTTCGACATATCGATACTGTATCGATGATTTACGCAAAAGTCGATAAAATCGATAAATTAACGTTAATTGTAAAATGTATCGATATTTTAAGTTTTGACATATCAAGCTTAACGATTATTTCGATACGATATTATGGTCGATATATCAATTTACATATTATAATAGGAACAATTTCTTTTTTTTAAGTCTGGTAACTAATGTATAATATACATTATATTTTTTGGAATACTCCTTTAGCCACCCTCGCCATTTAGCAAATGCCACACTCTGTCAGAGGCGCAACAGCCAGCAAAGTAACGCCGAGAAAAATCCGCATTTGACAAATTACCAGCGAGCAGGTAAACAGAAGGCGGATAAGCCCGGCCTGGAAAAAAAGCGAGAAAGCAGGAAATTGGTAGTGGAGCAGCCTGGCTGGATGCAGGAGGAGGACCATCAGACCATCACATCACCATCTACATAATCATGGCCATGTGTAGCTATTAATAAAAGATGAACGCAACATTAAACGCCCGCATAAATGTGAGTCATCCATCCATCGGCAGGATTGCCTCATATACACGATTTGGCCATTCGACATTTGACTTTTCGCGCTTAGCCGATTTCTATTTTCATATCGCATTTAAAATTTCCCCTTTTTCTGTTTTATTTACTTTGTGAGTTTTTCTTTTATTTGCTTTTATTTTCAATTAAAGTGAGCTGCACAAACATAAATATCTGGGCGGAAAGTGTTCCATCAAATATTCATGGAAAAACACTGGCGAGGGGCAAAATGCCGGGCATTAATTATTCAGAGCGAGAATTGATGAACAAACTGGCTAACAGAGATTGAAACTCTTTGGGCCGCGAATTGGCCCAATCAGCGGAAGATTGGTTGATTCATTGCCAAATCAGTTTGCCCACAAATAAATCAACTTTGAGCTGATTATAAAGTCTGACCTTTTTGTTGCCTGGGTTCACCCCGGAACCAGGCTTTGTTTAAGTACGATAATTACATGTACTTCCCACAGGAATCCCGAGAGGTATTTGCACGCCAACATAAACTGTAATAGTTGCCACCGCTTGGACATAATCATACTTGCACAATTAAGCCCCCCGTCTAAACCACTTAATTTGATTGCCTAATGGCTGTGGCACTGTTGCCGAGGCTTAAACATTAAGGGGAACGACCACCTAAGCCATATCCATTTAAGAGGACGACAGCGATAAGCCCAGAAATACGACAAACAAACATAATCATCAAAGCGGGGTTAGGAAAAATATCAAAAGCTGCTTTAAAAAGGTGAGAAATTGAACACTTGAGCCATTTAAGTAGAGTTAGAAACGAACTTTTCCGCCCACACTCTCAGGAACTCAGGAAGATGAGCAAGGTTAATTAGACTAAAAGTTGACGGGCTGTGTCTAAAAATAGCAAAGGCGGAAAGAAAAATACCGCTCTGCATGCAAGTGACAGGTGGACCGACAGGCAGGTGGTGTACCCAGCTCTTCGAAGTCCTTTCGTTTCGTTTGGGTTTCTGGTTTTCTGCAAGGCATCCCTCATTTGCAGGGACACGCACATTTGTGGCCCATCTGGATTCCCTTTTGATGCCCACAACAAAGGGTATTGGAATTTGGTCGGAAATTGGAGAAAGGAATGCTAATTATACATATATCAAATACTTCGATATCATATAACAAAATGATGTACCATAATACATGGCATCTTTAATTTTTTAAAAGAACTGCTTGCAAAGCGACTGCTTGCACAGCTTAAATCCGATTATTTGCCCATAACTTTTAAATAAACGGTCCGATTTGAAAAATTTCTTCTACATTTTGATAGGTATTAATAAAGATAACAAAATGACATTTACACTTTTCTGAAATATTTAAAGATGTGGGCGCCAGGCACAGGTCATCTTCCTGAGGTTTACTCTATTAGTAGTAACATAATCAAAAAAGACACTGATATTTTATAAGTCTTAAATTCGAAACCAAAGCTTTGTCATTCTTCTCCATTTTTTTTCAGTGGGAGATATCTGAAATGATTTAATTTCCCTTCCCCTCTAAAAATATAGATTTCTGGGGGAAGTGACAACGTAGTAGTAACTTTTACGATGAGCTCGCACGCAAAAACACTACTTACAGAAGTGTGGGCTCTGATTGAAAGCGTTATAAATAGAAGAGCGTCAAACAATTGTCCTTCCTCAATGGCAGGATATCCCTTTGGCTTGTGATTAACTGTTTCGTGCAAGCATTTCGGGGCTATACACACATTTATTTATAGCCAGCGAGGAGTTTAATGGGAATGACGGCGACACACAGGAGTAGTCCCCGAAATGATAAACATCCCAAGGCAAAGGTTTGGGACAATTGTTGCCAAGGGGCTTTGGCTCCTGGACTGTGGGTCCTGGTCCTCTCGCTCAATCAAAAGCTGAATGGTTGGTGGATGAGTATAGGTGTGTGTGTTGTTTGTGAGTTGTAATATGGCCCAAAAGCCCAGAGGGCCGACCAAAGGCGCTTGGCGGAAATAAACTGGTAGCAAAAAGGTGCAAAGTGTTGGGAATTTTATGCGCATTAATTATACGCAGCGAGCACGCCCCAAAAATGCAAATGAATTATTTAGCCTGATATTTAAGCTGATTGAGATGAATTAACTTGAAACGAATATCAAAGGCGGGGGCTCCGAACCAAAGGTAACTTAATGCTCAACACGTGGGCGAGCGTTATACAGTTGCGAATCGAGTTTCCCACGGCGATTGGTCGAGTTTCGCTACAAGGACTCCAAAGTGTCACTACACCTAAACTTTTACTTCCCTCAGCGATTATGATTGCAGCCCTTTGGGTATTTTCCACCCCCTAGTTTTACACCATTTGGTGGCCTTAATGGGCGTGGTTACGTGGCTCAGTTTGTGAAAAAGTTTCTGTGTTAATGATTTTACGACTGCAAGGAAAAGTTTTCCTCTCGAGAAGGTAAATAGTTTTGTGTTCAGAGTTAAGGAGTTGGATAATGGCTTCTAATTAGGTTTAATTAGGAAAGAATAAACGTATAATAATAAAAGAAATAAAAATAAAAAGAAACTTACGTGGCTTCGTTGACTAATGAATCAACCAGGGAGGCGGATTTGGGAATTCTAAAAAAAAATCATAAGAGTACAAAACAAAATAAATAAAATTTAAAATCAAAGAAGGGTTTTCAGGTTTGGATTAAAGGAAAACAGACTAAATAAACAAATCGATTTTAGGTTTCTGTTACCCACTCAGTCTGCTTGGCAAACACTAATAAATTCATTTAATTTCCTTCCTCCGCTCTTTTGTTAGTCGTCGGCATAATTACCTGCAAAAAGAATGAAAAGTTTTCAGAGTTAATGAAGATGTATATCGCCAGCGATTTTGAATGTGTTGGGCGAAATTAATTAGATAATTTCGTGTTTGGGGCAAGAGAACCAGAGAAGCAGGCAGGCAAAAGGCGCTGCGAAACGCCCAACCAAACTAAAATGCTTCCTGACCTGACCCTCTAATTAAGCCGAAGGATATGATTACAAATGCGAAATGCGAAAGAGGACCTCAGCGCAACATGAAAGCGAAAGAAAAGACCAAAGTTCACGCTCAAGCGGACCCACTGGGCCATTCCTACATATATATGGTCGTAAATCTCAAGCTGAGCGGAGAAAAACAATTTCTTAACATAAATCAACTCAACGGGGGAATATGGTGGGTATATGCTTTGCAGATATATATTTATGTAGCAATTTGCCGACAAAGACAGCCGATGTATTGATAAACAATACGAATCGAATCGTATCGAATTGCAGGTGGGCTGTGGGGGGTTTCAAATCGAAAAGTAATGCAAATCGGGCTCTGACCTTGACCCAATGAAAATGCCACACGATTCGCGGCCCAAGTCCTCTGATACAAGCCCTCAATGGCGGCGAAACAACAGTGTTCGTACAACTTACAAAGGGCAACCAAGATAAAAGTCTAAGCAGGCACACATCGCGTATACGTAATGCAACAAAATGCAGGCAGCAAGGTTACTGGGTGGGTGGTTGGGTGTTAAAGGAGCGACAATGTCGGGGAGTGGCCATGCGTAATTTATGCCAACCGATGCCGCACAACAACAACATTTACTGGGGGCAACTGAAAATTGTATTCAATTAAGCGAAGCTCTTTCATCCAAAACACCCCTTCTACTTTCCAACCAACTTGTTTATGGCAAATTGTCAGCCACAGGAATAGCAATAGCAACAGCACAAGGATCCCCCCATCAGTTTCCTTGCTGCGTCCTTTTTACATAACATGGCATTCATTATAAGGCTAATTAAGTATACGCCATGTTGCCAGCTCCGGCACTCAATGCACTCTCTTTGCATTTGGTTCGCCGTTCTCCGTTCTCCGTTCTCGTGGCAAAACCAATACTTGCCAACATATGGCAGCTGCGTTAGTTTTGACGAGGTTACGCCTGAGACTGATGAGATAATAATGGTTTATTGTGCTTGATAAATAAAGCAAAACAAGCTTGTCCTTCGAGTGGCACAAGGATGAAGTTGATTCCAGCATATGGATGAATTAATGGTCGAAGGATTCGAGCAGAGGAATAAATAAATAAATATGGGAAAAATGGTAATTAAATAGTAATTTAAATTCGCTCTAATGATATGTTAATGATTAGAGGGAAATGGATTTAACATATTGGCAAATAAAAAATAAATAAATATTATAAAACACTTTTAACTCTTACTCAACACCACCAATACCTTCCTAATTAAGACATCTAAAAATCTTTTACATTTTCTACAGTTTTGGGAATTCATTTTCACTATTTGTAAGATTTAAAAGAGGGATAATGTCGCGAAATACGAATTTCCTTAAAAGGCTTGATAAAAGACTAATAGTCGTCATCGATTTAATAATAAAATCCCAAATAAATCTATAAAACCATAGACCAAAGGTATAAAAGATTGATAGTTTAAAATGATTTAATAATAAAACCCACATAAATCTATAAAACTGGGGACCAAAAGTACAGCTCTCAAAACATAAGCCCCAAAAAGTAGGCAACAGTTTTTCGACTTGGCAGCGAATATTGCTCATACGCCGCGTAATCCCAACTGCCGCACCCTGCGATGAAGCATCCAAGGACTGCGCCACGATGCAGCAACGTGTTGACCTTTAGCACACTTTCCGCAGCAATCCCTCTCACTACCCTCCCCTTTCCCTTCCCCTCCCCCCGTCTGTTGTATTATCTTAATTGTTATGCAGTCGAAACTGTGTTCGCCTCTCCGTGTGACTTGGCATATTTCATTACTCAATTACAAAGCAAACTGTTTGAAGAGGCCAGCGTCAAATGGAAAAGGACTAAGCCGTTTGCGATTTTCAATTAACGGCCAAGTTGCACAACACACACGAGCTGAGTCACTGATGAATGAATGAATGAATGCACTCACACACAGCGATTGAATCGATTGAATGGGGGATGCAATATGGCAGAATGAGTTGACCCTGATCTAATGCAAAGGGGAGCCGCATTTAATTAAGAAATGCTTTGACTCCGGCATGCGGCAAGTGGAAATACCTTCTATTTATTCACTCTCCTGGCCGAATCGATATTCGGTATCCGCGCAGAAAAATGAGGTATGTACCCCATGGTTAACATCGTTCGGGCCTTAAAATGTTTCATGAAATAGTAAGAGGGAGACTTTAATTTCGCTTGGCAAACTTTGACAGCCATTTCTAGATAAAGTCAGAAACCTTTTAAGAAGGCCGCTGGGCACGAAACAGTTGGAAGGAGCAAGTAAAAGGTTCGCCTGTCACGTACAGCATGAAAGGTTAGGGAATGTGTGAATTTTCACTTAAAGGATTGCGGCCTTATCGTTTCAGAGGGGCAAACATAAAATTGGATAATGTCATTAGCAGTTAAAGTTGAGTAATTTTGTTTATTGAAAAGCCGCGAGGGAAAGTTTCAAGGCTCCAGCTTGATTACAATCGTCCAGGCCAAATCACAAGCCAGGCTCATTAAAAGTTATATTATTCGCCCCCAAAAAAGGTCCACGAAATTGGATTAAAGACGAGGAGGAGCCCCGAAAAGAGTTTAAATGCCAGTTGCTGGTGCTGCCATTTAAATTGCAAATTGTTTGAACGGCGTAGAAAAACGTGGCCCGAAAACCATGGCCACCAGCCATCTCCATCCGTTCGCCTAGACGGTTAGAGCCTGTTGTTGACAGAATTAATTGCGCACGTTAACGTCGCCTCGCTGTTGGCATCCGAAACCGAAACTGAAACGGAAAATTGAATTCTAGGCAACGACGTGGCTGCCAAAGGAGCAGGGGCTGAAATTGAATTACGCGTGTTTTTCAAGCCTTAAAAACCCCATTTTTGCCACAGAATTGCATTAGGAAACAAAAGGCCACAGAGGTAGACAATGAGTTGTTCCCTCCAGTTCGAAGTTCTACCAGATGGCTCAACATTACGTATACGCCCCGTCACTCTGATTAGGCAAGAGCCCAGCAAAAAGCCCAGCCATAAATTTCAACTGCAGAGCCGGGCAGAAATTTATGAACCACGAACCTGGGCACAAAACAAAATGGCCGCCCCGAAAGCCCGGGGGCTATGTGCTTTACACTCGACCAAATCATCACACACCCCATCAAAATGGTCCAGCGCAGACACATGAGCAATTGGGACTGGCTTTTAAAACTGGCAACTGAGCTGCCATTAACGCAATGCAAATACAACCCTCCGATTTTCCCTGCTTTGTGGGTGGCTTATCAAACGTGGATGTTTTCTGTATTATTACTTTTTTTTTCCTGTTTTTTTGTTTTTGGCATTTTATAGAGCGTGCCACAGTTTTATGTAAATTTTAAATATTACTCAAGAGGCGGTTTATTTGCTGGCACCATTGGCCTCATGACTGTGTGACTGACAGGACGCCCTTATGGGGGATTTGATGTGTGATATCTGCAGCCATTTGCATAGTTGGCTAAACACTGTGGATGTGCACTTAATGACCTACAAAATGGGGCAGATAAGCGAGGTGAGCTTTAGCATTTTACTTTTAAATCTTTAAATATTCAAGAACAATCAGATATCCGTTACTCAGCTAAAGGAAGTGCGAGGGAGAAAGCAACTGCTTGCACTGCTTGAATTTCATTTTTATCATATTTGCTCATAACTTTTTAATGAATGGTTTGATTGGAAAAATTTCTTCTACATTTCGATGCGTACTAATAAATACAACAAAACTGGATTTAAAACTTTTCTAAATCTTTAAAGATGTGGGCGCCAGACACATTTTAAGGTCATTTAAGGCACTTTAAAACGTAGAGTAATCATTCTCATTATTTAAGACAGAAAGCATGGGAATTTTCCAAAGAGAAAGCCACTTATAGTTCGTAAACCTACTCAATTTAAAGTAACCAAGTTATTTAAGTTCGTAGGGATGCCTTGCTGACATCCCTGAAAGTTTTTGGCAGAGCATTTCTAATGCTGCGAGGACAGCGGGAAATAGAAACAAAGCACGTAGTCTGGCTGCCGTTTTTACGATACGCCGTAATTTGCTACTTTGACGCAAGTCCTGCGAGTCCTGGATGGTGGGCTCGCTGTTTTATGTGTGTGCGTGCGGCTCCCACGCTTCCTGCTTCCTCCGTCGTCTGTTGCATCCTTGGCTGCCCTGCCATTACCCGCCTGGCCTGTCACTTCCGCGCTCCGTTAATATTTATGTTTTGCCAGCGCGCTTTTCTTGGCCCTTAACGCGACTTTATCATCGTCGCCGTCTGCAGCAGGGCAACATTATCTGGGAACTCTACGCAAACTTTTGCCCGTGACTCGTCTTCCGGTTGCCTCGTTCGCTTTAGTTCGACTTCCGACGGCCTCCTGTCCTGCGGACATTCAATTTATCTTTATTCGAGCAAAAGGCCAACTGCCAACATATGTTTCCCACTCCCGGCAGCCTATATTTCCATATGTTCCAGCCGTGTCCTGATTTCATGGGGCTTTCAGATCGAGTCCTGCATCGTTCGCACCTTGGCAAACTCCGAGGGGTCACTTTACGAGCGGCATTAAATTTTATTTGGTATTCCGTTTTTCGGTTTTCGGTTTCTGCTGCTGCGTGCGGGGCCATAAAAATCCGTTTGGCAAGACCTTTGGCCCACTTTGCTTTCGGGGCATAATTGACCGCCAATTGGTTGTGGCACAAGTGGCACAACACGGATAGCGCCAACGTGTCGGGGTCAAAAGGTAAGAGCTGCGCATCTATAAAATCGGTGTTAAGTTGATTGGGCACTTTGATGACCCGCTGGCCGGCCAATTAGGTACGATATTCAGCCTCAAAATAATCCCAAAATGAGGATAAGTATCCCTAATCCTTTTCAGAACTCAAAAATCAAATTAAAATCCTAAAGAAAAACTAGCGTTTCTGCACGCATTATAATTCAGCCCTTCTGTTGGGGCGTTTGGAAAATTCCCTGGCCAGCAATTAGGCAGTGAAAAACTCGTGACAAACACTACACAATTTGCATAAAAATTACTATTTATATGGGCCGAATGATTCAGCACGAAAACAAATGCCCAGAGCTATAAATATTAATTTGTGGTGCAAACAATAAACACACAGAAGAGATTCGGGCGCAGTATAAATTGAATTAAATGCGACAGCTGAAAAAATACAAAACAAAAAAGCAAATAGTTTGGGGAGGAACAGTGGGTGGGATCAGGATTCAGGACCACCCACGGCGCAGACGGCAATTAAGGTCCTGCCGAGGGAAGACCGAAAATGAAATTGAAATTGCAGCGAGTGGAGGGCAAGGAGCACAGGAATCTCCATCTGCTGACCACAGAGATTTTTGCTTTTGGGCGACTGGCAAACTGGCAACTGGCAAATGTCAAATGGCGAGGCGTCGTTAGCACCCACGCCATGTCCTGGTATCCTAGTGTCCTGGCCAAATGGCGATATGTCCGGCGGTGTCCTGCCTTGACATGAAATTTTAATGCCGCCTTTAAATTTAAGTAGCCAGTAGCCTGCGAGGTTTTTGCATTCGGTATACTTTGGCAGCGTTTCAATTTTTCCGTCTCTCCCTCTCTTCTTATTTATATTTTTATATCCTTGGGTGTATCCTATGTGTGTTTAGGAGGCCAAATGTCGCGTCGATAAATTTCTGTGGGTTTTTATTTATTTATTTTGAGGCCATTGCTTTGATTTTTATTATATTTGCCGTCTCCAGGTGGGCGGAAAATCGAAAGAGAAGAACAGGAGAAACTCAAATGTAATATTTATATAATTTGAGTGGAAATTCGCCCAAAAGCGGGATTTCCATTTGATTTCCATACAGAAAGCTTATTTCAATCAGTCCGAAAAGAGAAACCAAATATTTGTTTCTTAACTTTTGTTTGCCCTTTGTTAATGATGACCCGAATAGAATGGCAAAAAGTTGCTTTTATTGTTGGCGAGTAAATTGTGTCAAGCGGCGTTAAAAATGCATTGCGTACTCCTGAGCCTTTCTGTCCAGCTTGTTTGCCAAGCCATTTGAGCGCAAGATGAAACGGTTCTTACTTTTCTTTATTTTGGCATAATTTTAGCAACAAAGGCAAGGGCAAACGCATACAGACAAACACGCTCGCTGAGAGAGAGCAAGTGCAAATAGTGTAAATGTCCTTGAAAGCGCCAACAACTTTTGGCCCTGGCGAAAAAAAACAGAGGAAAAATCAGAAAATCAGAAAATCCGAAAAGGGAGCATTTACAGGTGGGGATTTGGATTTGCAGCAGGACTAACCACTTTTCGGGGCGTTCGTAATGGAATCTTAATCGATATAGGGGCAAATATCCCCTTGAATCCCCTCGTAGAAAATTGAATAAATTAATTCATTGAAAATTATAGAGATTTAACGCTGATTGCCAAGGGAAAATGGAAATGAGAATGAAAATGGCAGGGAGACAGGCGAAAAGACAGGCAACAAGCCAGCACACACGTTTTCTGAATGCACAATTATTAAATAGGCTGACAAAAGGACAACACGGGGGGTTAAGCGAGTTAGGAACCAGTAAACCCTATAGAGAGGGCGACATGGCGTCGTTTCCACTCGTTTTGGCCACATCACATGTGCACATTTCGCCAAGAGAGAGCCGCTCTCTCTTTCGCGGCTCTCTCGTATCGATCCGCAAAACGAGCAAAAGTCAACTGGAAACTGGAAAGCAACCACCAAAAGGAACACATCCTGCATGCCTTCGCCCTCCTCCTCCTTTTCCTCCTCCACTGGTGACAGTTTTCTCGCACACCGAAAGCTGGTCAAAAAAGCGAGGGATGAGGAGGAGGAGCAGCAGCAGCCATCTCGAATGACTCAACATTTTGTGGTTATGCAGGAGCCACGTGCAAAATATTTTCATTGGAACCCAAAAAAAAAAAAGGAAAAATAAAAACATGCTAGATACAAAAAACAACACGAAACTGGTCCAACTCGTCAATGTCAATGGATAGTGAAAGGACCAGAAGGGAGGGGGGTTCAAGGGGCAAGGAGGAGCCATTGAATAGGCGTGACACATCACGGACTCGGGTTTCAAAGACACCAAACGACACCAGCTGTTGGCAGCTGGTTGCAAAAACGTGCCCCGGATCGACATCCTTGCAAACAGCGACACAGCGACACAGCGCCACTCGCACAATTAAATATTAATGCGCGAAATTAAGTGAAAAACAAGGACATCCGTTGACTTTGGCTTGTCTTAAGGATTAGCCAGCAACTTGTGGCATTAACAGGCCATCACACCGAGCTTAAAGTTGTCTAAAAAATCAGCCAAATAATTGGATTTTACTTTCGTTTGTAGCGGAAAGCTGGAACAAAGATAGCTGGGTACCTTTGTTTATACGAGGAGCTAAACTGAATTTTTGGGTGCGGACTGTTTGCAAGAGATTGATGAAGTGTCCGGAAAAAGCAAGGAGGAGAAAGGTCAAATGATATGGAGAAGAAATAGGCCAATACAATCATTCATTTCGGGCGAATGAAATCATGAAACAAGTCAAGAAACTTGGTCACTTCGAAACTTACTTTGTAAAATATGAATATCCTTTATAAATGGAAATTACATAAAAACTTAAGAAAATAAATATCAGTATGACCAGTTTTTACAACTTTTCTATGGCATTCAAAAGGTTTTGTAAAAAGAGCTTCAAGAAATAAGATTCTATTTCGAAAACATAGAAATATTTTATACATAGAAAACTATTTAAAATCGAAATCCTTTTGCCTAATATAATACAATTCCGCAATTGAAGAACACTCCGCACGTTTCAACTCGCATTTCCACAAATCATCAATCCAAAAGCGTTTAAGCCAATTTTCCTTGCATTCTCAAATCGAAATTGCTTGCCATAAAAGTCGAGGGAAATAAATCAACTGGCTGCGCTATATAGGCTATATATATAGGCTATATATTTATATTTGCAGTTTAAGCAATTATGTTCAGTCACGTGAGAGCGTGCGGAATGCAATGGCAAATGCAGGATAACCGGAGTGTGCCAACAAACTATGATGAATGAGGATTGGCAGAAGAACAGTAACTCCGCCGGGTGAAATGTTAAAAGCTACAAATAGCAAGGTCACATTGGCACGACATGTCAAGACAAGTCAGGACTTGGGAGTTGCAGTCACGAAAGGAAGGACTCACACTCACCTCTTGCCAGCTTCCTCGCCCTCGAGTCCTTCGCCGCCAGCGGCAGCGGCTGCCTCCGGATCCACGGCCGCGGAGGCCGAGGTGGCCTCCAGGGATGTGGAGGCGGCGGCTGGAGCGGCTGCGGCCGCTTCTCCTGTGGGCGCCGGGACATCCTCGTCGCCAGCGCCTCCTTTGACGGCGCCCACCAGCGAGGTGAATTGATTTGTTAGGCCCGAAAACATGGTGATGGATTCTCCTGATTCTCTCAAGGATTAGAGTGCTGTTTGCTATGTGGTGTCCTGACCAGGAAGGAAAACGTGCGCACGTTCAACGCTCGGCTCTCTCGCTCTCTCTTTCTGCTCTCTCTCTCACTGCTCTCCCGCTGCTCCTTGCGCTCCGGACTCTTACACAGATATAATATCCTGTAATGGGCCTTCCTTTCCTTTCCTTTCCTTTCTTTCAGTGTTCAGCGTTCGCAGCACAGAAGTTTCACTTTCAACGCTCGGCGTTATGTAAATTCTCGCATTTAACTTGAATTTTGCACGCTGCAAGCGGATGTTGGCCAAGTTGATTGGGTTGTTGGCAAGATGGAAGGGAAAAGAATGGGTTTTTATTGCACGTCAGTTGCGAGGCGAGGCGGCGGTGGGGAAAATCAATAAAACGGACTGCGAATTGCGTGGCTTTTGGGCACAATTACACGATAAATACTCTGCGATTCGATCGATTTTCCACATGGACACACGCCTATTTGTTATTTTCTATTTGGTATTTGCACAACTAAAGCAATTTGAGTCGCAGGCCAATTACCACTTGAGCTTTTTTCTGGAATTCTATTTTTCTCTTTTATGATTATTTTTTTTTGTCGCCAGGAGACTTTTGGATTCTCGGCTGCCCACTTCGAAGGTCCTCTGAAAACTGACGGAGCAGCGGAATGTCGTTGGCTCAAATACCGTCGTCTTCGTCTTCGCCTGCTCTCTGGGACTCGAATTCGATTCTCAGGTTCAGAGTCTCGGATTCTCGCTTTCTCCCTGGAAAACTGGAGTCCACCCCCTCCTCCGCGTCGCTGGGTGGCTGCTATTGCGATTTTCGTGGCTGGTGGTGGTGGGTTCTTGGTCTCCTCTGTCCGCTGGAATGCGCATGTGTGCTTTGGCGTCGTGGGTTTCTTTCTAGCTTTTCGGCTGGCGCAATTAGACAAACAATTGACACGTCTGTGGAAACAACAACTGCGCACCAGTAATGATTATTTTTCGGTTCGTTTTCGGCCAGTGCTGCCCATCGAACAGCTGACGGTCGCTGACAGAAACCGCCTTGTCTATCGATAGGCGGACTCGCATCACTAGCTTTTGCAACAGCTGTTTTTGAAATTGTATTTAAAATTTGCCATTTTTCTGATTTCCCAATTATTAAAGATTATTTCTACATAAATTTTGTTTTAAATAGGTCGATTTAATTACTAATAGATCTTTAGAAATTTGTTAATAAAAAAATATCATACCATACCCTTGTAATTCTTTAAAATCTAACATAATTAAGACCAAAAGAGCTGTAACCTGTGATATTCTGCAAGATCTCCCTTGAAACTATCTATTTTCATCTTATAAAATAATAACAAATCGCCATCATGTTCGTAAAACTCTATTTACACCAACAGACTTTCATTTTTTGTACTTAACACGTAGTTTTTTATATCAATTATCAGCTAAAATAGTTCGATGGAGGCAATATGGATTTGAATCAGCGCCTTTGTCTTGCCCTGCTTGGAGGCTCCTCCTGCGTCGCCGTCTCCTCCGCCGCTTCCTGCTTGGGTTTGGGTGCCTGCTGGGCCTTGATTTCATGGTCCAGCCGCTCCTTGGCCCGGAAAACCTTCGACTGGAGGTAGAAGGAGCCGCCCTTGGAGCGCTCGTTCATCTGGAACAGGTGCTCGTAGTTCTTGAGGATGGCCTCCACGTTCTTGGGGTCATCGATGTTCAGGATTTGCTTGGCCTCCTCCAGCGTCATGCCTGTAAAAGGGGATTAGATTGTAAATTCTGGTGTATATAATGACTAGGATCGAGACTCACCTGTGCGCAGATTGGACTCGGCGCTCTTGTCGCCCTGCTTTCCTCCGCCCGCTCGACGTGCCGCTTCCTGCGAGGCGGCGATCTCCTGGCGCAGCGCCTTGGTGAAGGCTCTTCCCACCGCCTGGGCGCCCAACACGATGATCTGGGCAATGTACTTGGCCATGGTCGGTTCCGGTTCGAACGTAAAATCTGTGGCCCTCTGAGATTTCAACTTTGATTTTGGGGACGCCTTAAAAACGTGTCGCTTAAATTACGCAACAGCTGATTGGCCTCGGTGGCTCCCAGTCGAATATTTCGTAGATGCCGTTCTAAAGATACTATTTTAATGCATTTAACACACAATTTTGACTTAGGTTTTGTGTTATTATTTAAGTACCAGGTGAATTTGATCTTTTACGCCAGGTAATTTACAAAGTTTGCTGGCGGCGAAAAGCAGGGAAAACAGCTGATGGGCTAGGGATGGTAGTCGGCGCCTATCGATAGCAGTCGATAGGTTTTGTAGATTATTTCCCGGAAACATCTAGCTACTTTAATATAGCTATTTTTTACAATCGATAGTATTACTGTTTTTGTCAATTATTGTTCTTAAAAATTAAAAAATTAAGCTTGCATAAGAATGTAACGGTTCAAATGATACTAAAAACTACTATTAATGTTCTATAAAAGTTTAAATATAATGTTTTCAAATATTTATTTCAAAATAAAGTGAAATTTACCTACTTTTTACAGTAGCAGAGCTGCTTTCCTTGTCAGTTATCGTTTTTAAAAATTCAAAATTGAAATGCCTCAGGAGCCGAAATGGAAAAAGGCCTACGACCGACTGATCCGTGAGCACTACAATGACCAGAGGCAGGTGCATCTGCTGCAGCGCCAACTGCGTCACTTCCGGTCGAAAAGGGAGCGCCTGCAGCAACAAATCGAGGAGGAGAGCAGGGGCATGGACGTCTGGATGAGCATGATGGCCAACCTGCGACGCGGCGTCGAGCGCTTCCAGAAGCAAAAGCATCTGCTCACCCCCAAGAAGAAAAAGCAGTTGCGCCGGATAATGCGGCAGCTGCCCAGTGACACTCTGGAGCAGCGGGTGCGACTGATGGAGGTATCGGAGAAGTTGGTTCCGAAACCATGCAAGGAGGTAGCCAACTCAGAAGCTCTAGAAGATCAACCCAATGTCAGATACTCTGTCCCACTGCAGAAACACTGTGATCCCAATACCAGGTCCTCGGTGGACAAGCGCCTCTCCAGGATCAATGCTGATCTGCAAGCCCTTCGCCGGATCCACGAAAAAACCATGTCTGTGGTGGCAGATATACGTTCCCTGATGGCCACCCTCAACTATTTGGAACGCGGTCATTGCACCAATATTAAAATCACCCCTTATAGGGAGTCGGCGAACTCCGTTTCGCCCGCGAAGGCCACCATCAAGTTGGATCGCCTGCGAAGGACCAAGCACAGGACGCACTACACCCGGGAGATGATGGACATTCGACCGCCTTATATCCTCAATCATGTACCGCAACTCAAGCCCGACATTTTTGACTTACTCGATATAAAGTCCAAGAAAGATCACACACACTACACTAAATCCATCTCTGTGGTGGGGACAATAATTTATTACGCCAAGAATTAGTCTACTTAAACATAGTCTACTTGAACATGTTCTATGCTACGCTAATCCTGTCCAGCTTCTTCCTCCGTTCGATATGTACAATTTACAATAACAACTAAACTCAATGATCTTGTGTTTGTATTATAACTAGTATTTGGATTATAAGCAAAATTCAAGCGATCTTAGTTAAATTAAAATAATTTATTTTTAATTAAAGATCGCTTAAAATCGAATGCATATAATCCGATTTCTAGTTATAACAATGGTTTGGAAACTGCTTTCTTTTCGGTGGCAAGATATCTGTTTTTCCAGTTCCCTAACTTTTCAAACTAGATGTTCGCTTCCCTGTTAGCCTGGCACTTTATCATATGATATATTTTGTGCAGTTGTTCCCATCAACAATCTCTCTGCTTTTTATGGCCTCTCTGTGCTTTTTCTTTTGGGCTTAACCCAAAATGAAGGGTCATCTCAACAGAATCCCGGATTGGTGTGCTCGATGATGCAGCGCTTGCAGTACTTCTTGACTGCCCGGTAGCCCTCGATGGACACCGGGCAGTCCTGGATGTTCAGCTGCTGAAGACCCCGACAATAGTAGGCGATGCACTGCACGCCGCGATCCGTGATCATGTCGCAGCTGCGCAGGCTGAGCTTCTTCAGGTTGGGACAACTTTCGGCCAGGGCTCTCAGTCCCGCGTCGCTCACATCGCACTTGCCAATGTCCAGTGCTCTGAGCCTCGGACAAGAGCGGGCCAGCACGGTGATGGAGTCATCGCTTACCGCCTCACACCCTCGGGCATTCAGATAGCGCAGCTTATAGCACCTCCTAGCAATGACCTTCAGCCCGGCATCCGAAACGCGTTCGCACTTGGCCACCGAAAGGTAGCGAAGTGCAGCCCCCAACTTGGCCAGCTCGTAGAGGCCAAAGTCGGTGATGTTCAGGCAGTCGGACACACTGAGCTCCTTCAGCGACACACAGAAACTGGGCACAAACTTCAGACCCGCATCTATAAAATATGGTATATTATATATGGTTCGTAAGTAGCAATAATCCTCTCCAACTCACCTGTAATTTGTATGCAGCGCCGCAGATACAGATACACCAGCTGGGGACAGTTCTTGACCACGATCTTCAGGCCCATGTCGTCGATGGCCATGCAGTCCGTGAGGTCCAGATACTGAAGCAAAAGGCGACGCGGGGGCTCCACGTGGGGATTCGGACTGATGCTGCTCACCTGGCTGCAGCCTAAAGAAATTTAAGATTGAACAAATGTTGGTAAATAAAATTTAAATTTTTAAAAAGATTTGTAATTGATGAGACCAAACAAAAATTGGTTAAAAGCTAAAAATCCTTTCTTAATAATCTTTTTAGGGATTAGAGGAAGAGACACTTAATCTCAGGGTCACGGGTTTGGCCCCACAATGGGCGCCAAATGTTATGAAAAGAAGGTTTAAGGCACGCGCTAAGCTCGTTATTAAATTCCAAATCGATTGATTTTTAAGTTTGTGTCAAAAGTAAATTTTAAAATGATTTGTGATTGATCAGACCAAACAAAAAGAGGTTTAAAGCAAAAAAAATACTTTCTTAATAATCTTTTTAAAGATTAGAGCATGAGACACTTAATCTTAAGGTCACGGGTTCTGCCCCACGTTGGGCGCCAAATGTTATGAAATGAAGGTTTAAATTACGCGCTAAGCTCGAAATTGAATTCCAAATCGATCAGTTTTTAAGTTTGTGTCAAAAGTAATTTAATTAAATGGATATAACCAGGAATTTTGTTAGCAAGCCATTTAAATATCCAAATATCTCCACTCACCTGTTACATCCAGATGCTGCAGGTTGCTGCACTTGGTCAGCGCCTCGACCAGCGCCTGATTGGAGACGCCCACGCAGGTCTGCAGCTGGAGGTGCGTCAACTCCGGACATCGGCGGGTGAGCAGCTGGAGGCCCTTGTCCGAGATGCGACAGCCGTCGGAGAGCATGACGCGCTCCACTTCCGGACAGGCGCCGTTGCAACTCTGGCCGCACAGCTGCCGGAAGATCATTTTCAGCGTCTTGTCGCCATTGAGGTGCTCGCCCCTTAGTGATATGACCTTCCAGAGGATGGGTCGCCAGGCGAGGTGCTCGAATCTCCGGCAGACCCTCGCCACGTTGCACAGCTCGCAGCTGTCCAGCCAGGAGAAGATGCGGACGACGGCCTCGTCGGGCAGACGATCGAAGAGCGGTCCGCAGCGAAAGGGACCCTTGCGGTTCCAGGGCGGCGGTCCAATGGCTGTGACTGGACCACCTCCTCCTCCTACGACCTCCTCCTCCTCCTCCATTGCTGGAGACTCCTCTTCGCGGCGTTGTAGTCGGCGTACTGCTCGCCATAATCCCCGCTCCACTGGCCGTCGTGGTGTTGGTCACATTGCCCGTCCCGCCACTCGAATGATGACCCGTCGGCGAGGGCGAGACCAGCGTGGCATAGCCCTGGTCCAAGCTGGGCGAGAAGCGGCCCAGGTTGCACAGGCCATCCGACAGACTCTGGCCCTTGGAGTGCAGGTGGTTGGAGTTGGAGCTCCGGTTCAGCAGGTAGCGATCCGAGCCACTCGTCTCGCTGGGACTGGAGGTGCGCGGATGGAGCAGGCGTTCTGGAGGAGACAAAAAATTGAATTGTAGTTAATAACATTTTAAATGGAGTTGTGCATAGATCAATAGTATTAGGGTATTCAATTGCGTTGCAAACGTTGTAAAGTGTAAAAGTGTAAGGCAGTTCAACAACAATTTCCATACAAAATAGTTTTCATGTGTAGGCCTTAAAAACTATTTTGTATAGAAATTGTTGTTGGAACTGCAACACTTTACAACGTTTGCAACGCAATTGAATACCCTATAATATACCTAAATGTATCAAACAAATTCCAATATGATTCGAAAATAGAATTGGAATTCACGTTGGATCGCCGTATGTTATGAATCTGACCCAGTGGCAGATCTAGGATTTTGTTGTTGGGGGGATATCAGAACCATTTATTTGTAATTTGTAATTTTTCACCCCCACTAGAGTGGGGGGTGATTTGTCCCCCGTGGATTCGCGCATGGTTGTATTGTAATCGCAAAAATAATCTACAAAAACTAGAAATTTCATATTCATCATTTTATCGCTTAAACGCTTTTAATTGTCGGGCGCCATTGTAAGCGATTAAATTGAAGCAGTTCTGTTGTAAAGTTTTGAACCGGTCTCACCCAGAATTTTTTTGTGTTTTTTCAAAACAAGTTGCTAATGAGATAGGCTTCATTGGGTTATGTTATCAATGGCCAAAAAATAAAAAAAAATCAAAGTATTTCCTGGAAAATTGCCTTCAACGCTTTAGATTGCCTGGCGCCATTGTAAGCGATTAAATTGAAGCAGTTCTGTTGTAAAGTTTTGAACCGGTCTCATCCAGATTTTTTTGTGTTTTTCCAAAATAAGTTGCTAAGGAGATAGGCTTCTTTGGGGTATGTTATGAATGCTCGAAAAACAAATAAAAATCGAAGTATTTCCTAGAAAATTTGAACTCTGATTTAGTTTTTTTTTCCATTATTGGGTCATGTAATCAATGGTCAAAAATCAAAGTATTTCCTAGAAAATTGAAAACTTGTCATAATACGTCCTCCGACTCTGATTTTGTTTTTTTTTTCATTGTGTGTGCCTATTGTTATCATCTTAGAATGGGAATCTTTTGGGTATAAAAAGACGCAAACTTGCGATCGATTTCAGTTTGAAAACATTCATCAATATGAAATTACTTGTAAGTACTCTAGCTCGTAAAAAAGAAAACCAAAATTGTATATTGCTTCTCCATTTAGATTGTCCTTCTTGCTTTGGTAGCTGCAGTTTCGGGGCAACAACTGATAGTTTATCCCATAACTACAGACTATGGTTGCTATTGTCCAGGATACTATATTGGAGTGATATGGGTTGCTCCTGTTTATTGGTATGATCCGCGTAGATATCGAAGGGACGGACACAGTAGACGAAAGCGGTGCGCCTTGTCGTTCCCCTGCAATCCGTATCAGGGTTGATAAATACTCAAATAAAATTATAATGGTCACCTATTTGAATAAAAGCGAATGAAACAAGCCGGATATGGCCAAAATGTATGGAAAACTGGATTTATAGATATTAGAAGTATAGTAGATTTTTAAAGTTATTTTTATACCCTTGTAGAGGGTATTATGATTTCAGTCAGAATGCAACGCAGTAAAGGAGACGTTTCCGGCCCTACAAAGTATATATATTATTGATCAGCATCACTAGTCTGTCTAGTTTCTAGTTTTAAAGCTTTCCCAAAAGGCTTTCTATTGCAGGTAGTATATATATATATATCTATATCCTATAGCTTCCAAAGGAATAATCGAAAAAAATAATAGAAAAAAAGCTTCGGTGTTTTCTGAAATATTACCCTCTACTTTTGAAAATAAAGTTTTTTATATATTTCTAAATTTTGGATAAAATTTAAAAAAAATCGAACGAAAATAGGAAGGTAACAGTTTCATTTCTACTGTATCTTAATTATTATGGATCATTAATTTCACCCACCTGGCAGTCGCTCATTCCCGCTGCCGCTGCTGTAATCCTCCAGGTAGTAGCGCTCGTTTTGGTACTGACTCGCCTCGGCCCCCAAGGGAAGAGCCCTTAGAGCGTTGCCCAGATACAGGGACTCCATCTTCTTGTCCAGCAGGTACTGGGCTCCATTGCTGCCGGCGCCGCCATTGCTGCTCAGTACAGTGGGCACACTGCAGCGGCCACCTTGGGCTCGCCTTCGTCCTCCAGCGGTGGCTCCACCAGTGCCTCCTCCACTGCCTCCTCCTCCACTTCCTGGGCCTCCGCCACCTCCGCCATTATTGTCACTGGAATCCTCCGTGTCCGCACTGTTGCCGTGCATCCAACTGGGTCGCTGTGTCCCGAATTGCAGGACATGCTCCAGGGTGAGGAAGTTCCGGGGCTGCGGCACGGGGGCCACTGGATTCCTGGAGGCCGGAGCCGGCGGCAGTTCGGGGGATTTCTTCGCATGCCTGCCCACCGAAGCCGTCGAATGGGCTCCGTAGGTGCTGGCCTGTTCGGGTCGCGAGTGGCGACCTCGCAGCTCGAAGGTTGCCGCCTTCTGTTGCACCATGTGGAGCACCGTCGAGGAGGCGGCCACCTGGTCACTGGTCGCCGCTTCATGGGCCACTTCCATGCCCGGATTGGGCGACTTGCGGGACATCATCTTGTAGGCCTGCGGATCCAGTGGACTGGAGCTCAGCGGATGCGGATGGTGGTAGTGATCGCGCACCGCATTGCTGTTGCGGCCCAAGGAAGCTAGTGGACACTCCAGGTCGCTGCTGCGACGGCTGCTCGTCTTGTGCGACATGGTTGGGTCCTCCTTTCGAGGGATTTGTCTCTCAGCTAGAGGCCTCTAGAATGGCGCGAATGTCTGGAAAACAAAGGGTGATTTTAGATTAGAGATAAGTTTAATTAAATTTTAAGTATTAAGTGTAGCTGCAGTCAAAAGAAAACCTAAAAAAAGCTAGAATCCTAAATGATCTAAGTTCTCAAGTAGGTTTTTGATATAATATAATACTTAATGATGATAATGATAAAGAAAACCTTAAAATATGCTAGAATCCTAAATGATCTAAGTTCTTAAGTAGGTTTCTGATATAATATCACTACTTCTTAAGTATCTTAAGTAGGCTTTTAATGTAATATCACTACCTAATTATTTTATAATTATAAGTATTCCCTTTTTTCATAGCTGATAAATTCATTAAAATATAAATTAAAATATAAAATAAAATAAACTACTGAAAATCTTGTTTAATTAAAAGACAACCCTTTTCAACCTTTACTTAGTCAACAACCTTTAAAAACTAAAAAAAAAGAATGAAAATTTGCAATTAATTGGAATTAATTATAAAATTCCATAATGTATTTTATCCCAAAAAGCCAAAAAAAAAACGTTTATCGCAGCTCGACGAATGGAATTCAAATCTGCGATGGCCATGGGAACACGGAATGCCTGGTGGAAGTGTGTGGGTAGCCTTTTGTGGGTCTGCATGCCATTCGCAATTATTAGAGGAAAAAGCGGCGATGGAGAGTCATAACTGGGAGTCATAAAATACATATATATATAAGTATAGATTTTCTACGCGAACCACTCCTACAACGAAACTTTACTGCAGTTGACCTTTCAAATCCAGCCAAATCGGCTTGTGGGTGAAATGAGTTGGGGATTGTTGGAATTATCATCGGTGCTTTGCTTGTTGGCAAACAAATCGTTCTGCGCACGTATATATTTTCACAATTAATAAGGGGATCGCCCACGCTCCGAACGAATCATTGGTTTTGTCTTTTTTTTCGGCCGCCTTATATGTATGGTATAAAGTTTTATATCTTTTATTTGGCCACACGTATGCTGTCATTTCCATTGAGTCGCGGCTGGCTGCTCCATTCATTGTGGCTAAAAACCCGGAACCAGTTTGGGAACCTGGGATGAGAGGATAAAGAAGAGGCTGCAGCAGAAGGCGTGGGCTGGCTTGTGGCCATCCGCAATTTGGCCTAACCTTAAGACCTCGAATTAAGCCGAAAGTAACCCAATTCGGCAAGTTGGGAACAAGAGATATCTGGGCAGAAGCCATAACCGTTCTCCGCTCTCCAATGGGGCTTTGCATAATTTACTCGGCCCGCGAAGCCATCTAAATAGAAAACTATAAATTTATTTCAAATTTTCGTGGCATTTCTGGGTGGGGCCGCGTTTTTCGGGGCACACCTACGGAAAAAAAAAGATCCAGCAAAAAAATGAGGGGCACACTTTGAGACGAGTAAATCAAAAGCTACTCAAAAGCCTGGCTTTATTTTTATTGTAATCAAATTTGAAATTAATTTCTAGATTTTTGTGTTGTATCATTTGCTGGCCTCGCCATAAATAAACACAAATAGGCAGCAATAATAACACCGGGGCTCTAGCACATTTCGATTTGGAGAACCTCGGACAGAAATATGTCTTGTCATTTGGCTTATGGCAGCTGATTAATCTTAGCATCTCCGAAACCGAAACCAAACCCAAACCAAAAACCAAAACCGAATCTGAATCGGAATCTGAAGTGGAGTCGCCGCATATGGAATGTCGCTCAACTGGTTCGAAACCCCAACGAAAATCCCCCAAGAAAGAAAGGAAAATGCTTCCAGCCAGAGATCACTTGACTCCAATCCAATCCACTCGAGAGGCATTTGATTTTTTCCTAGACCCTGGCCAGCCGTTGCCATAATTCACAATAGTTGGACAATAAATAATTAATAAAGCACGCTCGGTGTGTGGACAAAAGTGTCAAATGGTTCATTGGGCAACACAGCATGGAATTTGCATAAATTTACATGCAAATCCAATTCATTTTGTTTGTTTTATTCTTTGTCTTGCGAAGCTAAAGGGCTGAAATATCATTAGTATCGCATTAAGTGTTGTAAACAACCCACGGAGCTTGTAAAGTTCTTGTTGGCCAACACTTTGGGCCAAGATTAGGATTGGGACAAAGTTCAAGAAAGTAAAGGAGAAAGTTGGCCTTATCAGAAATACATTTTAATATTATTGAATGAGCATTCATGAATACATCTGTCTGCATTTAATGTAACGTATTATGGCTCATAAATTAGAGCGTCCATTTATGTTTCTCACAATTATTTTAATAAACCAAAGAACCTTCACATTTATTATTTTATTATTGACTGAGAATTTACGATGCGTGAATATACTTCTGTAGAATATTTTATTTAAATTAACTACATATTATCGTTTAATTTTTATTGACCATTATATTAGCTTGTCCTCAAGTGAATATCCCGGATAACCTCCATATCTGTCAAGTGGCTCAATCAATTCAATGTTCAATTAAGCCGCATATATATTTTCAATTTTTATTGGCGAAATAAAAATTATAAGAAATCCGGCAAAGGCCAAGCGCTCGTCGGAAATCCATTGGAAACTGGTCCAGAGCTCTGTATTTGTATCTATCTCGATCTGAGTCGATGTTCCTATCTCTATCTTTACGTGCCTGTCCATATTTCCCCGACCCAACCAAGCCAAGCCTCTTCAAGTGAGCTCAACGAGCACACAAACGAGCACATAAAATATGACAACAACAAGTACTAATTATTTAATATGCTTAATGAGCAAATGTCGCCATGATGGTGCCCACGGTGCACTCAAACATGGCAAGACCACTTCGGCACATTGGGGGAAAATCATAAAAGTCGTGCGATAAAATATTAAGTTATATTACTTGGAGTGTGGCATTAAAAGAAATTATAGACATACATTTCACCTTTGAGCCTTCTATATTACGATGTTTTTTTTTAAAGATTTAAATATTACGTTAGACTACAAAGTATGCATTAATTTTAAATTTTTTTTAAATCGTTAGAAATGTATGTTTGTAGGTTTGAAAGCTAATCAATTATCAATTTTATAGCAAGCTCAACGATGTATAATATTCCACATTTGAATCAAAATTTCAATTTTTTTTGGATTGTTTTTTTAGCCAGTTTTTAATTTTTGTATAATGGGTTACATCACATTTTTTTGAAAAAAATTATCAAAAATTAAAAGTTATTATTATTTAGGATTAAGTACCAATCGATTGGGAATTTTATTACGAGCTCAACGAGGTAGCCTAGATATGCACAATATACTGATTTTTAAAAATATTTCCTTTAATGCAATGGTGTAACTATTGTAATAGCTTCATTTCCTGCACCTCTGTGATTACTTTTCCCAGCCAATCAAATCCCATTGGCCACACTGTGCTCTGTGTCAAACTAATAACTGCTATTTCCAGCGTTTGTGTGTGGCGACCGTTGTCTGCACATGGTTGAAATCTAACGCCGAACGGCAACAACAACAGCAGCAGCAGCAGCGGCAGCAGCAACATCTTGGCGCCACGGACAGCGGGCACCTTTTGGCCTCCATGGCTTGGCATGCTGAGCGCCTGGCCCCAAGTCTTGGCCCAAAGCCATGTGCCTGTGTGTGTGAGTGTGGCTACCGTTTTCAGTGGGTTGGCTTTTTGCATAGTGTCAATTTTGATTTAGCAAAACGTTGATGTTGCTGCTGTGGTTGCAATTGCTGTTGCTGTTGCTATTGCTGTTGCGGTTCCAATGGGTTGTCAGCGCACCCGCCTAACACCTCCTGGGCAAATAGACACCCACTCGCGGAGTTTAGCCGGCGCTGCCTAGAAAGTGGGTGGCGCTGACAAGTTTTACAAGAAAAAGGAAAAATATATATAGAAATATATAAGAAATATTTCTTGCGCATGCCAGCGGAATAACAAAAATGGGCGCAGCTTCAACTTGATTTTCTCAGCGATTTCACACAAAATGCAATTAGCCCGACTTGCCTTAACTTATTTAAGTCTCATTTATTACATTGTACTTGATTCAGATCTTTGTTCTTTTTAAACGCCATCATCGGTAGGGGAAAAACTAATTGGCATGGGCACTTGGGCTAGGCAAATTTTGCGGCACCTAGCCTGGGTATTGAAGTTATTGCCATTCCTCGCACCGCCATAGAAGATGAACCTTTGGCATCTCTGGGCCGTGGAATTGTAGAACCAATTGCGCAGGTAGGCCTTGCCAGTGCCCTCATCCAAAGGCTGAAGGCATCGGCGCTTGACTAAAATTTAAGATTAGTTTTACTGAAGAAGCATTTATAAAACTCTCAGGATCTGAAATCACACTTACTCGAGTGACTTTGGTGTAGACAGAGCGCCAGAAAAATAAGGAGACACGAAATTTTGAACAGCATGATGAAACAATTGAAACTAACATGAATAAACAGATATTGATAGCTTTTATATCGTTTTTACCCAACTATCAAGCGATATTAAATCAGGTGGTGTAAAACAAACTTAATTGTTTTGCTCGTAGTGCGGATGATAATCAAATATTTAGTTAGTTGGTTGTATAAAATCATCTGCTATACCATTCTTAGGCATATGGAAAATGTAAACAGAGAAACAGATAAAACGGTTTGGCAACTTCAGATATTGCCTGCCTAACTTATAATATAAAAAACAATACCATACATTTATACACTCATTTTAGGAATTTTAAAAAAGAATTTGAATTAAAGAAAAGTGTAAAATTTTAACGAAACATTTTATTCATCAGATAATATATATGTAGGTATTATTCCTGAAACTTAATACTGACGTTATTCTATAAATTTTTTGAATTGTTTATTATTTTAGAAACAAATTTTTCGGCATTCCTTCCAGTTTGCAAAGTTATTGGCATTTCCATGAACAAGCCTCCCAAAAAACCTAAATTGCGTACATCGCTTTGTAATTCTGTTAAAGTACCAACGATTAGTCGGAGGTCTGCCCAACCCAGTATTTTTCGGCAAAAGGCATATTGCTCTACCTACAATAAAAATTCAAATATTTAAACAAAAAATGTAAAAATATTTTATGGAGCTCTACTTACGACTGCTGATGTGAGGTGTAAAAACTATTAAGATCAGACCGAGATATAGCCATTTGAACAGCATGATTTATGTGGGACTCCCTTGTAGGTTGATAAATGCGAAAGGTACGAGTGCTAACCAGCTTTTATAGGTGAATAAATAGGGTAAACGAAAGCCCCCCGTTTGAATACCCTATAAAACACGACGAGTTAACGAGATAAATTCCATTAAACATTATTTGTATTCATCAGCTAACTTTATGCGGGATTATTTCTTACTTAATAACCCATTAAGCTGAGCTAACATCATCTAAAAGTCGGCTCACCCGCTTGGCGGCTATAAAAATTCCGAAATTTATTTATTCTATGGCATTCTGCAGCAATTAGGCTCTGCCTAAATATTTATTTTAACACATTTAATTTGGCGCAACAACAGCTGAGCCTGGTTAACCGTTCACCCAAGTTAAATGAACTCCCATTCTGTGCGGCTCCTCGTGTTTCTGTTGTCTCTATGCAAATGGGCGATGAATAGAATTGAAAGTTGACACAGTTCACAAAGAATTCGAAATGTTTCGCCAAAAAGGAAAGAGGGGAGAATGTGCTCGTATTGTTATTAAATATGTATGGGCGGCGTTTTCAAAATGGGCTATATATTTGCCTATGCATGCATAAATAGGCATTCGTTACGAATAAAGGTTCCAGCTGAATAGGCCGTGGATGGGAAGTTGGAGAATAGAGAGAGATCAATCTCTCTGGTAGAAAGTATTGAATGGAACGAATGAAGATTCATTGTGGTGGCGAAATTAATTAGAGCATTCAGCATGACTTCGAGCTATGCGATATCGGCGGATATATCTCTGCACCGCTAACTGTAAATTACTGGAATTTTGTATCAATTTGTAGATTCTGCAATCTCAATTACTTAGGCAAAAAACTTTCTCAGGAAGCTGCTCAGTGACTGTGGAAAAACTCGTTTAGATTTCCACCTTGCCATCGCTCATTTTTTGTTCAACGCTGATTGATCTGATAGTGCAAAAAAAAATGGTTTTTCTATATAGATATATATAAATTGATTTCTTGACGTCTACGCTCTATCCATCAAAATTGGTCTTGGCTGCTCTTTAGTTTTTTTTGTGAAATTTCTTTAATGGTTCTGTGCCATTTCTTTCGTCATTATCTGCAACTAAAAAATTTCCCCCGAGCCATTAAAAAAGAACGCGCAGATTTTAGTCGAACTAATTAAACCGAATCTTATACAATGAACCGTGAAGACAACCGCACACAACCGTGAAGAAACCGAATTGAAACATTGAGACTTGGTCATCAATCAAAGGCATCCTCTTCAATCCGCGAATAATTCAAATTCCTGGCGAACCAGTTCGTTGCCAGAGTCTTTTATTTTGGCCCCGAAAATATCTTTTGGCAGCCAGTGTGGGTAAAGCGAGGCTTAAGCTGAAATTAAACAGCCAGCCCAGCCAGGGCCGCGAAATAAATCACAAAATGAGACCCAGAAACGAGGCGAGCTCATTGCAAATTACATGCTCTTCGCTGACGTTGAAGTTGACGGTTGGCCAACACAATTGCGGACGTGAATGATGGCACCACGGCTAATCCCCAGATCACCGAGATCCCCAGAGCCAAGATCCCCAGTCCCCGATCCCCAAAACACATAAATCCAGGTCAAGTCAAAGTCCAATAAAAATGTCGGGCAAATGCAAAAAGCGACAAATGCTTGACGGACCAAATGTCAGAGTTAATTTATCTAAAAGCGTTGCCCGACTTTTCGGAAAGACATAGACGTACATAGATCCCAAAAAGAGACAGAGAGATCGGGAAATTTTAATTAAGACAAAATATTTGAAATTCTGCGCAAGACAACGAGGTCTCTCTAACAAGAAGCCAACAATTTGCCGCTTGCAATTTTTCAAATTACATTTCATTAAAGAGAAAGAGAGGCAGAAAGATGGCCATGATCGAGTGATAAGTGCAAGAGAAAAGCACCGTTTTGTCCCTGGCTCTTTTGGCCACTTTTCACTCGGGAATCGGGGAATTCGGGGCGAGAAAGAGAGCGAAACAGGTTATGGTATCGTTTCTCTGGTGGCCCGCATAACCGAAAAGCCCAAAAAACGCCCGCATATCGCTGGTCTATCGGCTCTTTTTTGCCATCTAATATGCTACACATAAATTGTTTAACAAATTTAATTTTAAAGTTCAGCCTGCAAATGCCCTGCGACAACTAAAGCAGCAACAATTGCGACTACAACTGAAGCAGCAACTATGTCAGTCACTCGACAACATTGCCAACTAGCAACTAGAAACAACATTCCAGCTGCTGCCTGCCGCCGCCCCCTGCCCACCTGTACAGCACCCCTCCCCCCCCTCTCTTGGCCAGGTAATCGTCAAGCTCGTAACTAGCTGCAGCTACAAGTTGCCGTTTCTAATACAAAACTGTCGCTTGTGGCGTGAGAGACTGTAAGACTGCAAGACTGCAAGACTGTAGCACTGCAATACTGCAACTCTCTTGGCCACGATTCGCGGCGAGCTTTGGCTTCGAACTTCGAGGCAAACCGAAGAAAAATGAAAATAAAGGAAAAAATAAATAATAAAAAAATACGTCGCATTGCATTTTAGTATTTGCTGATTGCACTGTTGCAAGAGCTATGAAATCATACAAACAGACACATAAATACCCGCACACACAAACACACACAGCGGAGGGAGACATACAATAAAAGTTGCGGACAAGAAAGGAAAGTCGATTAGCCGGAGGAAAATACCGAACTGGAAATACTCTGGATGTCGGGTGAAACGAGGGATAATGCTAGGCTTTCTTCCATAAAATGCAACTAAAAATGTGTACTTACAACATTTAAAAATAAAAAATAAACAAATAATTGAGTAAAATACCTTTCTCGAATGATAGTAATGGAAATATCATACGTAAACAATTTAATTAATTATATTACAATTATCTAGAATATAATTGAGTTTAATAATACAAGAAACACGGACTTATATGGTACTTATAAGGCCTTCGATTTATATTCTGGATTTGATAAATCTTTTTGTTTAGTATAATTAATTTATTTACTCATAAACCTTCAAGGCTCTTTGAGTAGCTAATAGATCCCAACTGGTAAAGTTAAAAATATAAAAATACGAAATAAATAAGGAAAAAACTGTTGAAAATCTCATGAAATCGGCGAGTGGCTTTTCCATGTCTGCGGCTGCGATGGCGGCAGCCTTTTGGCCCGAAAGCTTTTTGGCTTTGATTGGGGCTGCGGGCCATGGTTGACTGCTGACTGGATTGCATTGGCTATCCAAGTGGCTTGCTGTCATTGCAATGCGCATATGTTGACATTTTTCTGCAGGAAATATTTGAAATTGCTGGTAAATGCACGAGTAAGCGGGCGATCTTTCAGCGGCCGCTTTCGATTCGCCGCTGGCTGGGAAAGTGCGATCTCGACACGAATGCCAAAATGTTGTGATATCAAATGACCAATTTGTAATCATTTAACATGCAGAAATTACAAGGGAGAAGCCAGGCATAATAAATTCATCTGCTTGTAATTCTTTTGGATTTCTGAATATGGTTTATGGTTTCCAGCTAACCGAACTACGGGGGCAACTACCCTCGGGCAATCCGCTAATGATGTGAAGAACCGAAAACATTTGGCCAACACGTGTGCCAAAGAGCTCTTAACTCTGGAATTATCTATCTAACTATCTATATATGTCGGGTTACCAGGGGAGTTCCAGGAAAATTATGAATATGGTTATTTTGGCGCGGGGAAAAAGGAAAGTCGTTCTGCGGATAATTGCTGCGACTGTGTGCGTGTGTGTGAGCTGGGATGAAATTCAATCAGTTGGCCATAAACATATCCGTTGCAGCAACTCCTAGTTGAGTTAATGACCAGTCGAGAGATCCCGACTTCCTCTACGGGTATAATTTGCATGCAACCACTTCGTCGAGAGGGTGTATCTGCATCTGCATCGAAATCTGCAGTTGTAGTTGTACGAACGAGTTATATGCCAAAGTGGTGCAGCAGCAACAACAATAAATATATATCTCCAAAGGTGTGATTTTAATGTGACAACTTTTGCAACTGGTTTGGGGTCGAGTCGAGGCGAGAGTTTTCCTTCCACTATGTTTTTCTTCCTTTTTTTTACCTTTTTTTCGAGGTGTCACAGAGAATGGGCGTATGAATAATTCCATTAAATTTTTACGATCGTGCAATATTAATAAAGAAAACTAAAGAATATATGCCTGAGAAGAAGCCATACAGAAATAGAGAGCGAGAGAAAGGGAGATGAAGAGAGAGGGAGGTGGGTAGAGAGCGAAAGAGAGGCCTGAAAACCTGAATCTTGAATTGCAATTTAATAAGTTGTGATCGCCTGCTCTACCTTGATGATTATACAGGTAACTCCCTTCGGGTTCTCATTTATGCATCGCATAGCACTTTGTTTATTTGGCAGTTTTTGCAGCTTCATTTAATTTCCATTTATTTTCTCTGTTATTCCATCACAAGCACTAACACAATCACACACACCTGGGCACTCTTTTCTCTACTTTATTTTCATTGCAGGTCGCGTGAGAGTGTGTGCGTCTCGATCTTTCACTGTGGCTCTTTGTGTTATCTTTTTTGCGCTCACTGACTCACTCACTGGCACACACACAGAACCTGGTACACTCACACACACGTAGGACACGTAGGCACGCAACGCAGAGCGGCGCCTTGAGATTCGGTTTGGTCCGCTTTTGGACACACGACACCTGGACACTCGACACGCGGGCACCTGGATCCGTCGACAGGTAAATGGCAACTGAGTGCGAGGCGCTCGGTCTGCAGAGTGCTGGCCACCGATCGCAGCCAAAGAGAGCGAAAGAGAGAGAGAGAAATCCACCTCAGGTGGTGGGAAGTCAGCATTGCCAGGCGAAAAAGAAAAGACTTAGGCAACAAACTTGTTGAATATAAAAGTCTGAAATTTGTAGTCAATAAAATATTTAAAAACAAGAAATGACTTACGCAGAAAATGTATTTAAACTAAGAAAAAGTTGGCAAATGCTTGAGAAATTAAAACTCCTTGGCTTTAGAATCTGTTGCATATCTAAAGGCGTTTTCTGAGGTATTTATTGTTATGATCTTAAGATAATGTATTAAACAATATGTATTATGCATTTATTATTTATATGTATTATAAAACAATATGTATTAAATATATGTATTCAATATGTATTAAATAATAAACATTTTCATAAAACGAAAAAGAGACAATTAAAATATATTGCATACTTGAAGGCGTGACTTGACCAGCTATAAAACCAATATTTCCACATAACCTTTAAGAAATGTTATTTAAGATTGCAGACTTTGAAATCTCCAATTGTAAGTTTTTCGGATACTGCAACTTGTATTATAATTAGATTTCTTGTAATTGTTTTTCATAACAATTAAGCCCCTAAATAAAATGGAAAATACTGTTAATTAATGTTGAGAAACACACTTTTGAAAATATTCACCTCGTTCCCAAACTCTTGGCTCCCGCCCCCGCCCCTCTGAAATCTACCGCCTGTTGGACATGTTGTGCTACTTTTACGTTTTTGTTGTTTTGCTGCTGCGCTCGCAAAAATATTTCCACCATGGCATAACTAAATGTGCCTGTGGGCTAAACTGGCATACGAAAAGAGAGGCCGGCGAGAGAGCCATCAAGATTCCAGCTCGGAAATCCAACAGAAAAAATCGGCTTAAGAGCAGGCCTGAGAGTGTGAGTGTGCCTGTGTGTGAGTGAGCTGGATTACAGGCGCGCATGCGCAGCGCACGCCTCTCGTCCTCTCCCTCCCTCTTTTGTTTGCAATGGAATTTCTTTCTTTTCATAAACATGTTTTCTGGCCGCTGTTGTTGGCTTATTACAGCATTTAAGAGGCAAAAAGAGCAGGGGGAGGAAAAAGGGGGAGGGGGATCCGTGGCATAGGGGATCGAGCACACACTAAGCCCAAGTGGCATGAAACAAGTTCAGCGCTCGACTTCGACTTCGACAGCTCAGTTTCGGCCCGCTCTCGGCCTGCTGCGTTTTAGCCAGCCAGCCAGCCAGCCCAGCTCTTAACTTCTTCTTGAATGACTGCGGCACAGGAATGCAGTGTTGTAAATAGCTAAGGCCGCAGCGACTGCAAGCGGTCCGGGCCGCATTGTTGTTGGGCGCAGAATCAGAGCAAGTCGGAGGACGACCGGGCCAGCAGATCGCGACAACGATCACAGCAGAGAGCTCAGGCTAAAGCTTTGCACAGGCGAAAATTCAAAAAAAATGTGTAATGAATAAAAATACAAAAAATAAATTATATCTACTAAAAATATTTAGGTTGTCATTTAAAAAATTTCAAAAAATCAAAAAAAATGTTGTTAAATGTAATAAAATTGTATCATTAGATTTACCATAAAATAGTCTCTAAATGTTTAAGGATTCTCAAAGGCAATGGGATTGTATCATCTAAAAAATCATAACAAAGTAAATTTAGTTACAAATACCTTTAAGAAACGTTTTCACAAAAATTTATTGGCTATTGAAAATAGAAAATAAATAAATAAATATTTATTTTGTTTATTTTTATGTCCAAATAAATTAACTTTAAAGAAGCCTCGAAAAGCTTTTAATTTGTTTTTGTATTGAGTAAAAAATGTAATTAGTACCAATTTATTTTTTTAAATTTTTGGAATAACTTTTCTTGTAGTTTAGGCAGAAAATCAAGTGTGGAGAAGACCTAAAACCCCATGTTTAGTAAAAAAGTTTCCCCGATTTTCCCCTGTGTAGCTTTGAGAAGTTGCCGTGGCCGGAGCTGGAGCAATGAAAATTGCTGAGAGCGCCCCGAGGGCTTCCAACTTGGATTGGGACTGGACATGGTTCGGGTTCTCGGTTCTCGGGTCTCTTGCCGCTGCTCTTGACCACGATCGATAAGGCTCGCACCGCACACACACGGACATGGACATGGACATGGTAACGTCCATGGACACGGCCACTTCAGAGACTGGGTTCGTGTAGGTTATGTTTATGAATTGTCTTGCAGATTTCTGCACACGGAATTATGCGTTTATCTCAGAGGGTTAATTTCGCTGGCTGCTGCTGCAGTTGCAGTTGCTGCTCTCATTGTTGCTGTTATTGCTGCTGTTTTCCATGGCCTGGGTAATTAAATCGCAAGAAGCTGATAATATATGGAAAAGGGCTAAAAGTGTGCAGGAAAATGGTTTATTTTTTACCCTATCCTTTTTTTTGGCCACAAGGGTTTCTGGTTGTTGCTGCTGCTGCTGCTGTGCATTTGCCCGCTAGGAAATTATTCATGATAACAGAGATTGCATTGATTGATTGTGTGGCTGCACTCGGGATGGGTTCGCCTCGGATCGCCTGGGATCGCCTTGGATCGCCCGATCAGGCTTTGGGGGCATGAGAAGTGGGGGGTTTCCGTGGGGTCGCGGGGTTGCTGGGAGCCGCTCCATCGACGGCTACCGAGCCTGAGTTATTTGGGCTATTAAATGTCTGTGATTTGGCCATAAGTTATAGGAACATCGACAATCAATTGTTGGCCGGCCTAGGCGGTTACCACATGTGGCAGTAGCCTGGCCCCCCTGGCAACTGAATGCTGAAACTTAATAGTCTTTGCAAGAGGAGTTTGAGCTTGCCATTTCATACAGTACCATTATTGTTATAGTGCTACTTTCAACGCCTGTCAAACTTTTAACCCACTGAAAATTGGTTGCCTTGTGACATTTTGACCTTGTTACCCCGATTTAAATATTAATTGTTTCTAATTAAGTCAGGTAACTCAAAACTAAATATAACTGCAGACATAAACCCAGTTAAGAGCCCTAAAAATATGCAATGGAAACGTTTTTGGCCTCGATTTTTGCCCCAAAGTTGAACAACCCATGGGGAGGAGGAGGAGTAGCAGGTATATGACCAAATATTGGCACAAATGAGCGTGTCTCCAGTGCATTGACGAGTCGAGTCGCGTTCCCCTTTCTAGTATTTGGTATCGATCAAACAGGAGACGAGCCAATGGCGGAGAGATTCCGATTCCGGGACCCGGGCACCCATGGCAACTCCTTAAATTGCAGCGCAGGAAATGCTAATGGGAGTGTGTTTTGGAATCTTTGCTGACAGGGCACGACGTGGCACCGAATCCATTACCGGGGCCCAGTAAACCATATAAACATGGCTTCTAAAGGGGAGGGGTTGGACCCCACGAGTCTATAAAAGCTCTGACTGCTGTTTGCGGCCGTTTCAGTTCAACTTCATCGCTTCGTCGTCGTCCTGTCGTCCTGTCGCTCACTCTTCCGCAAAGAAACAAAGAAACAATTAAAGTGCAGACCGCAAGGCGGAAGGAAGTGCATACCGCAAGTGATTCCCCTACTTCAGTGCAAAGTTGCATGTTGGATTGTGCCACAAACTTTTAGCCAAGTTCCCCTAGCCCCCAAATGCCCCCTCATTTCCCCCCCTCCGAGTAAAATGAAAGCAGACAACTTCTTCAAGTACGGCGCCCCTTTGTACCAACCGAAAAGCAGCCAGCGGAGCACCCAGAACCAACCGCAAGTCCAAGGCGGCAACATCAACTTCGGCCATCTGACATCGTCCTCGCTGCTGACGAGCGACGACCTGCGTCATCTCACCCAGCAGCGGTCCTCGGGATACTCGGACCGGGAGAGCCTCGCCAGCGTGAGCAGTGCGGGTGGCCGGATTAAGAGGCGATCGAGGTAATCCTTTGGAGGGGGCAGAAGGCAGCAGGCAGGGGCAGATGCCAAATCAAACTTTCGAGCTGTCTTGAGATGTTGCAAAAAGTAGTTGTCCTCGCAGTTGTTTCTCAAGAAAGTGACAGAAACAGTTTATCTCAAGTTTTTCTTGGGGACAGACAAAGCATTTACGCAACATTGAAAGGTTGCAACATCAGAAAGTTAAATCGAATACAATGGAATTTAACTAAAATGTTAAAAAATTTATATGTGAAACAATTTTATTTTGATAAACATTTTTTCATAAAATCATCTCTCAAGAATGAATCGCAGGAAAACGGGTGCTAAGGAAATATTTTCACATAAAATCCGCAGTCTTCTAATTAAATTCAAGAACCTAATCTCGAGAATATTTTATTTTCCAGTATTCCAGACATAAATTAAAATGCAATTTTTAAAAGCTCTTATAAAATTCTTGATTGGAGTTTAACCATAAAAAGTTTATTTTTTGGTTATAAGCTGGACGTATTTTAACATAATTGACAACGAAAAAAAACCGAAAATCCTGTAATTTGGGCATAAATCAATTTGACACGAATTTGGTGAGAACTTAAACTTTTTAACATTTATTGCCAAAGTAATTAGTTGTCCTAATATGGTAATGGAACATTAAAACGTTGAGTTTTTAATACAATCTTTCTAAAAGTTTTGTGGAGTTCATTAGCTTTGGTAATTAACAAATTTACTAAATATTTCGACAAAAACAATCATGTTTCTGGCAAAAATCATTAACCCGTATTTCCCTCGAACAAAATTTTTTTTTTTTAAATAAAAAAATTTACCATTCCTTATTTCCCTAAAAAAGTATTGCAATAATAAGGTTTAATATAAATCACATTTTAGTACGCATTTTTTATTAACTTGGTCTATTAACAGTAACTTAAAACTACAAAGTAAGTACTAAAAATCTGGTTGGTAAATTTTAGCTTCCAAAAATGCTTTCCTATTTATTTTATTCACCTGTGTACACCTGTGCCTTGCCTTGATAGATAGTTTTTCACTTGCTGAGGGGTGGCCACGATTTAACAACCCCCGCAAAGGTGTTGGCTCAACCGTGACGCATGTAGTCGGCCACAGGAGCAGGGTTAAAACTGTATTTTGGCCAACTTGTCGTCGTGGCAACAACTGGAACACAAACTCCGATTGTCACCCCAAAAGGACAGCTTCAGTTTCGCTTTTTCAGTTCCATTTTCCACTTCAGTTGCCGAGCAACTCCGTCCTCTAGTCCAAATTCTGTGTAAAAATGTGATCCAAGATGTGTCCTTTTTCTTCCCTGTAATTTTATTTAGAAACTTCTCCATGAAGTCCTCGAAGGGGGGCATCTCGAAGAAAAGCAAGACCATGGATTACACCAACTACGCCTACAACGAGGCAGTGGGTCGCCTTAAGGTGATGCTGGCCGACAACTCCTACGTGGCACCCAAATTGGGAGGCGGAGGAGCAGGAGGCGTGTCTTCCTATTTGCGCAACTTCAACGAGGATTCCGGGGACAACTTCTCCGACAACCTATCGGTGGGTTTTTACTCTTAAGAGGGAGTGTGAAAAATATCCCTAAATATAATTTTCCTACAGGTCATTGAGCGTCCCGTCTTCTCGGACATTTCCAAGTACTTGTCGCCCAGCCAGAAGTCGCGGATTAGCTCCTATCGTCCCAAGAAGAGCTATAACTCTGGATATCTCTCGGCTTCCAAGGAGAACTTGGCCTCCTATCAGACCTCCTCGGTTCCTCCGCCAGCGGCTGCTCCTCTTCCCGCCGACAGTGTGCCGGCTCCGGTGGAGATCTTCAGCTTCATCGAGAAGCAGGAGGACTACATCGAGCAGCTGGAGAAGGAGTCCAAGTACTGTCGCAACGAGCTGACCAATCTGCTGGGCAAAGTCAAGGATGTGATCAACGAGAACGAGCAGCTGACGGAGAATGCCCGCTCCGAGTTGGTGGCCCTCGGTTCGGGTAAGTCGCAGCCCCAGATGACCACCACCACTAGTCCCTCCTCGGATAGCGATGAGCACCTGGTGCAGTTCGCCAGTGGACGAAGGACACCCTCTACTCCGTCGAGGAAAAGTGCCTCCAAGGGGCAGGTGCAGAGTCCTCGCTATGCCAGTGCCCCGAATATTGTCTACGAGGCCAGGATCAGCGAACTGGAGGCCGAACTGATGCAGGCCAGCATCGATTTGAGGCGTCTGCGAACGGAGAACGAGGAGCTCAAGAGGAAACTGGCCCACAGTGATCCTCTGACCACAGTGGCCACCCTAACTGGAGGATCAGCCAACTGTGAGCTGCATCGCAAGCAGCTGGAGAGCCTGCAGCAGGATAAGTTGACTTTGGAGGAGAGTGTGCGGCATTTGCAGAGGCTTTTGGATGAGGCTAAAGGCCCAACAGGGTAGCGCCTCCTCCAAGCGCTACATCAGCGATCTGGTGCAGATGGAGCGCTCCCAGGCGGAGCTGGAGGTTCGTCATCTTCGCGATGAACTGGATCGCCAGCATGAGAGGGTCAGGGAGCTGCAGCACGAGATGGCCCGACGGTTGGCCGAGGAAAGGGCCAGTGCCGAGCGGCGTTACAACAGCCAGGTGGATCAGCTGGGCGGCGATCTCAGCTGCCAGTGGGAGCAGGTGGCCAAGCTGCAGTTGGATCTTGAGCGCCAGAAGCGCTATGAAACCGATCTCAAGCGCGATCTGGCCAGTCGCAATTCGCAGATCGAGGAGCTGAAAATGGAGCTAAGGGCCAACAGGACCACCTTCCTGGCGGACATGGCCCAGACGAATGCCGAGAAGCAGTCGCTGGAGCAGGACATCACCTCGCTGCGCCTGCAGTTGGACCGGGCTGCCAGGGAGACCAAGACGGAGGCCGCTCGTCTGACGGCCGAGATCAACTCGCTGAGGCAGCGACTGGATCGCGGGGATGCCGATCTGCTGCACTCGAAAAGGGAGGTACTAAGGCTCAACGATGAGATCGCCAATCTGGAGAAGGAGGTGAGTGTTCCAAGCAATCTTAAAGTCACTTGAACAACTTTATTACAAAACACTCAAATTAATGGATTTATTTCAGGGATAGTAAAACACAAGTTATATGTGATTTTTATTTTAAAAAGACTACTGTGAATATCATTGGTTTTAAACGATGCAAAAATAACGTTCCTTTTACTCTTGTCCACAATAGTATATATTTCAAAAATCTGAAGAGTAAATTAACTGTTATTTGTTCATGTCTATGAGAATGCATAAAAACCAGTTAAATTGGTAATAAAAACTTATACAATTATAAGTAGGTTTTAAAGTAAAAATCACAAATAATGTTTTTTACGGTCCCAGATTTATTTAAAGTAAATATCAGATATAATCATCATCGTTACATTGTCATGACCTTTTTTGAGTTTTAGCAATAATATTTTTCAGAAAATAATCTTAAGTTCTAAGTGATAAAACTACACTCAGAAAAATTCTTGATTCGTTTATAAGTCGTTATTCTTCTTTCTCCCCGAAAAAATCAGTATTTTGTTCAGAACAATGGAAAAAAATGTCGAAATCTGGAATGTCATACCGCGTTAAGCTTGTTATTAAATTCCCAATCTATTGGCATTCAAACCTAGAAAATTTTTAATTTCGATAATTTTTTGGAAAAAAATTGTGAAACAAATATTTGTTATTAAATTGTTGCGACTTTTTAAAATATTTTTTCATAATCAGTTAATACTATTGCCAGCATATACATATCACTTTACCTTAATTCTCTAAATTCCAGCTCGCTTATGGGGAGCTGAAGAATGAGATACGACCCACCAAAAAGGACCTGGACAAGCGGATCTCGGAGATGCAGGATAAGCATGGTAAGTGGGCTGACATAGTCTCCTCACTGGATCACTTTTATCTTTTACACTCTCTCTCTCATCACCTGTCACCTATTACCTATCACCTACCCTCTCTATAAACTCTGGTTAAGCTATTGAAGCTCCTATTGTGTTCTGCGCGTGTGCCAATGAAAAATGAAAAAAAATCAAAATTCAAGATATCCCCAAAGATTCGAACTCAAAATTGCCTACAGAGAAATGTTCAATAGTTTATCCATGAGTTTTGATCTGTAGAGCGTTGCATTTAATCCCATTTCCAAATATATAGTATATGTAACTATTCCATGTCTGTTTGTAGCGGGAACGGTAAATGAGCTTGAGGAAATGATAACATCTCAGAAGCAACTCATGGATAAACTGACGAGCGAGTGCAAGACCCTAACGGGCAAATTAGAGGATACGACCTACAAGCACAAGTAATTATGATCAAATATAAACCACTAAGCATATCACAAAGCTTTTAGAAAACCATCCAATATGATAGTTTTAGTTTTAAGAGTTCGATTCAGTTGTTCAGTCACTTAATTATAAAATAGCCACCCCATAGAAATGGTATGTGAACATTTGATTGAAAGTCTATTGACGATATATGGAAACCACCGCACAGCGCAATATGAAATTCAAGGCCAAACCAAACCAAACCAAAGTTTTCCCACCAGTATTCCGAACACCAATTTTCTTTTCCGAGATTCGTTCCACACCAAAAGAAAAAGCAAAAAAAAAAAACCATAAACATCTCGACTGAGACTGGATTAACACGCTGTACTTGTACTTCTTCAAACCTTTCTTTCGCTGCCTGCCTGCCACGCAATTTTCATGGTAATTAGAACCAATTTGCGATCTTGTGATGCCAACAACAACAGCAATAAGCGAGCCTTTGACCACAACAACAATATCAGCTCCTACAACAATAAAAGAAAACGCAAACGAGTTCACTTTGCTGCCTGATTTGGAACTGACCGATATTCTAGGAGATGCTGCTGCTGATGTTGCTGCTACAATGGCAGATGTTGCTGCTACTGCTGGCGAGGGCGATGAGATCCTGCAGAACATAATCAGAAGCAATGAGCGTCTGGCCAAGGAGCTGGCCAAAATGCCGCCGCTTCCCAAGATTTCCAGCTACAAGAAGCCCAGAAGCAGCAGAGTGGAATCACCAGCAGCAACATCAGCAACATCAGCGACATCAGCAACATCCAAGACCAAATGCTTTTGCCCCAGTTTCATGCGACACAGACACGAGCACGAGCACATACACACTTTGCGCAGGCGCAGCAGCAACAGTGAGACGAGTATTGCATGTTGCCGCGGTCGCAACGGCAACAGGCCAACAGTAACATCAGCTGCAGCAGCAGCAACATCGGCCAGCAAAGCGCGTACACAAACCACGCACAGCAAAACCACCCTAGACACGCACCACCACCAACACGAGCACCACCAGCATCGCACCACCAGCAACATCAGCAACATCGGTAGCTGCAACACCACCGCCGAGCAGCAGCAACATCCTGGCCATTCCTGCTGTCATCCCTGCCAAACGGAGCCGTTGCCCTGGCTGCAACAGCATCTAGTTTTGGAGCAGACCCTGAGTAGCAGTAGTGGTAATTGCAGTGCCCCAAATGCCTGCCAGCCCACGTGTCAGGTGCAACACTTGACGGTGGATGCTGGTGGGATGGCAACAGCAACCTCGGCAGATGCCGCAACAACCACCGCCTGCCGAGGTCCCGGCACCAATGCCCTGAGTGCCAGCATCAAGCCAAAGTTGTACTTTGAGCAGCTGCTGCGACGCGATGGTTGCCACGCACAGAAGAAGCCTCGTCCGCCGGTCAAAGTCGATGTCAATGTGCGTCTGGTGCCCAAGCAGCCCAAACCGACGAAGGTCCCGCGCTCCCTGAACGAAACGTTCGTCAAGGAGGTGGACGAGGTGGCCCAGGCCCTGAACGAAACCTTTGTGAAGGAGACGTCGCCGGAGTTGGCTCAGATCGATGAGCAGCTGGCGGAATTGGAACGAAATCGGGAGGATCACGAGGAGGAGGACGAGGAGGCGGAGGAGCAGGAGCAGGCCACCAAGCTTTGATAGTGTTTTTATAAGCCACCAAGTAGTCTTAAGTTTAAGGTATATGATAGGAAGTAATCTTGATTGGGAGAAATTCCTTAAGCAATTTTTTAAAAATTTAATCCATTTTATGAGGCCTATACATTCTAAGATTAGTTAATGATTTTTTTTTCGTTTAAAAATGAAAATTTCATAAAATAGGTTAAGTTAATACGTCAATCAAATTTATTTATTATTTTTATCATAAAGACCATTAAAAGCTATTTTCAATTTTAGGCACAACTCACAAATTGTGATTCACGATATATAATATTATAAATTTTATTTATTTGCTTTATTTGAGAATGAAAATCCTATAAAATGGGTTTATAGAATATCTCAATTAATTATTATATTTATTTATAAAAATAAAACATTTTAAGATTATTTCAAACTAAAAGCACTACATATACTATTTAAGTTTATTCAGGTTAAGGTTTAGCACTTCAAAAGTAGTGAAATTTTATTTATTAATTTGTTGATTTACTCGTAAGTTCTTCACATTTACTGATTTTGATTTTGATTTTGAAAATACAGTCTGGAGAAGCAGCAGCTACGGGCCACAAACGAGCAGCTGATGTCACGCCTCCGGCAAATCTGGGGCAAATACAAAGCACAACTGCCAGTGCACAAAGGATCCCCTGGAGCTGAGCTCCGAGGAGCAGCCCCTTGGATCCTTGATAATGGTAATGGTTCCTTTCAGTACTTGACTAATATATGTTCTCCCTCTTTCTTTCCTCCCCTCTCTCTTTCTCTCTTTCTCCATTTCTCTATCTCTAAATCCTAAAGAGAGGAAATATCTGCTTTACAATCGAATCTAGAATATCTATCCAATCGCATGTTGAGTAATGAGGAGCATATGAGTAAATTAGATAGCTCACCACATGATTATACTAGCTTAGTTCCTGGAAAAGGTAAATTTAACTAGGGGTTTATTTAGACAAGTAGAGCACTACCTTCAACACAAACTTTTTCCACTAAAAACTAAACTGATTTTAAATCACACCATCAGAAAAGGAAGCCGAACTCCAGGAGGATCTCCCCGAGAAAGCCGAGATTTAGACACTAACTAACTAACACCTCACCCTAAACTGCATTCGATTGGCTCGCCACTCTAATCCAAATCAAAATTCTTGTACCCACACAGCCGCTTACGACTACCAGGCAGCGACATATGGCACCCCAATCGAACCCATACAAAGCACCCCACAACAACCACACAACAGCGCCGTTGACGATGACTATGCGGCCGGAATTAACCTGGCCACAGATGGAGCAAGTGCCTCCGCCTCTGCAGCAGCCACCACAGCAGCCAGTATTGCAGCAGGAGCAGCAGCTGCAGTTGCATCATCAGGATCAGCACGCAAGAGCAGCATCGCCGACTATGGACTCCAGGATAACGATGACGAGAATCTCAAGGACAACCTTGGCCTGGGCGAGAAGCAGCAGCAACAACAGCAGCAGCAACAGGACCTCGACAGGCAACGGGAGCGGGAGGAACGCGACCGGGAGCTCCAGCAACTCCGTGAGCAGCGGGAGAAACGCGAAAGGGAACGCGAGCGGGAAAGGGAACGTGAGCAGCAGGCTTCCGAGCAACAGCAGCAGCAGCAACAGCAGAAGCAGGCGGAGCAGCAGCAACCATCGCTTCCCGAGAGCAATATCGCCAACGCGGGAAGCGCCAATCTGGCGGCCTACAACACCGACTACAGTGCCTACGATCAGCAGCAGTACGACGCCAGTGCCTACGATCCCAGTGCCTATGGTCAGCAGCCCTACGAAGGTCAGCAGTACGACTACGGGGAGGCGGGAGCAGGCTATGACTATGGAGCTGGCGACTATGGACAGTCTGGATACCAGTATGACGCCACGACAGGAGGCACCGCAACCACTCAGCGTCAGTATCAGTCTCCGCCAGCAGCAGCTGCCACGGACTACAATCGATCACCACCGTCGTTGGCAGCGGCGGGCATCACGTCCCCGCCAGCAGCAACAGGAGGAGGAGCAGCAGCAGGATCACCAGGAGCAGCAGCTCCAGGAGCTACAGGCAACGAGCCGACCACAATCGCGCCCGGGCAGTGGAGCTGTGGGGTCAGCAGCTGCGGCTGGAGCAATCGGCGGCGGAAAATCCGCTGTGCCACAACAGCCTGCCGCGTCAGCCGCCGGCAAGAAGTAGCTGGAGTCCCGTCGGCGAGGAGTGCTCCATCAGTAGTCCCAGCCTGATGCGCTCCTCCAACGATGAGACCTGCTCGGAGCTGGCCGATCTCAGCGAGACCTTCTTGGTTTTGGTTGAGGGGGAGGCTTCCCAGGAGGCTTCCGAGGATGCCAGCTTGTCACCGGCCCACACCACCATCATTACGGCCAGGAGATCGAGTGCTCCTGCTGTCGTCCAGCAGACGGAGGAGGACATTGCCAACGAGACAGTCACCATCGAGCGCCATCTAGATGCCCAGGGATGAATAGAGGGACTAGCACCGAGTTCTCCAGCAACAGTTTCTTCAGTTAACCCAAGTACTTCTACTCATGTGTTCCAGGTTTAATCAGCGAAAGGAAATTCATGTTTTTTAACTAATAAACCAATTAGAAATCAAAGTTTAGAAGGTTTTACATATTTTATTACTAGGATATTTGTTAAAAGAGCTAATTGAGAGGGGCCTAATTTTAAATAGATGCTCAACAAAAATGTATAAAAACTATATAGTTTTGGTTAAAAGACAATGAGTATGAGAATCCTGGTTAGATACAGCTTGAAATGAATCGAATGAGAGGCCTTTTTCATGACTGCCTAATACTTAAACGTCACAATCTTTCATAACAATAATTGACTTTTTCACTTGCCCAACTTCCGCGAGTAATAACTATTAATGTTGGAACTAATAAACAACTTCATGATGTTAAGGCCAAGTGCTTTGGGCCACGCAACGCTGTCAAAACAGGCAAAATGATGGCTTGTCCTGACTGACATCCTCGTCAATTGGCAGCGAAGCACTCGTAAAGGGCCGAAATAAAATGAACTTGACTTTGAGCTTGGAGGTTAGCCTTTTGCCGTTTTCGATGAGGTAGCAGTAACTCAGTTTATTGAGTTTCCTTAAGGAAGGGGGAATGAGAACGATGATCTAGGAGCTGTCGGGATAGGCGGAGGCTATCAGGCGCATGCCATTCCAGTTCCAAGCGTGTGAGACAATCGCGACAGAGGCTTTGCCCAGTTGGATGTGGCAGGGTTCCTCCTCCGCCGTGGTCAAAAAGCAGGCGGTGTACAGGGACATCTCCAACTCGGGCGAGGTGCCCACAAAGAAACCATTTACAGGCTTTTTGAGGTTGTGGAAAGTGTGGCGAATGCTGAGAACCATTTGGTTGTGCTAGAAATGGTTTGAATAGATTTTAAATACGTTTTATACGTTATTTTAAGGAGTATTTAGTTTAAAGACCTTTCCCGTTTCCTTGTGAACCAGCCAGCCCTTGTAATCCACATTGCCGCGTTGCTCCTGGTCGGCAAAGTACAGCCAGTTGTGCAGTCCCAGGACCTTTTGGTCCCGAATCTCTGCCATGAACACGTGCTCGAAACTGGAGCTGCCCACAATGCCACGTCCTCGGGAGTATGGGGTGAACCAAAGCTCCTGCAGCAAACGCAATTGATCATCATATTCGATGCTCACAATGTCTAGGGGGGATTTTATAAGAGTTAATCATGTAGTTTTCTTTATTTTGACTTATTGCTTTACCCTTGTTGACCAGATAGCGCATGGTCAGCTTCATCACACGCGTGTTCATCACGGTCCTCAGGAAGTCGTGCTGCTCCTGGACATGCTCGGGTGTTGGGTGCTCCGCCACAGCCACATCCAATTCGTAGTTGTCGAAGAGCCTCATGAGCAGGGCGGTGGTGGAGTTGGCATCCCTGGCCAGCAAAGTCCTGATGCAATTCAAAGAGACTGAAAGGTGAAAATATCACAGAGTTATAAAAAGGAATTCGAAAAAAAAGTAATAGGTATTTATACAGCAAATAAAATGAACTAACATGTAGGAAAAATAAGCGAAAAGATGAGCCAAGATTTTTATATTTAAATGACACTCTATATTGCTATGGATTAATTCTTTCTAAAATATTAAGCTAAGAAGGAAATCTTTAAGGTCATTAATTCTTTCTAAAATATTAAGCTGAAAAGCAAATCTTATATCTAAAAATGAGGATTTTTTAATCTGATAATTAAAGCTCGAATTTTGGGACTTAATATCTACATTCATTTTAAGGTTTTTCTTTTTTCTTAAAAACAAGGCTAATTCCTAGTTTTAATCTGATAATGAATAATATTTTCAACCCTCGAATCAATTTGGGCCAACTAGTTTAATGCATAATATCGAAACCCTTATATTTCCAATACCATCCAATACTTACTTCCTGGGGGCGCGATCGTCATGAGCTCCGGACGTGGTCTTCCCCTGGAGATTCACCTTGTAGAGGTACGGACTGACCTCGCTCTCCTCCGCGTAGAGGTTCTTGGAGAGGGTCAAGACGTCATCGGGCGTTTTGGGCAGCGGTTTGCTGTGGAAGTACTCTAAGAGAAGAGCTCTCTTTTAGGGAAGAGATATACGATATAAGGGAGACTCTCTTTACCCACCGTAGAAGTGCCAACTCAAGATGCCAATGGTGATCAGCAGGCCTACGATCACGAATCTCTTGAGCTTCTGGCATTTGGCGCTGTCGATGTTGCTACTGTTGTTTGTTTGCTGCTGCACTGCGTCCATTGTGGTATAATTATCTAATTACGATTAGTCAAACATTTGTTTATTCGCCTCTGTTTGTGTCCCCGTATTTTCGCTGTTTATCTTTCGACCGAATCTTTCGCGTTGATCGTGTTTTATCTGCTCATTGCGACCGACCGACTGCCTCTGTGGCTAAAACGCCACTGAGCGGATTGTTCCACTCCAGATCCGAGTGCTCACATGCTGAATATATGAGTAGAGCCCCCGAAAATTGGATAAAACACTCTCCCTCTCTTGAGGCCTTTTCTCTGGGGGATCATCTGTTGTCGTTTGTTTTCGCCTTTCGCTTCGCCAGCAGCTTTTTGTTTGCTCAGGAGCGGATTCATTGGGCCCTCTGTTAAACACATATTTACCCCAATGGAGGTTTCATCAAATAAAATGGAACATGCCAACATATGTTGCACTTTAATAGCACATTTTCCAGGAAAGCGGTCAGCCAAAATAATCAATTGTTCGCAGATCTAGGGCCCTTAGCTTTAGGAATAGTAAAATAAATAAAGGAGTAATGTTAGGGCATTTTTAAAAGTTAATTATTCACAAAATGTTAATTTCAAAGTTTATGCATTGACTAAGATACTTTCATATTTTTAGAAATAAATATACAAATATTAATATCTTTTGTAATATTTGTTTAATAGGTTGCTGCCTACAAAAGCTTCGCAGTTTTAATGGTTTTTTTTCATTTTAATAATGCCACTGATATCGCAAGAAAATTCAAATAGCCCTACATATAAAAACATATGGCTGGCTGGCAGAAAAGTTCTTGCTACTTAAACAATTTAATGCATAAGCGTTAATAATAAACGACAACGTGACTGGAATCAGTCATTTGGGAGCACTTAAACAAATAATTTAATCACGCAATTAGCAATTTGTTTGTTTCACCAAATATCGCGTCATTTGTATTGACGTCTCGACTGCAATATAATTACACCCAAATCGGGTCTAAACCATAGAGTGTACCACAAAAAACCTTCGACAGGAAACTGTGACGTGATTGGAAACAAAAATTGACAAATAAATTGTGAACAAAATATTGTATAATTGCACACTTCAAAATTAAAGTGCGAAATTTTCTTAATGCATGACGTTTATTTTTATAGCAACAACATGCTACATTTCTATTATCTCCACTGCAGTGTAATTACATCCATATTGGTTATAAGTAATAATCTGTGGCCAAAGAAAGAGTGAGAAGTAATTAGAACCATATTAATATCCACAATTTTATACAAAGTTAATTAAATTGTTTTGGCTCCTGCTACATGCAATGTTTAAATTAACTCTTTGCAAATTTCTCTAAAAATTATAATAAAACAAACAGTTTGTCACGCATTAATGTAATTTATTGGTAGATTACTTCATTTCATTTCTTTTATATTTATTGAACCTAAATAACACCCTCTACAAAAATGTTTGCTTATATATCGATAGACACTTAAAAAATTTGTTTTACTTTTCTAACTGCATATTTACTCTTTGAATAGCATCTGTTTTGTTCTTCTAAGTTAAGCGTTTTGTTTATTTAGCTACAATCAAATATTTGCAATGCAATGTTTGCCTCTTTTAAGTTTTGTTTGTAAATTCCAAGCGTATTCTGATTTCCTCCTCATGATTTCGATTGTATTCGGTTGGGAGCGGTTTTAATCTTTATAAAACAAATTAAAGCCCAATCATGTTTTAATACATGATAAGAATTAATGTGCTTAAATATTTCCATTCAGATGATTTCTTGATTACTTATTTCACAATATTTAGTTTCACAACTTTTAAAAGCATATTAGTACAATTTTTCTTGATGGTTATTAGTTATTGTTTCTCTCCACAGCCAAAGTTCGAATAAGAGATGACTTTAAAAATACCCAAAACCGGATTGATAGCGATTATTTTTCCATTCGATTCCTGAAACTTCGAATTGCCCGAAGCTTCGGAGCGCGTGTTCCATTGATTAGAGCATTAATTACACTGTGCAGCATTTTTAGTGCTTTTTAAATTTTCCCCAAAGGAGATAAATTTTTTGGATTCTTAAAAAAACCCCAATTAAAAAACCTTTTTCCAAAAAACCCCCCCCAAAAAAGAAAAAAAAAAAAAAAAAAAAAAAAAAAAAAAAAAAAAAAAAAAAAAAAAAAAAGAGGGAAAAAAAAAAAAAAAAAAAAGATAAAAAAAAATAAAAAAAAAAAAAATTAAAAAAAACAAAAAAAAAAAAAAAAAAAAAAAAAAAAAAAAAAAAAAAAAAATTAAAAAAAAAAAAAAAAAAAAAAAAAAAAAATAGGTTTAAAATAAAAAAAAAACCAAAAACAAAAAAAAAAAAAAAAAAAAAAAGAAAAAAAAAAAAAAAAAAAAAAAAAAAAAAAAAAAATTATGGTTTAAAATATCGACGAATACTCTCACGCAATATTTACCATATCTTGGGAAATGGGAAAACAATACGTATACTTTCACCCAAAACTTGACCCCGATCCCCTGGCGGCCCCCACCACTCGATTTGCCTCGGTTTCTGGATGATAGTGAACGAAGATTATCAGTTCGGGAACTTTTGTTGCGTCGTTGGCTGCGTTCATTTAGTGGCTGTTGTTGTTGCCATTCGGAAATCTTTTATAAGGCCCAGGCGGGCCAGAAATTTTATTCAGTTGAAATTTTAACGGCGTCGCGAGCAGTTGCTTGGCATTTAATAACAAATGTGAGTGTGAATCGGAATCTAGTGTTCTATCGTATCTATAGATGCAAATATTTTCAATTGAGTTGATTGAATTCCTAAATTGTCTTTGCTTACAAAACCCATTCATTCGAGAGTAAAGTAAACAATCTGTGTGTGGTGTGATATTTGAATGGGACCTATTTTGCTGTGGAATTATTTGTTGGCCCCTTGGCTTACTGGTGCTCAATAGGTGTAAGCGCATTTGTTCAGTTAGTGATAGGTTTTTAAAAATAGGACAGCGCAGCGATTACCGAATTGATAACAAAAAGCGCACTTGTTTGTTGGGGATCGTAAACTTATTTAGCAGTGCGATTTTTTGATAAAAATAAAGTAAACCTAAGAAATTTCGCAAAAGTCCTCACTAAATAAATTGCTTGTAATAACAATTGATTTTCATAAAATTAATAAGACAAAGAAAAAAGGTTTCTGGCAAAAATAATCTTAACATTCAACATATTTATTTTTTGTATAATAAAGTACCTTAATTTTCACCATTCTAAGATGATATTATTAAGTCAAAAAAATGTTTTAAAAGTATTTACGAAAGGTAATTAGGTATGCTAATAAGAAAATTAAATATTTGTTTAATGTAGTCAAGTTTACAGTTATAATAGACAATATTAAATATTTTTATATTTTATAGTTCGTTAAAATTTTAGAGCTCAGTTTCAAATTTTTAAGCAAAGCCCCTTCCTAACGGCTACATAAGCTTTCCTTCGTTCCGAGCTTAAGCTTTTGGGAGATAGCTTTGTTGAAGCCAGCACTACGCTCTTCTGTAACCCCGGAAGGTCCACAGGTGTCACTGGGATGTGACATTTTTTGGGCGTGTTAGTTCGACAGGTGCACATCATATTTGGTACTCAAAACTATTTGTATCGCCTTATGGGTAGACTGTCCATAAGTTATCGTTTCGCCTGATCGGAATATCAATTGTTTGGGCAGACTACGCCCCTGTGCTCGCTTTTGCTCTCTTCGGTGGGCAGCTTTTGCTCCACAAGGTTTTGGCGGGCACTCTCTCGCGAATCTTTGCCGGCAGAGAGTGCGAAATTGGTGAGTTCGCTCCGCTGAAGGCCCCACAATTTGCCCGCGCTCAGTTTTCAACCTGAACGCGACGTGTGCGGTACTTTCAAGCCCCCAAAAATTAGATATCTGCGGTGCGGTCGTCGCTACTCAACGCCACACACAAAATCCAATCAAGTTCGGCAATAAAAAATCGTAAACAAATATAAGAAGAGTGGAAATAAAATATACCTAGAATAAATTTAAAGAAAAGTAAATAAACAAATAAAAGATAGTGAAACGGTAGCGGAATTATGAAAGAATTGGGTGAATAAAGGCACACGGCTAACGAACTGTAAATACGCGCTATCTTCCCCATCGACGGCGCTCAACAGGCAACAGCTGATTAAAACGCTCTTTCTGTGCGTTTTTACTTTGTACGATATATTGTATTTATTTAAATTTGGTTTCGGATTCGTGGAATCTGTTGTTATTTTTCTGTGTTTTTTTTTTTTTGCATTTTTGCACAGCCATAAAAGAGCCGCACAGCAGCGGACTTGGAATTTATGGATTTCTGTGGTGTCCTTGCAAACAAGTGTCGCCTCTGGCAGAACCAGATTGTTATTGTTGTTTTTTGTGATTACCATTTGTTGTTGTGGCAGTCATTATCCTTAATGCCCGTGATGAGAACATGAGTGTGCATCTGTGTGCGTGTGTTTGAGTAAGGCATTACGGCTTTAAAGACAATTTAAGAGGCTTGAAAGAGTTACGGATCTTTTTAAAGCGATGGCTTAAATTTAAGCAGATTTAAGCGAATTTTACTTTAAATACTATTAAATTAAATGTAGTTGACTGTCTATCAATCAATCAATATCTATATATTAACAAAAAATGTACAACATTCCAGTTATCTTATGCATTAAATCTTCTTAAGCTTACAAAAAGTAAACTATGATCACTTAAAAAGGATTTACCTTTTTCATAATATCTATAGTGTTGAATGTTTCCACTTCGCATGTTCAATTAATACGATAAATATTAAAAAAAAAATATAACGTACCAATATTTAATGTATTAAAAGTTATGTCACTTCAATGTCTGATACTGACTTCACATCAGATTTCAAAACCTTCATATGTGCAAAGTAAATTCTGTAAACTATAAAATTTCAAAGCCTTTGAAAATTGTTTTAAACTAGTTATAAACCAGCTCATGTTTCGAGAGTTCACAGCACTTTTCATCTGCCACTTGGCAACCGACAGAATGTTGTTTTTGAGTTCTATAAAATAAATTCACATACCGAGGGGAAAAAAGAGAGGCAGAAACAGAATTGCAACCAGATCCATAGCGACACTTGAGTGGCAGCATCACAAAACAAATATACACGTATACACTCAAAACACACAAACACAGTCCTGTAGCAGGCACTTCGGCAACACCTGACCTGCCTGCCCCGCCTAC